TAAAGTAATTTGATACATATTGACAAAAGATAGGGGAAGGTCACGAGGGGACTCATGCTTCTTCTTCAAAATGCCATCACATGATATGATTAGGTCCACATCATATAAACAGTTCTTTTTAGTAGTATTATTATTTCTTTATCTTCATTTTTACTAATGTCCCATATTCCTATTTGGGTAGGTCAAGACTTGGATTAAACCCACGATCTGAAGGATGAGACAATGTCCCTTGTCTTGTTGAGCCATGGGTTCCAGCTTGGAGTCTTAGCCAGGGTTCTCAATGGTATATGTGTTCACTCGGATCCTTCCCCCCAAAATATTGACACATTCTCTTTTGTCTAGAAAAATATTGGTTAAAGTTTAAGGTTGTTGACCTACATTGACTTTACAAGGACAATTTTGCACACCAAACTTAATTGGTAATGATTAATAATAATTTAGGAAAATTAAGTTTGGATATATAGTCAGTAGATTTATGATTAAAAAAAAAATTCACATTCCATGAAGTTTTTCTAAATTTTATTTGTCAAAATTAATAAAATGATACATATTTTTTAAAAATAAAAAAATTTAAAAAATAATTAAAAATGAGATATATATATATATATATGTGATAGATTTTTAATTCTATTTGTAAAATTAAAACTTTCACAATAAGTATATAAAAATAAACTCTTTATAAATATTGTCTTCAACAAATTTGTTTTGGAATGGATGAATTCCATAATTAATTAAATTTTACATTTAAAATTTCTTATACATATATGAAAAAAGAGTTACTACTATAGTCTAAAACAACACGATTAAGTTGAAATGCATTTGTATATCAGTATTTGTAAACTAGTAATTATAGAGAAAATGGATTTTCCAAAGTGGTGATGGTGATATAAAGTCCAAATACACTTGTTCTCTTCTCCATGATGTAAAAGTGTTTTAAGAAATTAAATTAAATAGCTGTTATTAGTGGGGGACTCTCAACATTGCCTCTTTTATTTCTAGCAAATTCAGGTGGTCCAAACAAGCGGCCCACTCTTAACCTCACGTTGATAATTTTTTCTTTGGTGCTCTCCTCTTTTTCAAGCAAACTATGCATGCTGAATAGAGAAAAAAAAAAAAATCTTCCCCCTCCTCTCCCTTTACTCTTGCGGGGTGTGACGTTTACTGCCCCATTGGCACGCACAAGATCTATCCAAGTGGAAATCTCTTGTGAACCGCACTTTTTTTTTTTACAATATAATAATTGGAAACGCTGCCGTTGGGCTCATTTGGATGTGTCAAAGGCATTTTTTTGTTTTTGTTTTTTTTTTTTTTTCTTTCCTTCATCATGTGTTTGTAAACAGAAGAGAAAAAGGTGTGCACCTTCAAAAAGGTAGCCTGATTGTTATCAGAAGTGGGTTGGAGCCTTTGAAACTACAATTAATTCAATATTAAGACATTTATCTGAAAATAGATGCTCCCCAAGAAGTACCATTGAGATAAATATCAAGAAAAAGTTTGTGACTAACAATTAGGATTTGGAATTGGAAGTTAAAAAGATTGATGAATGCCCTTTTCCCATCATTTTCTTTTCTTTTATGTTTCAGCTCAATCATTGCAAATGATGAAGAAATGGTAAAAGATTTTGTTGGTATCAGGTTTAGATTTGAGAGTTAAAATCCTGAAATCACAACAATAAAAAAAAAAAAATGGTTAAAGGCAAAGGTTGAGGTATTATTTGCATTTGCATTCCAACGTTCAAGTTAGAGGTTGGTTGTAAGAAGTAAAAAAAAAATAAGTAGAAGAAAGTAAGACTAGATAAATAATACTTAGATGATTTTATTTATAGACGAAAGGTAAGACGTCTGTGAGATAAAATAATAACGTAACCGAATTGATGTGGCACTATATATATTAAGTCGATCTAAAAGTTAAAAATATCTCTAAATGTCTGTTGATAGTTTTTAATGATAAAAAATATCAATTTGCCTTTTGAACTCAAAATACTCCTAACAGCTTTCATACATTTTTTTTATAAGAAATTAGAAATTATAATGGTGGCTTATTGAAAAAAAGCAACTTAGGGTGGATTAAGTGGGATTGCCACTAAGAAATCCAACGTGGATTAGCGTTAGCAAAAACTTTGTCTTTCCCACGCTAGTGATGAGATTAGAGTTTGCACATGATGGTTAATTTTAATTAAATAAAAAAAATCTAGAATTAGAATCTCCTCTAACTTTATTAGAATATATAGGAGATTTCTTTGTTATTGAGAGGCCAATAAAACAAGTGGGGGATAGTTGCTTAATGTGTTAAGTGAGTGAATTAATAATTGATATTTAGATTAAGGCATAAACTTTTCTTATCAAGTAAATTATAGACTCAAATCAATCAAGACAATTCATCAAAACTTACCATATGAACATGCATGGCTTCACACTTTTCATAAATACTATAATATTATTATTTCGAATATTGATATAACAAATTAAATAATATGTTTTTAGAGTTATTCTTAAGACTTTAACTTCTATATCTCTATATAATTTCCATGCTATATTACGTAATTTCATATATATATATGCATATATATATATATACATATAAATATATACATGTTTATGTAAATGGTTTAGGGTGGGTTTCTTAGTTATTTCTGTAAATATAAGTAAATGGGTGAATATAGCAAAATTATTAAAAGTGAGTGACTCGAATCTCATAGCATTTTTTTTCAATTGGAGTATATATAAATATGTTATTATTTTTGGTTTCTTGGTTGGTCTAGACTATAGAGGACCGAAACACTAAACCTTTTAAGCTAAATGGACCTTCTCTGGATCCAGCTGGCTCAGACCAATACAACATGGGAGCTCGTTAAAAAATATACTCCAAGACCCAAGCGAGCAATCCAGGCCCTTAAGGTCCATCGTTTCTAGGTTATACACCAAAAGTAGCTTTCTTTTTTTATTTATTTGTTTTTGGCATTTTACAAAAGATAATCTGAGTAATTAAGGAGAAAACAAGGATTCTTTCTTATTTGCTAGTTATTCTAGTCAAACTAGTACATAGACCATGATAGTTTTAGCGGATAATTTATATTCTAATTTCAAACAGAAATTAGTAATATTTTATACTTGTATATTTGATTAATTAATTATTAAAGCACCTCTTAATCGAATCTTAAGATTAATTCAGTTGGTTTATTCAATCAACTTTAGGAAATGACATCCGATAGATTTGACACTTACAATTTCTTTTTCTATCTCTAAATTGCAATCTCACTCTCACACAATGATTGATATGCTAATTTTTCCCTATTGTAAAATGTGGCACACAATAATGTTTATCATGAATAATACATACTTTTATCTTAAAAGACTAATGGATGGATCTATATATAGCTTTTTATGAGTTAGATGAACAAATATATAAGATCTTCCATCCAAAATTAATTATCAAGGTACATTTGAATCTAACCTATCATGTTTATCACTCTTTTGAACATTGTAATTTTTCAACAATAACATAAAATGTGACTAATTAAAATAATGTTCATCAACAATAATATAAAATTGACAAATTAGAATAATGTTCATCGTCGATAATAATAAGCACGTTTATTAAAAGACTAATTGATTTATCAATAATTTTTGTTATGAAATAAGTAAACAAATAAAATTTTTGATTAAAATTGATAATTAAAATACGGTTGAAGATAATTAACATGTTTATTTCTCTTTCGCATGTGATAATTTTTTATTATCGTCAAATATGACATAATAAAATTCATAATGGACAATATGATTTTATCTTAAAATTTTGATCTATCTGTATTCAATGTACTTTTTTATTATTATTATGAGAATCAACATATATATAATTTGAGTCAAATTTAATTATTAAAATACATTTAGTTCGAATGAAAACTAACATGATGTTTTAAGTAAAATAGATATTTTAAGGTTAATGCTAGTAAATTTTATCATTAGTCCTTGAACTTATACCCAAATTTTATTTGGATTACTGAACTTTAATTTATTTCAATCATATCACTAAAGTTTGTTAAGTATATCAAAATTGGTCATTTTAAATAATTTCATTCAAATTTTGACAAAAAAAAAATGACATATCTGCCGTGTCATCAATCATATCATTTGCTACATCAAGTAACTACATTTATATAGTTTCATGAAATGCCATTAAACTTTTACCCAGCATTCAAATAAGTCACTAAACTTTAATTCGACATTATAAAATCACTAAAATTTATTAAGTATGCCAAATTTAGTCACTCTAATAAATTTCATCCAAAACAAAAGTTAAGTAAAATCTAAATATTGAACAAAACCAAACAACATCCAAATTTTTTTTTATCTTTTATTTAATAAATATGTAATAATATTTAATAAATAATTATTTAATTAAACTGTAAGAACTTTACCTTTTATTCAAATATTTATTATTTTTAATTTAAATGAAAGCAGTATTATTTCAGGAAAAACAAATATTCATTAAAGTATATGAGTTTACTTAATTTTTTTAAGTTTGATTTTTTGTTGGGTATGATAGAATTTTCGGTTAAATAAAAAATTTGGATGTTGTTTAATTGAGTTCAATATTTAGATTTTATTTAATTTTTATTTTGGATGAAATTTATTAGAGTGATCAAATTTGGTAGACTTAACAAATTTTAGTTGATGTGGCAGATGATGTGGTTGATGATGTGGCAGTCATATCATTTTTTTTTATCAAAATTTGGATGAAGTCTATTAGAGTGACCAAATTTTGATAACCTGATTGAAACAAATTAAAGTTTAACGAACCAAAACGAATTCGAATATATGTTCGGTAACTAATGGTGAAATGTACTCATGTTAATGCTTAGCACAAGTTTAAATCATTTAAAAACACAAATGTCTTCAAAATTGTCCAGATAAATTCCAATAGGAAGCATTAAATAATAGTGACACATCTTACCATAGTAAGCAACAAATTAAATTCTCTTACCAACTTCATTTATCTTTAGAATCTTGACATATGGATTTGTTAACCTGTAATGCATGCATTAATGTTCTCTGAATCTCCAAATTAGTCATGAAAACCCCATTTCCCAACTCAGCCCCTTAAATAATTTGTCTCATCTCCTCTCAATATATAAAGACCTCATTGGCTTCTCCATTCAAGCAACCCAATTCTCTTCTTCATCCCCTTTCAATTATAAATAGTTTGAAGAGCAAAAGATATTTGCCAAGCAATAAGCATGACTAGAAAGAAGGTGAAACTTGCATGGATAGTCAATGACAGTGCTAGAAGAGCCTGCCTCAAGAAAAGGAGGTTAGGCTTGTTGAAGAAAGTCAGTGAGCTGACCACTCTGTGCGGTGTCGATGCTTGTCTTATCGTCTATAGTCCCAACGTAACCGAGCCAATGGTGTGGCCTTCTCACGCCGAGGTGCAACGACAACTTGGAGAGTTCCACAAAATGCCCGAGTCGGAACGGCAGAAGAAAATGATGAACCAAGAAACCTATCTCACAGATAGGGTTACCAAGGCGCAAGAACAGCTGACGAAGTATCAAAGGAGAAACAAAGGGGTTGAGATGAACCATCTCATGAATCAAATCGATCAAGACAAGGGGCTTGATGAACTTAACCTCACGGAACTGCATGGGCTGACTTGGTTGGTGGAAGAGAAGATGAAGGAGATGCGAAAACGTATTGAATTTTTTCAGCAAGTTCCTTTCGTAACAGCCAGCCCCCGCGCTCATGGTGATCTTTCTCTTCCTCCCTCAAGCCCTGCAGATGATCTAACGGCCCGAATTGGCGGTGCCAGTGGTGGCCTTGGAGGAGATGTGAGGAGTACTCACGCCGAGTCTTTGCTGTGGGATCAATGGTTCATCGATATGATGAATAACAGTGAATTCAAATCTGGAGCTAGAAGCAGTACCATGAGGAGTGATATAGGCTTACCAGATTATCACCCATGTTCTGGTAGTACTGCAGATGACCGGGGGCAGCCTAGACATTCATTTGGCGGCAGCTGGAGTGTTGCAGCTGAAATGGGGCAGCCCCCGTATGGGAATTTAAGACAACCCACATCTGATTTGGGGCTAGCTCCTCTGAGTTCAGGACCTCATGATGGTGCAAGTGACATTGGGCTGCCTCGTGGGAGTGCTGGAAGCATCAATGTTGGCCCTTTTGGGAGTGACAGTTGACAGCTCCACTCTAAGTGAGCTGGGGCTGCCTTTCGGGCTTTTTGGAGGCGGGAGCAGCAGTAGCGCCGGCAGTGATATGGGACGACTGCCATTTGATGGAAAAACCAGGCCAAACAATTTCTATCCATTGTTCCCTTGACTAAAGATCAATTTGTATAGGCGGTAAAATTAGTTTTAGTGACGTTGAATTGAGATTGGTTACCATAATAATAAATTTAAAATCGATGGTAAAAATACCTGATTTGAATGTAAATATAAAGATGATAGTAAAATAAATTACAATTAAAAGAAAATTAATTATTAAAGATATTAAATTAAAATTTATATGTAATAAAAATTTAAAATTATAAAATAATAAAATTTTTAATTTTTAATATAGTAATAAATTTTATTAATTTATTATATAATAAAATTCATTTGTATATTAAATTTAAAATTTTATTTTATAATTTCTTAAATCAAATAAAAAAACAAAAATAAATGTAGTATCATGTGAGAGCAATTGGAAATAAAAAATGAAAAAATACATCGCCAGTTGGCGACTCTAGGGTTCCTTTTCCAATTGCCAATTGAAAATGCAGACCTATAAAATATTTTATCACGCCGCATTAAAGGAGAGCCAAACGAATTATCAGCGTGATCGAAGTCAAAAAATGATCTCAAGCGTGCCACACTGACGCTTCGATGGCTGTTCAAATGAGGCTTAAGACTGGTATATATGCTCATTTTTTATAGGTAAAAATTAATTAAAGGGACTAAATTTTATTTAAGAATATCGTCGAGAGAAAAGCTTAATGTTAACTCATGCAACTCCAACGTTTGACAAGCAAAGTAATATAAATGAACTCCATTTTGTAACAGAGAAAAAAATTTATATACACATCTAAATATATATATATATGTGTATATATACCATGTTAGTAAGTCTCACCAATTATAGTTTTCGAAAGTCATGTTTAATTTTTTTACTGTAAATATTTTATCCTAATTACCTTTTTGGATAAGCTGTATAAAATAGAGCTTATGGTTCGAAACATTAAAACTTAGAAGTGACAGTTAAGATGCTTGTGCTCTTTTCCGTTAATTATTTTAATATTTTTTATAGATATTTTTCTTCTTCTTTCTTGAATTTTGCAAACATTCTCTCTCATCTGTTACAGCCATTTCTCTCATCATTCCGGCCCTCCTTCCTTGACACCTACACCATAGCATCTCACGGCTTTCACCTGGCGATCATTTTCCTCTCTCTTTACTTTTCTCTGCTTTTTTTTTTTTTAAACTTTCATTATTCCTCTCTCTCTAAACAATTTGCTCAAAAGAATTTAATATGAAACCAAGAAGACGAACACGTGAGCCACTCCCGAGATGGCGAAATCTTTCTCTTTAAATTGAACAGATTTGGTCACAATTCATTGCACTATTCTTCAGCCATGTTTCAAAAACAATGTAGCAAAATTTTGAAAGAGAATGTGATAGAAGCCCACACCAAGAACAAATCAGTTGGGGGAAAAGTACTGGGCTTTACGTTTCCATCTGGAATTCGTAAGCAACTCTTTGATTATCCAATTTATTTTACCAGAGTCACTGCAAACTCAGTAAATTCTCTTCAAAGTAAAATATATATATATATATATGTCAGGATAGATAAAATTATGCAATTCTATCCTGCCAATTGACTCTATGTTGCAAAAGTACTAGAAAGGCCAACCACGCGATAACGGAGTGGATGCAGCATGCATCGCTCTACCAAACGACTGGGTATCTAGAAGGTTGGACTGAGAGATGGCTGAACAGAAATCACACGATCGAACAAATAAAAAAGGGTCGTACAGCATCGATAGATCTTTCTATGAACAAAAGCAGCAATTCAATTGTTAATAGGCTACCCCACCTGTTGACTTATATCAGCTCCACTTCACTATGAAGAGAACAAGAGAGCTCGCGCTAATGAATGAATGGCATCAGCCAGCCAAGACCAGACGCCACCCAAGGAATTGACACTTTCTTTTTTTAATATGTTAGTTAAACACGCCAGAGTCAGGTGGAAACAAGAACCTCGCGAGACAAAAGAAAGAAGGGAGTGTTACTACACTACCACAATGTTGAGTGTTGATGAAGTTTTCTCTCTATATGTATCCCTATGGTTTGGAAACTGAGCACTGCGTGATCGAGCAGAAAACCATTCTCAAACGCGCTTCCACAATAGCACCTTTTCCAGACCATCTTGTTCTATATATACAGCAGCATTCACTGCATCTCTGCTTAAAGCATAAGCCTTTTAGTAACTTCTTTTGATTTAGCAATGGAGATATTTGCTAAGACACTTAGCAATACAGATATTAACAAGAGATGTGTAGTTCCTATGAAGTACTTCAAAATGGGACGTTTCCCAAAATCACAAGGCGAAGATATGGTCGTTTTTGAGGTCAAAGATGAGAGCGGCCATTATCATACATTTTGCTGCTCTAAGCGCAAGGTTGGAAATGACCCTAATCGCCCAAAGCACCCAAAGCCCGTTCTTATCAACGGATGGATTCCATTTGTTCGCAAGAAGAAGCTTCGCGTTGGTGACAGAGTGATCATCTATGAGGAGCAAGATGAAACAGGTTTGATGCTGCGTAGGATTAAAGTGGAGAAACGAACCAGCCCTTCTGAACCTCGTTTGTCTGCTGTTACAAACCAAAACCTTGATGGAAACAAGGGTTCAACCACCGACAACAGTGACAAGGAGCCTGACCTAGGTGGAAGCAATGCTGCAACAAGCTCCAGAATTGACAAGGAGCAAATACCAACCCCCCACGGCACTACTGAAAGGCCAAGTCGAAACTTGAGTTTGGAATTGACTCTGAAACAACCCATGACAGAGGGAACCAATTCCTCAACATGCCCCATCATGGACAGGGAGCAAACACCATTCCCCCACAGCAATTCTCAAGATATAGCATGCTACAGGACTGAAAGGCCTAGTCTGAGCTTGAGTTTGGGATTGACTCCAAAACCAACCATGACAGGTGGCCAACAGCATGCTTATATGCAAGTACTCAAAACTATCGACTTCTTAGGGGCTTTTTAAAGCAAGGTAGGAAGTTACAAGACTGAAGAGAAAGAGGAACCAAGCTTTGGTGAGATGAATAAGTGCTTATGTTAAGTTCCCTTTTGTTCCTTTTGTATGCAGATGCTGTTGTATTCTCCTAGGATTTGGACCACTACTAGTGCTTCTATTCTGCTTGGATGTAAAATACTACTAGTGCTTGTATTCTCTTAAAATGTAAAATGCTACTACTGCTAATTTTGTTTGAAAATGGAATGGGAAGCCTTAATGAAGTGAGATGAATGAGTGCTTCCATTAAGTTACCTTTTGTTCCATTCTCCTGGGATGTTAAATACTACGATCACTTTATTATCCTAGGATGTAAAATAGTACTAGTGCTAATTTTCTTCAAAAATGCTCTGTCACTGATTTTGTCTGGTTATTCTTGTCATGTGATTAATTATGATATGTTGTAGAATTATGAGGGAACTGATGAATACTATTAGGAAGGCTTAACACTGCCCTTGAATTGAGGGGACGAGCTTTAAAAGAGCTTCCAATTAAGTAGGTCTTAAACCAAAAAGAAAACTAGTAAAATTATAGGACTAAATTGATAATCGAGCAGTGGTGACAGGTAGATATCAAGATATACCACAAAGTGAGTGGTTTTGATGTTATGATTCAATCATTTAGAAGAACGGTGAAATTGATGAAAAATATTAATTAGTATCCATTTTATTTGAATATATTGGATGAAACAAAATGGATTCATGCATTTGAAGGACTATGAGATTGCACAATATCACTTTGACCCGAAGGCAAATTTTGGCAAGATGAAAATAAGACTAGAAAAGTTTTATGGCCATGAATGAAGAAGAATACTTGGAGATACAGATATTATGTGGTTGTGTGGCTCTCTAAGAAAATATAATTTTAGAAATGTATGCATTAAAAAACAAAAGAAAAGTAGATATGGTGCCAATTAATGACAAACTGAATGAGAAACGACAAAGGTGGCAAGATTGAAACCAAGGCCTACAAATGCTCATGTAAAAAGATGTAAGCTATGGAATATGTCCAAATCAAACAAGGAAGCAAGCAATCAACAGATAATAAAACTATACTCTAAATGTGAGGATAAGTTTGTGAAAATAGCAGCTTCACAAAATCTTTATAGTGCAAAATCAGTTAATAACTAACATAACATAAAACTCCAACCAAATGAGAAAATGTTTCAAGAAGTCAATTAACAACATCAAAGGTTAAAAAGCTTAATAGCACGAAGAATGTTTTATTCTTATGAATCAGATCTCAATGAGTAATCGCAAAAATACTAATGTATATAATTTACACACATAACTCTCTTTGAACTGTAAGAGCAGCAGTTTTGTCCCAAAGGAATAGAAGCAAAGATAGATGTAGACATAACAGCAATTTAAAAGATGGAAAAAGGATTACAACATACCAAAAAGAAAAAAGATGCAGCCGAACCATCAGAAGCACCATTAAAAGATCTTGTTATACTGGCTGGTGAGAGAGTCTCTGAGGTTAGAATAAAGGCCGAACAGTGAGTATTGCCGAAGATTGTCCACTTCATACCATGAGTTGAGAGCAGAAAGGTGCTTATCCGTCCCAGAAAATGCTAGCTGTATTCCAAGACTGCAATCGACAGACCCTCCATGGTTTTTGCAGCTGTTTGTGGTGATTGCACAGTCTTGCTTGTTTAGGCACACAAAATTTGATTTTCCCGGACATTGAGCACATCCATCCCTTTTCCAGTACAAGTTTTGCAGCCTGCCTTTCGTAAACTCAAGCACCTGCATGAACGAAACCATCATCAATTTCTGTAGACTTTTACCAAGGTAAAAACTAATACAATTAAAAGAAAACGCATTCTGGTTAATCCCTTACAAGAGTGAAGCTTGTAACAGTGTAGGTACTGTTTGCCACGAAAGTAGGCAGGGACCTTGCAGCATATTTTCGACCAGCAAATGCAACCATATATCCACCAACTGAGTCCTGAAAATATCAAAGCCTACAGGGATTATAAGACATATTCATGTGATAGAATTACACATATTGGTGACTTCCCAGAGTGAAGAGAGTGCTCCGAATTGGTGGTTGGGCTTGTCAAAAATAAAATAAAAGGCACTGTTTGGTTGTCACTTTTAGTGCTTGCTATTTGCTTCTAGATTAAGATTTTACTTTCTATCATTTGCTTTTGTGCAAAATGCAAACACCAAACGGGACCTTAAAGATCAAAGTACATTTACAAATTACATTAATTCGAATCCATGGATCTTCAGATCCTATCATTCCACAAATTCCATAATTAAAATTTTCTAGAAATTATTAAACAAAAATGAAAAAGAGAGAGAGAGAGAGGATTGGAGAGGGGCTAACCGGAGAGAAAGAGGAGGTGTTGATGGTGAGTAGAGAGATCTCATCAACTTTGGGTCTAAAGAGAGCGACGCGAGAGTTGGAGTTCGACAAAGAGAGTCGGCGATCGCAAGGAGACAACTGAAGTGAGCTGTTGAAGAAGAATGATTGCCTCGATGCAAACGCGATCCCGAACGTGAACCCGTCCGATACCTGGACTTTCGTGTCAGAACACGGAATGTACACGTGGTTCGTGTCGTCGCTTGATTCCACCAGAAGTGACGACGTCGCCGCCGTCATCAGAAGAAGGAGAAAATAAACCGCCGGTTTCTCCATGTTTAATATTTCTTTTTTTTATTATTATTTTGTTTTCGCTCGTCTGGTGGATGTGAGCTGGTTGAGGAAGAAGGATTCGTATAAAATGTTAAATTGGGCTACGTTTTGGGCCATTAAAGTCGAAACTGAATTGGGGAATCGGCTCATTTTCTTGGATCGGGTTTGAGCTAAAACATACCGAAGCAATATATTGTATTTGTTTTAAATTAAGATTGATATAACAAAATCAGAAATAATAAATTAATATACTATTGGCGGGGGAAGATTAGAGAGTAAACACACGCTCCATTCGAATATATTTAAAAATAATAATAATAATAATAAATCAATAGAAAAGGAAAATAGACACGTGACTGACCTTTAATAAAGCGTAAAAAAAGCTTTTGAGAATGTCTTGCCTTAAAAGTTTTTTCATTTTTTTCCTCTATTGACTGCTGAGCCAGTATCATATTATATATGGGGTATTAATCCTTTTTATTGTACTCAGTTAAACTTTTAAAGTATCATTTTTGTTTAATTAAGTTCTTATTTTTCATAAAAATTCCTAAAATCTGTTAAAAAATAAATGTTTAGTTAAATAAAAATAATATTTTAAGGTATTAATTAAAAAAATAATACTTTAAGAATTTAATTAGACAAAAAAGTAATGTAAATGTTTAATTAGATTTTTTTTAAAAAAAAAAATTCAAGGTAAATAAATTATTCAATTCTTTAAATTAAGATAAAATGTGTTTTATTTAACAGTTTAAAATAATGATTGTAGGTCGTGCATTCAATATGATTTCAACAAATGATCATAACAAAATTCGAACTTAAAATCTCTTTATTAAGAATAATAAACCTTAATTGAGCCAATTACTTATTGAAAGGGCTTAATTAGATACAATGATAAGGATTTATATAAAAGTTTTGAAAAAAAACAAAGATTTTTTAATATTTTAATTTATTTTTTTCTGTTAACTTTTTTTAAGTGAGATTCACAGCTTGTGGAAAGGCAGTTGTATTGGTTAAAATATTAACAAAATTAGCTTTTATGCAATAAGTTTTTATTCTTTTATTGAGATACACTTAACGTATTATTTTTGTTTAATTAAATATTATTTTGTATAAAACCACTAAAATCCAATAAAAATAAGGGTTTACTTAAACTAAACTAGTGCTTTAAGGATTTAATCAGACCAAAGTAATACTTTAAAGGAAAATTAAACAAACATAATAATTTAAAGATTCAAATGAGTATAATAAAAGAATAATGACTTATTTAAAAATTTAAAATATATATATATATTTTTTAATATTCTAGTTATTCATACAAATCACATGCTCAAGTGTTCATTATCTTAAATTTAAGCACAAAACAAGATTATAAGAAATAAAATTATGAAACATTACTATATATAATATATATAATATATTCATTGCATTTAAAACGTAGTTAACAATCCTTAATCCGTTTCATAGAATTTTTCATTCTTGATTAACAGCTTTCTCAATGTTCACTAACACAACATTCACCTTGAAAATCAAGTTATTATAAATACTAATTGGATAATATATTTATCTTACCCCAATTGCATATATTATTTACTTTAATTAACAAGAAATTAGTTTAATTGATAAGTTGGTTTGTCTAGACTTTAAGTGGTTTTGGATTCAGATACTATTAATGGGTCTTTGTTAATGCTAATCTCGAATATATAATTTTTATAGGATATTATACATTGGGTGATTTTAAAAACATCTCTTTTTTTTTCATGTTTTTTAAAATTATTTTTAAATAAAATTACTTAATTATTTTTTTTCTTTATACCACATTAATTTTTAAGTTTCTGAATTTATAAATGTGAAAACTTTTAAAAAATTTTTTTGTAAATTCAAAAACTCTTAAAAACTTTTATATTTGCATATTCGAAAGCTGAAAATTTTCTATAAGATTTTTATTTTCAACTATTTTTTTTTCAAATTTAAATGTAATTTTTTTAAATTTATTAGATGTAAAATTTTAATAAATTATATGACTTATCAAAAATGCATTTTAAAAGCTTTAAAATTGATATGAGAAAGATAAAATAAAATAATTTCATCTAAATAAAAACTTTTAAAAAAAGTTAGATGTTGAAAAAAATTAAGAATATATTCAGAAGCTTTCCATTCCCATTCTATCTTGACTTAAAAGACGAGTAGCATATATACCATGAAATTAATGTAAAAAAAAAAAACATACATTACCCTTTAATTTAAAGTTTATTCATAGTCCTTTTTCAACCTCTTTTTGGCATGTTTCTCGCTGAGTAGTGTTCTATCGTAATCGTCATGATTGACTTTTGGGCAATTCTATCGATATCAAATTTTCCATGGCAAGCCTCATCCAGATGTTGTCATCGATGTGCCAACAGATGTCCAAGATCCAAGATGAATGATAGATATCGTATTAATGATGTAGGTGAAAAACAAACCATTTAACATTTCAAAGTTCAAATTTCATTAACCAAACATGGAAACTTTTTTTTAATTTTGAAGGGCTCTGAACCAGGCTCTTTAAACGAGGAGTTGGATACATTTTGTGTTACACTCACCTGCAACATGACTTTGTACTATTACTGCACATGGTTTTGCTGGGTTGCTGTCTAAACTTAGCATAGAATTTTGTCTCTAACCCAAAACTATCTCCAAATCTATCTGGTTTCTGGGCTGACCATCTTAATTTTAGCTTCATTGCTATGCTGCCTCATTGTCTGCAGGCCATTGGGATATATGGTAAAAGCTCAATGTTTCAGGACTTGTTGATTGCTGTTAGATTAAAGTCTCAAATGAGAGTACATATCAATAGCCTTTTTATATTCATGAAAAGATTTTCCTTGGCAATTTAGGCAAATACCATCCACTGAGCTTTCTTGGGTTCTCTGTTTCTTCCTCTCAGAGTCTAGAAAGATTAATATTTCTTTCATCTCCAACATGTTAGCCAAGGCAATTTCAAAGTCTTTTGCTAGTAGATGTTCCTTCTCTATGTGAAAAATGATTGCATTTACGCATAAATTCCTAGAACCATCTTGCATTTGTAGCAGTAAGAGAATGTTCTGGATTTCAATCTAAAATTCACACAGAAAAGAGGACAACAGAAAGAATTTTTACACAGAAATTATGAGAATCCTTCACATCAACCACCTGGCCTGCTTGATAAGGGAACGACCTCAGCTAGAGGAGTGGATAAGGGGGTCGGGATTGGAGATGTCCGGCAAACTGGACATGTTGGGTGCAGCCGCAACCAGGGGTCAACACACTTGACATGGAAGAGATGGTTACAATCAGGCAGCAGTCTAAGCGTATCACTACTCTTGTAATCTGCCAAGCATATGGAACAGCATGTAGCTGTGGAATCTTTCTTGTGGAGCTTGGCCTCGGAGTACAGCAGCTTGGGATAGCTCTTTATCATTTCCTCATCGAGGCCTATATCGACAACAAAACTCTCAGGATCAGTTGCAGGCTCTTGCCTTGTCCTTGACGGGGCTTGTGGTTGTTGATGAGTACCCCTGGTGCAAAAGTAGGAAGCCAATGTGATGGTCATGATAAGCAAGAGGATTCCAATAGAAATTCCAACGCCATATGCAAACCCACCAATGTTGTTGTTGGAGCCGAGAAATCCCTGATCATAACCGGATGAGGTGTTCATGATCTCCTGGAAGAATGAAAGCAGAACAAGCGATTGGAGATGAAAAAAGTAGTTTGGTCAGCCATGGCTGTGGCCAAAGAAATGGTTACTTGGGGTGGTTTTCAAAGTTTAAAAAAGTCAATGGCAACTTGAGAGAGAAGAAAATTAGTGGAATTTTTAATTAGGGGAAGATGTATGTTGTTTAAGTAAAGAAAAATAAAAGTTATTTACTATATCCTTCTGATAATGGGGTATTTGTTTTTGGAAGTCAACGGTTCCGATTGCAAGATACTATATCCTTCTGGTCGCTTGTTTGATTTGATGTCTTAATTTCTTTCAACTAAAACTTACCTAAAAATAAGATTTTTTCTCTCTCTCTCTGCAAGCATATTTTATTTAGATTTTAAATAATTTACACAATCATAATATTTAAAATTCAAATTTTAAGATCTTTTTTATTATAATTTTTTTGTTAAAAAAAACCCGAAGTAAAGCCCAAAAACCCAATTTTGTCTGCTCACATGAAATATTATAATTCGATTCATCCCTCTGTTTTTCTTTCTTTTCTGCCTCTATTTTGGATTCAAAAGTACTGAGAATTCCCATTTTCACTTTCACAGTAGTAGGTTATTTGAAATGGAAAGTTGTTAGCAGTTATGACCTACCAAATTTATGATGGAATCGTGGCCCCCGGTTTTTCAATTGATTATAGCCATCTAATTATTTGTTTTTGGTTTTATGAATTTTGAATGTTATAAACATAAATACAATGAGCTGCTGATGATCTAGCTGCTTGGCTGGTAGCAGCTAACTATCTCTGTAATCTACTCAAGTAGGCCAGTTCGCAGAAGTGGTAAGAAACGAATATTGGATACATTAGTATTAATGTTTGAATCTTTCTCAATCTTTTGTTGATAAGTGATTTATAAATTTAAAAATTTTACGGATAAAAATTTAATGAATCTATAAATTTCAATAGATCTGTAGATGAAAATTTAATTGACCCATAAATTTTAAATAAATCTCAATTGAGTTGATGATTTATTTTAATTTTAGCGATGGGATAATTTTTTTTACTCCTGAATTTTTTTGAATAAAAAAAATCATATACAAGTTGTTCCATTCTTTGGATTTGGCTGCCATTTCGGTGGTTCATCTTCTCTGCTTGCATTCTGTATCCAGTTCTAGCATGAATCATTGCTTCCACATATAACTAATTTTCTTTTCGATTGAATACAAATTTGGAAAAGAACATGAAATTATTATTGAACCAAATTTTCGGATGCAGTTAAAACTTGTTATTGATCAATGGTAAACTTCATTGAGTTGGGAAAGTTCTAATTTCATTCTCATTCTCAATCAATAATATAAATAAAAAATATTATTTTTATCTCATATATTTATTTTTTTGACATAAATAATTATTAATTTGACTGTAAATTATATTATTTATGAATTAATTGATTTACTCATAAATTATTAGACTCGTTTTTAGATTTATTCTATAATTATATATCATATTATAAAATACAAATATTTAAAACAAAATTAATGTGCAAGTAGCATATGATTCTATAAAATATGTAACTGCTAAAAGTGAGAAAAAGAAAGATAATTTTTCCATCACAATCAAGGCTTCATCAAGTCGTCAACTATCTATAATAATGTTAAAAATGCATACTAACTCTTCACGAAAAGACTTCATCTTCCTCACGAGACAATTGCTTATGCAACCACTTGCATGGCGGTGTTATAAATGTAAAGTATGGGAGCTAATAAGACCAAAAAAAAAAAAAAAGATTATTTATCCAAAAAAAATTGTTGAGTTGGGTGATAAATTATTATTTGTGTTAAGCTTTGAATTCAAGATGTTTATGAAAAGATTAAAAAAAAAAAGGATGATTAGAAATAAAGATAAAAAATATCTTATGTATTTACATTTTAATGCATAAATTAAAACAAATAAGATCGAAAATAAAATAATAAAAAAAGTCAGAATTACTTTCGATTATTTGTTAAAAGTTTGTAACATAAAAAAAAAATTATTGTATACTTTTGACTACTAAATCCCTCCCGCAATTATCTAAAAAAATTTTAAGTTTACATCCATTCAAAAAATTATTTTTTTTGATAAGCTGAATTTTTATTTATGAAAAATCAGTAAAAATCTATTACAATATAATTGTTCTATAATTTAACAAATTATTTTTTACATAGTATGGCACTCAATTTTTTTACAAATAATTAAAATTTTATTTATCTAAAGATAAACAAAAAAAACTTACCATAAATGTTACAAATGACTGTATCATATACTATATATATATAATACTTTAATAAAATTTTAAGGACTTTTTTAATGGATTTTCTTTTGTTCATTGATTTTTTTAATAAACAAAAACTAAATTATTTTAAATTTTAATCTTATAAATCCTCAAATCTCACTTACTATATACAAATGTTCTTACAAAAAACTCGTATTTCAAACTACACTTTGCATACACTATACTTTGATGACTTGGTATGTACTTGTGTACTTGTCATTAAGTCAAGTAATTATTATTGTTCTATTGATGCCAAATTTGTTACTAACTATAGTTAATATCGAGTTTTAATATTGTATTTTAATTTTATCAAAATTTTTATTATACTTTTAATTTTGTTAATTTTAAATAAAAATTTAACGAATTTAGATGAAAATTTATCACCTATATTAATGAAAATTAAAATAAAGAAAAGAATTGAAAAAAAAAATAATTTTTTGTCACCATAAAAATAATTGATGTGATGATGATTAAATATTTATAATACATGAAATGATTTTATTAAATACTCATATTACATTAATCACTTAACTGATTATAATAATATAAAATATCAAACGATTTATTTAGACACCAAATAGTAAAATAGATATAAAATATATAATATATGGACATTTTTTATATTAATCCCAACATAAATTGAAATTAATCACAGACCATAGCCTTTTAAAAATAAATAAATTCATTTCTCTCAAATAAATAAATAAGAAAGAAAAAAGCAAAAGGAAGCCTCCTTCAAGAAACGGAAAAAGATCACCAGAGACGCCGATTAAAAAAAAAAAGAGAAAAAATGAAAATCCTTCAGCTTGTGGTCAACGCCAACAAACTGCCAGTGTGGTTTGTCCAATTAACTAATCATTCCCGTCCATTACGCTGACCAACACAGAGCAACGGTCCAGATCACTCCCAGCTCTTAAACAACCGTACACATTCTCTTGAATCTCTTCCCGTCTCCGTATCTTCCTCAAACGCTTCGCCGTACATTTCCGGCACTCTGCTCTCATCCAAAATAAATCATAAATAAAATAAAATAAAATAAATCCTTAAAATCTCTACAAACTGAAAATAAATATTTAAATTAAAAAAGCTAGTCTTTTTTTTTTTTTTTGTGAAACTGAAATTGGATGGAGGTGATCCAATACAACCGGTTCATCGCACCCCTCTTGCTGCTGCCATTATGTCTGGTTTTTCCGTTGACCCTCGCCAACGACGTTAGATATTGCGATTAGTCTCTCTAAGCGCTAACTCCACCCCTTAATTTTTTTTTGAAAATTAAAATTGATTTTTTTTCTTGTTCGCTGGAAATTATATTATTTAATTCTGTTATTCTGTTATTCCGTTCACTGTCTGCTGCCGTCCACCGTCACCGACCGCAGCCTAGAAATCCACCAAAAATCACCAAATTACTCCTCTCCATCCCTTCTTCACCTTTCTAGACTTAAAATTTTCTTAAAATCCTCTACATAGTCCTAAATTTAACCCTATATACAACCCAAATTTTAGGGACTATAAGTGTAATTTACCCAAAAATCCTAATAAATTTGGAGATGATTTTCTACCATGGTAATATATACATACATACATACATACATACATACATACACTAACGAGGTTGAGTATGATGTAAAGGTTCGGAGTTGAGATTTCGCCTAACCCGACCACCAGGGCCAAGCCTGCTACCTTTAACGTCTCTCCAACAACAGGTAACTAATGAATGTCTTTTTCCCGTAATCTATTTGTTAATTTATGTTAGGTGCTGTGATTTGATGATCGCAATGGTATGTGTTTGTATATAAAACATTGGTTTGTAAGGTGTCTTGTAGTTTCGAAGGTTGATACCTTTTATTATTGGTTAATAATCTGATAGCTCTATGTCACGTCCGATGATTGATGATGGTGATTGTAGTATGCAACCAAAAACAATGGTGTTTTTAGTTTTTGATTGAAGGTGGGTTGTACTTTCTGTAATGATATACAGTTGCAGCAATCGCTGGGTGGAAACTGGTGATTCAGGTTATTTTGGATGGCACATTCACAATGAGACTCATGGCCTTTGTGATGACTGGTGAGACATCTTGCTTTGTGTCTACTGGTGATTTTGTGGTTTCTTACTCGCAGGGACGGATCCAGGGAGGGGGCTCCGGGGGGGGCGCTGTCCCCGATGGAATCTATTAATAAGTTATCCCAAATTTTAATGATTCTCGTATTTTGTTCCCGCTAAAATATAAAAAAAAGTAAGTAGAATTATTAGAAATAAATTTAAAATTTTTATTTTTTGTTTTAGATTTGATTAATTGGAAAAGAAATACTTAAGAGTGAGTCTTTTATAATATTGAAAGGTATATGAATGTATTAAAAAAAATTTTAAAAATTGAGTAAAGTTATGTTTCACAATGTAAATATAAAACTATTATACCAATGTTATTATTAGTTAATATAATAAATTTGCCCCTATTGAGTATAAATCCTTTTTCTTTCCCACGTCGCAAGTTTTGCCAGGATATACTCCACCTATAATCTCAACTTAATTTTGTATAAATCATCGGTGGTGGGTTGGATTTTTATTTTTAAATGTTTGCTTGCACCAATGTTCTTGCATTAGCAGAAGTGTTAAATGCCTTGTTGCCAACCCATTTGTTTAGTTTTGGCCAACTTTGCTTTATGTTTAGAAATTAGAAGAGGTGGAAAGAGAAGAATATATATATATATATATATATATAGGGATATTGCTGTAAAAAGATAAGGATTGAAGATCAAAATGCAAATTTGAAAAACCAAAGCCAACGGTAGATCTTTTCCTTCTATTTTGATCTAATGCATGGAAAATTTGGGATTTTCATGGGTTTGGAAGTATGCAGAATTCCGATCTTTCTCTTCCCTCATCGTATTTCCATCTTATTCAACAAGTGAAATAATTCAGCCTCCCTTTATTTTAAGTTTCAACCACCTCTTTCTTCATTCTAAACATGTATTGATGTTTTGCAAGAATTATTTAGTCAGAACGCACTTTCAGTTCTTTCAGAGTTCTTTTGGAACCAGGCCTTAACAGATAACATATGTCACTCATTGTTTTCAAGTAGATAGAGTTGACTTTAGTTGTTTGTCTGTATTCCAAGCTTATCTCATAATTTATGTTTTATCACAAGCTAACTCATTTTACTCATTGCTAGTAAGCTTAACTTCCTTGAAGTTTATTCCCACAACTCAACAATGATTTATGCATGTTCCTGAAGCAAAAGAAAAATCAGGGTTTGTGCGTGCATTTTTTGTTACAAATGGAACTTTTTTTATGAAGAAACTTATGAGGGCTGCCATTAAATCCCCAGTCCCCAGAAAAATAATTGTTACATTAAAACCTATGAAGACTTGTGTCATATGTGTTTTGCTCATGCCCATGCATTAATGATCCAGTAGAAAACTAAAAATATCCGGTTCTGGGTTATAGCCAACACTCCTTGTTGTCACAGCTGTTGTATAACTTTTTGTGGTATGCACCGAGGTTGGTTAAGGTTGATTGCTTGAGTACCACCGAATCTCTCAATAGAACATCATTTGCCTTGTTCTAGGCGTGGAATATGATTTCTGCTCCTTCATTTGCTCTTCATACTATAAGCTTAGAATAAGGCCCCAATTCTTTCCTTTACTGATCTTTTGTTAAACATAAGATAGGAGAATGCTCTTTTCAAGATTTTCATCTAGTCAACAATCATCTATGACTAATGTTAATTGCTTATCCGTTGAGGTTAGTCTTGTGTCTATTGCTCAAAGGTCCTCCATCATCTTCATATGTGTTTGCTTTTTCTTTAATGACTGTTGAGAAGTCTCGAGTTTGCTTTTGTTTGTTTGATCGATCAGCAATGTAATTGAACAATGTAATTCCAATTGGCCTGTTGAGGTCAATGAGATTATTTAGGTTTGATGGAATAAGGGATTTTCTCTTTAATCAACAAAAGGAAATGCCACCTTCATTTTTTTTAGCTTTGACAATACCTCTGACAAACCTGATGCAGGATTCATACTCTCTGAAGTTGAAGATGAAGATGTAGATGCAAACAAGCATGAGTTTGATGTTGACATCGGGTTTCCAACATCTATAGCCGATATTATCCATGTAAAGTACTCTATTTGCTGTATGTTCCTACCAACTTTGTTCTTATCATGCATCATGCATGTACACCTTTGATTATCTCCGTGAGTTATTACTGTGAAAAGTTAAAACCCAAATTCCTTAGGATAATATAATCTAGGTTACCTCCAGCGCCTTTTCAGCGGGCTGCCCATCAGCACTTGTACGAACCTCCTGACTATTGATGAAAGCTTGAAATATGCCATTGCTAAGAATTACAAAATTTTTTGGCTTGAATTACAAAATCTAAGCGATTTTATAAGAAATTAGTAGTGCTAATAAAAAAAAAGGGTCCTTTGTGGTTCAATACAGCTTATAATTTAGAATCAAACTAGGTGCAAAGGTGACCACTGATGGTACCCAACCAATGGATTTCCAATTGATTACAAGACAAGGGGCAAAGCAGCCATTGCACGCTTGCTATAAAATCATGACAGTTCCTCAAAGTCTCTTGTCCTGGCTGTTATTATTTGGCTCATTTTTTATATTCCTTCCATAATAATTGTTTTTTATTGATTTTTTAAAACTAAACTATTATAATTGACTTAAAATTTTTAAAAAATATGTTTTGAAAATTTTAAAATTCAAAACTTGCAAATTTTATTTCAAAAAATTTTTAATTTATAAATTTTATTAAAAATAATGGTTAAAGTTAAATTAGTTTGACAAAAAAAAATCAATAATATGCTGTTATTGAGTTACATCTAAATAAAGTTGTAATTACTTATTATCTCTGTTTTGTCTTTTTTTTTTTTTGGGCTTAAAACATAGAAGAACAGCATCACATTAAAGTATTTTTAAGGCTATAATTATTATACTAATGACAACGGGGACATTGTTGTCATTAAATCTTCATTTTCTCTTCATACAAATTATTTGTTTTTTGTAAGGAAGAAAAGTAGGGAGGGGGCTGAATGATGCATGTTCTTGCCCTTATGCCATGATGAGGCACCAAAATGTTGGTTATGGGTCAGTGGACTCCAATGGTGAAGGGGTACCCCACTATTCATTGATCATTCAAAACTTTTAAAAGCAACCAACACACAGCTTTTCAGTTTGCACTTTCGAAACCGAAAGAGAAACCTCCTCATCATCCTATTGTTGTCCTCTCAAATATCTGCTCTCTTGCATCCTCATTCAAGTTTCACTCCCTTCCATGATATCCCTTCTCAATTTTTTTAAGTGGTGCAACTGCATGTGACAGGATTTCTTATATCAGATCACTATAAGAGATGAAAGGCATGAAGGGAAGATTTCTAAAGAAACTGAAATTTATTCCTACTATCAGCACTTTGAAACAAGGCTTAGTCCTTCAGCTTAATCCCCAACACCCCTTCACCAATCAAAACTGCCATAACCTGTCAATTTACAAAGAGCAAGACTGCAAAAGCATCATTAATCTCCCAGAATCAGTAGTTGAGGTTAAAGATCAGAAGGATGAAGAAAAGGAATTGGAATTCGATGTTGGCGACCAAGATCACATTACACCCACGATAGAGTTCAGGGACATCGTGACTAGAGAGGATAATTCTCAGCTTCCGATCTCCTCAGAGATCATTGTCAAGGATGATAGCATACCTGAAGTGAAGGTTGACACTGAAGAATATCCAATATCTTTAACAGATTTTGAAGAGAAGTGTCCACCAGGTGGTGAAGAGTCAGTGATTTTCTATACAACAAGCTTGAGAGGAATAAGAAAAACATTTGAAGATTGCAGCAGTATCAGGTTTCTTTTAGACAGTTTCAAGATATTGGTCCACGAGAGAGATGTTTCAATGGACATGGAATTCAGGGAAGAATTATGGAGGATATTGGGCGGCAGAGTGATCCCTCCAAAGCTGTTCATCAAGGGCAGATACATAGGAGGAGCTGATGAAGTTGTTGGACTTCACGAGCAAGGAAAGCTGAAGAAGCTTTTGGAAGGGATACCTTCAGGCCTCCCCAACTGCCTGTGTACTGGTTGTGCCAATATGCGGTTCCAGATATGCTCAAACTGCAATGGCAACCGCAAGGTTTTTGCAGAAAAAGAAGGTGATGAATTGTACATGAGATGCCCTGATTGTAATGAGAATGGATTGGTTAAATGCCCTGTTTGCTGCTGAATATTTTACTTACAATAATTTCCTTCTTCTGTACTCTTTATGTTGTATATTCTTACTCAAATTGCAGCTGTCTCAAGTCCCATTAGAAGGTCTTAATTTAGTCTTTAAGGATGAAGAAAATGAACTGTGTGTTAATTTCCCTTAACTGATATAACAATGGGCTAAGTTATGCTGTCATTGTTACTTGGAGATCTGATTTTCCCTTTCATTTCCTTCCTTGATCAACTTCTGCTATTTTTTTTCCTTATGTTGTCTCAGAACTTTGAAATTTTTGTAGCAGTGCTTGGAAATACTTGGAATAAAACTTTGTTGCATCAAATTGTGTAGATAAGAAACTGTAACAACTTCTTTTTTTTTAGGATTTTTCAACAGAAAATTTTCTTTTCTTGAATGCTATTGTCACAATAACATGATTGATTCTTGTGCTCATTTTCTAATATCTAGTTAGTTAATGACCTTTTACTTTTTCCTTTTACTTTCCCTTGTCATCTTTTACTTTTTTTTTTTTCCTTTCTTATTAACGCAAGTAAAACAAAAGTTTAATTTATTGAATTTATATTTAATGTACTGAATAAGTTCATATTTATACTATTCATATATCATACATTATCACATCATTATGACTTATGATACAATGGTATAACATGCATCAAATATAAATCCTCGGATTGGTATCAATCAATAGGTTAAAAACCCAACATTTTTTCTACCTTCCAAAAGAGTCAAAGCATAATGGGGGCACTACCAACCTACTTCCTTCACTTTCTACTTCCAAAAGTAAAAATAAAGTCAAGCCATGATCAAGCCAACCCTAAATAATTTATGAGCTAAATGTTATTAAGATAAAACCAACAACCTTTCCAAATGTTTGGTAATGTGAAATGCACCAAAGAAGCATGAAAAAGGAAATGTGGGGTTTGAGAGAAATAAAAAGTTAAAAACAAAGTACCTTTTTGATAGAGGTGGGGAGGTCATCAATCATCTTCTTGATGAGACTGGAATGAATGATTAGTTGGGGAAAAGAAGGCACATGGGGTCTCTTCCTTAAGATGTAGATAAAGTTATAGAGAGGAATCAAAAGGTGTGACCTTGTAAATCATTTTTACTAAAAGCTTTCTCAATTTGCATGGTCAGCTTTGAGTAATAGTAGGAATTTGTAACAACTCAGGTTTTAACTTAATGATTGAAGACTTGAAGCTCAAAGTTGAAAATATAATTAAAAAATAATTCAAAGAAATTGAAATATAATGACAAATGATAAAATTCAATATTGACTCATACGGATCACTTTAACAATAATTAATTTTAATTTTTTGTTAGAATTCTCTCAAATGAACTATTCACTATCATTATTTTTAGACTATAAAATATAATTACGACACATCTTATTATGATTTAAAAAATTAAATAACTTATTTATCTTAAATTTTACCGAATCCAAGAAACCGTAACTTCTCGAATAAAAATTTGAGGTCCAAGTTGCAATTGGGCCGGGAGAATAACATATTTGTTCAAATACTTGAATATGAGTTTGTTGTAAGAGTTGGGCCTCAAAATCCATTTAAATGTTCGATTTTAGTTCTTACTAAAACCAAACTTGATCAAGACCTAAGACCCATCTTGAATTGGGCCCAACTTATTTTTTTTCAGAAATTGGACTATCTCTTTTCATGTCCAATTACTTGACACTGTTATATATAGTAATAGATAGATAATATAGAAAAAATAGATCATAATCTTTTTTGTACTTATGTGAACAAAAATTTAACTTTGGTAACTGTTATCTTTAGAAAGCTACAGTTCAAAAAAACTAATTAAATCAAATAATAATTGCATTATTGGATCAAACTCTTTAATAACTCCAGAATCTTGAAATTGATTTATATAAAAAAAAAATTAAAATCAATGTTTAAAATTAAAGATTCCGTCCCAACAAAAAATTTATGCCTCAAAACTTAATAAAACCCAAAAGCAGCAAAGAGGGTATCTACTACCATTCATTTAAGTGGGGTCATACTCTATATATGCCACGTGTCCAGCACAAGTTCCATCATTAGACAGTCCCACCTAGAACTCTCTACAAATTTCCCACTCTCCATTCCCCCAGTCTCACTAGTGGAGCGTCCAACCACCTCTCCCCGGAGGCCCACAAGAAGGTTTTGGGAACAGACAAAAACGACGACCCAACATAAACAACGCGCAGCCATTTGTTCTTCTGTTTCTGCAGTATGTATATATTTTTTTATTTTTAATATTTTATTTTATTACTATTGAAATGCGGTTGCTTATTTATTTGGGCTGTCATAATTATCTTTTTTTATATAATTATTATAAAAAGAATTTTAAAATTTATTTTTTGTTATGAACGGGATTTGGGAGAAGTTCAATTTCTCAATCATCATCGCCGAAACGACGACGCGTTTGCTACCGGTGAAGCTCGCAAACCTTTCTATCTCCACTCTTAGGCTCCTCAAGGCGGTGTTGACGAAAGCCCTAAGCGCCTTATTCTTCTTCTCGATGGACGATCTCTTCTCCTCCGAGGACGACGATCATCTCTTAGACCTCGATTACCACCCTTACGCTCGTAAGCGGCCTCTCTCTTCCAGCCTCTATAGCGACGAATATGAAGAAACGGACGAGGAGAGCAATCGCCAGAAGCTCTACCTAGTTTCCTACAGGTACGTCTTTTTAAAAAAATTTTTAATATATTTTTTTACCTCTTCTGTTGACTGCGGATAAAACAAGAGGGAGAAGTGAAACGTGAAGTGGATTTTGATTTTGAAAAGTGAATAATTTAACTTAATAAAAAATTATACTTTTTCTCCTTAGAATGATTTGAAATTATTTTTTGTCTTGTTTTTATTTTAAATAAGTAATAAAAAAATAAAATGCTATTCATTATAATTTCTTTCTTTTTTTTTTTTTACAAGCTTTCTTTTCCCTCTTAATTTCAGGTGGTGGAAGGAGGCTCAAAGAAGTGTTGCTGATCAAATAGGAGGCGTTTTATACACTGTGTTATCCAACAATGACGATGCTGATTCTGAAATTGTACTGGACTTGAGGAAGGAAGAGAGTTCCGGGACTAGGGATAAGGCGGGAGAAGTCGCATCTGGCCGTGAATATGCCTTGGTTAATGAAGCATTGTGGCTGCGGACTCTTAAATGGTGAGACTGAGTTTGTTTTGCGATTCTTTTATTGTTTGAATTATCTATTCTGATAAAGACTTTACCGAATGTACATGCTAGAAAATTAGACTATAACGTGAGTGATTTATGTTTTGGCTGGTTTGAATTTTTATTAGTCTTAATAATTCCATAGTTAACCCTCCATTTTTGGTGCTCTTTATTTTCAAATAAACAAAAATCGTATATTAATATAGTTGAAATACTTTTCTTGAACACTTTTATGACAGAGAATTTGCATCTACTGACCATTTATAGAACTATATTACCTTTTGGTATCGAAGAAGATGTTGATTTTACACTCCATTTAAGTATCCATTTGTTCTCCTTTTATAGGCACAATGACCGCAAAACATCTGAGGAAGATGCTAGGTACCCATTTGTTGCTGAAGATCAATCACAGGAAGTATTTGCCTTGCTGATAAGGCTTTCTTTTTCACCAGAAACAAATTCATTGTTAGTAAAGATCAGTTTAAAGGTAATTTCTCTTTTCAAGTTACTTATTACTGGTATTTTTATTTTTATGGAGTTTTTGTTACTGAAATGTGTGATATTGGTCTGTGAATCAATGCTGCATGTAACCCTTTTTCATCCTTTTTTATGTTATTTCATCGACTTTTTTTTGGGTGAAATTCCTTTTGCCTTTTCCTCTAAAAGGAAGAGATTATTTCTTATGATTCTAGTCTCTTTCTATCATGTCTGGAAGTTCATGTCATCTTGAGGTAATGCCTTTTGGCGCTAGAACAAATGTGCACATGATGAGAAATTGCCTATCAGATTCAGTTCTGAACTGGAGTGTGTTTAAACAGGGATAGCTGTCTTGCAATTAAGTTGACAAATCTAGATGAATATGACCTACTGGAAGGTGCTGAATCAGTACTTGGGAAGAATTAGCTTGTGAATTCTCAGGCCATAGATGATTCCTTACTACAAATATTATAGGTTAGTGTTTATCTTGGTGAATGAATATGCAATAAAAATATGGATGTTGGTCATATCCATGAACAATTAATTGGATTCTTATGGTTGGTGGTGCTTTTATCTTAGTGAATTGTTTATATTTTCTCAGTCCTTTGGCTGGAAAAAATTGCTTCTTGCTCTTTATTGAAGTGATGTTAAAACCCTTTGAAGTGGTGTTACGTATATGATAATTGGCCTGTTTATTGAAATTAACTGGCTTGATAATTAGCGTGATTGGATGATCGCCAACAAGCATTGCATGATACTTTCTGAGGATGAGCCTATTTTTACTTGCAGTTGCTTGTTATTCATCATTTATAATAGTACTTCCATTTGTCCTTGCATGTTCTTTTATTTGAATCTTTTATCATATCTGAGTGATGAAATGCTTCATGTCAAAAACTGTTTTGCATAAATATAATTATTGGAAAATACTGATGACCAGTTAGTGATCTGTGGATCCATTTTCTGGCAGTGAAATGTGGATTTGGTTGGTGAATGCACATGCTATCTGTAAAATAAGTCAGGGATTGGATCTCCCTTTCTTTATAGGTCTTGACAATCATGCCATTCTTGCTTTATGAATATTGTTCCTTCCTGTATTTGACAGTGGTTTGCATTTTCAGGATAATACAGTCGACCTTTATAGGAGAGCTTGCAGTATTTTCAGTTACCAATCTGAGCTGGTTGGTTTTGCAATGAGTAATTAATAATTTATTTAAAAATAGTTCCATGTTCTGGTGAAAGTAACTTATGCTTTTAATTCATTTGTTTTGCAGTTTCAGATTTGGGACTTCTCAGGGCAGACAAGCCAGTTTGTCATGAATGAAATGATCAATTTGCCCAACATTTCACCTGGAAAACTAGGGAAAGAGGTGTGACTAGTTTATCTACTTGATTTGTATTGTTATCGGGTAGAATCCTTTCACATAGTTGGTTTAAATTCCTGCTCCTGTATTATTAATTGCTATTGCTTTTTTTTCCTTGTCTTTTAAATCTAAAAAAATACATAAAGCATCTGATTCATTATCTGCATCAAAAACTTTTACCAATGGAAGGTCATTGGTTTTAATAATTTGGAAATTCAGTGTGTGCATATTTCTGTGCCTGGCAGCTATTCATAAGCTTCTTTTTCTGTTTTTCTGCCCCTTTGTTATGCAGATTCTTCTTGAATTGCATGTTCATGGGTTTTTTGTTTCTACAAACGATACCAATGAGAGATTGACAGAATGGTCCAAGACAGAAAATAGCTTTGGCAAGAGTAGAGTAAAGACAAATAAGAGTAGTGACAACCCGAGCACTTATTTAACGCTAACTGATGCATTGCTGTCTGGTACTGGTTATAGGGGAATTGGTCTATTGGGCTTGACAGGACTACAAAATCTTGGAAATACTTGTTTCATGAACAGTGCAATTCAGTGTTTGGTGCATACTCCGCAGCTTGTTGATTACTTCCTTGGAGACTATCAAAAAGATATAAATTATGAAAACCCTCTGGGAATGAATGTAGGATATCACATCTTTCATTTATTAAATTTCTTTCTTCATATTCATTTACTTTTTCTCATAATTGTCTGTTGCTTGCTTAGGGTGAACTTGCTTTAGCATTTGGAGAACTGTTAAGAAAGCTATGGGCTCCAGGTGCAATGCCAGTGGCTCCAAGAATGTTCAAGTTTAAACTTGCTAAGTTTGCTCCCCAATTTAGTGGCTACAATCAGCATGACTCACAAGTTAGTAAAGTTAATATGCTTAAAAGAAATGTGGCTTCAGTTTTCTCATTTGCTTTTCTGTCAATGATGAATTACTACTTCTGGCATGAGAGAAATAATTTTGTTTAAATTATGAAACTCCTCTTAGTTCAAGAACTAAAATTTGCTTTGCTGGTAATTTTAAAACATAAACTTCCCAGTTCCCCTCTCACAAATTATATGAATAATAACGGAAGTGTGGAAAAACTAAGAAATAAATCAGTGTGGAAACTAAATGTATATTGAAAAACTGCTTATTGAGAATTAGACAAGAATCTTAGGTTTATATACAACTAACTAGGGGTTAAACTAGGAAACTAAATCTTCCTAAAAAACTAATCCTATAATTGAGGGATTGTCTATCCTAATTTTAGGGATACAAATACTTAATTCTAGAGATACAAATATAAATATACAGATTACAAGATTACAACCAGCTGTAAATAAGTGTTTTCCCACACTCTCCCTTAAGCTAGTGAATCGGTGTTTTCCATTCCCAGCTTGAAAATAATTTCTTGAAATGTTGCACTGCTGAGACCTTTAGTCAACACATCTACAAGTTGACCCTTGGTTGATACATAAGGTGTACAAATCAACCCACTGTCTAGTTTCTCTTTTATGAAATGTCGGTCTACTTCAATGTGTTTTGTTCTATCATGTTGCATAGGATTGTGTGCAATGCTTATTGCAGACTTGTTATCACAGTAGAGTCTCATTGGTCCATCCCCACTTGATCTTCAAGTCTTCTAGGATAATCTTTAACCGTAGTAGTTCACAAATTCCTTGAGCCATTGCTCTAAACTCTGCTTCAGCACTTGATCTTGCCATCATATTCTGTTTTTTACTCCTCCAAGTCACAAGATTACCACCTAAGAAAGTGCAGTAGCCTGAGGTGGATCTTTTATCAGTTACTGAACCTGCATAATCAGCATCTGTATATGCTTCTAGAACTAATCCCGAATTTATTTTGAATAAGATACCTCTCCCAGGATTGACCTTCAAATAGTGCAATATACGGTAGACAGCCTGTAGGTGCACTTCTTTAGGATTATGCATAAATTGACTTACCACACTCACAGCATATGCTATATCAGGTCTAGTATGTGAGAGATAAATGAGTCTTCCAACTAATCTTTGGTACATCTCTCTATTTACAGCAGCATCTTCATTAGCTTCTTCAATTTTATGATTAGGATCTATAGGGGTATTTGCAGGTTTACATGCGAGCTTCCCAGTTTCCTTCAAAAGATCCATCACATATTTCTGTTGTGAGATGAAAATACCATGTCGTGAGTGAGCTACTTCAATTCCTAAGAAGTACTTCAATCTCCCTAGCTCTTTTATCTCAAATTCTCTAGCCACACATTGTTTTACAGATTCTCTCTCTTTTTCATCATCTCCAGTTACAATTATATCATCAACATACACTAATAGAATTGTGACTCTCCCTGAATCAGAGTGCTTGATAAACAATGTGTGATCTCCTTGACTCTGTTTATATCCCATTGCTAGCATCACTTTGGAAAATCTCCCGAACCAAGCTCTAGGAGACTGTTTAAGGCCATATAAAGCTTTTTTCAGCCTGCATACTTTGTTTGCTTCTAGATGACCTCCAAATCCCGGTGGAACGTTCATATATATTTCTTCTTCCAAATCACCATGTAGAAAAGCATTCTTTACATCAAATTGTTAAAGCTGCCAATTGTAATTTGCAGCCAATGATAACAAAATCATAACAGTATTCATCTTGGCAACTGGAGCAAAAGTTTCCTGGTTATCCACTCCATAGGTTTGAGTGTAGTCCTTAGCCACTAACCTGGCTTTATACCTTTCAACAGTACCATCTGCCTTGTAATTTACAATGGAAACCCATTTACACCCACTGGATTTTTTCCTTTAGGCAACTCTACCAGTTCCCATGTCTGATTTTTCTCTAAGGCCTCCATTTCTATTTTCATGACTTGCCTCCATTTCTCACTGGATAATGCCTCAGATAATGTAGTTGGAACAGAAATAGTGTTTAGGCTCACAAGAAAATTTTTGTGGGATGGTGAGAATTTTTCAAATGACACAAAATTAGAGATTGGGTGTAGTGGATGCTTGGTACATTCTCTGGTTCCTTTTCTAATGGGAATAGGCAGATCATAATCACTAGTTATAGTTTTAGGAGATTCATGTTCATTTTGAGAAACAGAGTCAAAAACTGTAGTTACCTCATTTCCAGAGTTAGGATCAAGTTCTTGGACTGGCACTGGTTCAGGATCTTGAACTTTCCTTCTTGAGTACACCTGTAATTCCTTCATAGAATCAAGAACAATATTATCCTTTGTCACATCTTCCGTATTTGGAATGGGTTCAGACTCAAATTCAGTGTTTGACTTAGGCTCAGTAGAAACAGGTTTCGACTCAGAAGAATTAATGGGTGTAAATGTTGAAGAAGGGGGCAAATCAAGCAAAAAGAAGTGTTTATCCTTATCTTCCATGAATGAAGTCTCCCCCTGAAGATAAGGCTGAGTAAAAAATGGTTTATTTTCTTCAAAAGTGACATCTGTAGACACATAGAATTTTTTGGTAGGAGGATAATAGCACTTATATCCTTTTTGAGTTGAAGAATACCCACAAAAATACACTTAATCGCTTTTGGATCCAACTTTTTCCTATTATGACTGTGAACATGAACAAATGATGTACAACCAAATATCTTAGGTGTGAGATTGTTTGTGGTATTGAGGTTGGGATAAAATTGTGAGAGTAGTTTCATAGGAGTTTTAAATCCCAAAAGTCTTGAAGGTAACTTATTTATAATGTGTGTGGCAGTGAGAACAGCTTCATCCCAGTAAGATTTAGGTACATTTGCTTGAAAAAGAAAGGCTCGGGTTGTGGCTAGTAAATGGCTATTTTTCCTCTCTGCCACTCCATTCTGCTGTGGAGTATTAACACAAGATGACTCATGGATAATCCCCTCTTTTTGGAAATAGGTGGATAGACTCTGGTTGAAGTAGTCTCTTGCATTATCAAACCTAAATCTCTTGAGTTTCACTCCAAATTGATTTTGGATAATGTTTTGGAAGCTTAAAAACACACTATTCACATCTGATTTGGATTTAAGCAAAAAAACCCAAGAGACCTTGGTACAATCATCTATGAATGAAACAAACCATCTCGCACCAGAAATATTAGGAATTGTAAAGGGACCCCAAATGTCACTATGAATCAAGTAAAAGGGAGTAGAACTTCTTTTGTTACTGATTGGAAAAGATACACGTCTATGCTTTACAAGTTCGCAAATATCACAATGAAAATCTTCAACATTTAATCCTTTGAACAAAGAAGGAAACATGTTTCTCAAAGTTTCAAAAGAAGGATGTCCAAGACGAAAATGATAAAGCCAGATTTTGTCTTTATTGGAAGATTTTTCAGAAAGAAATGACAAAGGTAAACTATTCTTGATATTACTTGTGTTATTTGATATCTCAAGATAGTATAGTCCATCCTTCTCCTTAGCAAGTCCAATCATCTTCCCCGAACTCTGGTCCTGAACTTCACAATAAGAGGGATAAAAAGTTACTTTGCAATTCATTTCTCTGGTAAGTTTTTGTATAGATATCAAATTAGTCGACAATCCAAGAACATGAAGAACATTTTTTAGAATAAACGAGGGATTAATTTGAACATCTCTTAATCCTGCCACTGTAGTAAGTGACCCATCTGCAACAACAATTTTCTTATTACTAGGACACAGGTTATATGTACTAAACTTTTGTGAGAAATGTGTCATATGCTCTGTGGCTCCTGAGTCAATGATCAAAGGACTCGTAATAGGCTTAGCCGAGACATTTAATCCATGAGAACCGGAAGCTTTACCTGAACTAGAAACCTTACCCAAAGAATATACCACAGTAGGCTTTTCAAGAATTTTCAATAAGTTTTTCAGTTTTTCAATCTCTTCCTTGTCGAACTCTCCTTGTTTCTGAGACATTTGTAGTACTCCAGTGATTTTTTCAGTTGACATTTCCTCAAATTGGGTGGTGGTGATATCTTTTTTTGAAAGGGTTCGGCAATGAAGGCCTAAACAGGATTCGGCAATGAAGGCCTAAAATAGAAGTCAACAATGAAGGCTGAAAATTTTGCTTCTCAAGAAGAGCCTAAAGCTCTGATACCATGTGGAAAAACTAAGAAATAAATCAGTATGGAAACTGAATGTATATTGAAAAACTGCTTATTGAGAATTATACAAAATTCTTAGGTTTATATACAACTAACTAGGGGTTAAACTAGGAAACTAAATCTTCCTAAAAAACTAATCCTATAGTTGAGGGATTGTCTATCCTAATTTTAGGGATACAAATACTTAATTCTGGAGATACAAATATAAATATACAGATTACAAGATTACAACCAGCTGTAAATAAGTGTTTTCCCACAGGAAGAGTATGTACTGAGTAGGCTGAGTGTCTTTTGTTTCTTTGAAAACATGAAAGACAAAGGTTTTGCCATAAATTAGAGGCTATCCTAATTTAAGTTATATTTCTTTAATTTTGTGGTTCCTTGTTCTCTGCCAATGGTGACTTATATTTTGCTGTTGTGATGTAGGAATTTCTTGCTTTTCTGCTGGATGGCCTCCATGAAGATTTGAATCGTGTAAAATGCAAGCCATATATAGAAGCTAAGGATGCAGAGGGCCGTCCAGGTGAAGAAGTGGCAGATGAATATTGGCAAAATCACTTGGCTCGCAATGATTCCATCATAGTTGACGTCTGCCAAGTGAGTACATTGAATTTGAAGTTATCTTATAACTGATAATTTATTGGAGTTTAGGCTATTCATGCATAAGTATTATAAAAGTTTCCAAGTATTCTATAATTAAAAGCTTCCTCAAATGGCTATTTATTAGTACCAGAAATAACTGAGTTTTAGCTTTCTAGTTAGTTTTTTACTGTTCGAAGTTGCAATGGATTTTCATCTGCTTTTATTTGTTAGGTGGAGATTTTCTTGACATTAACAATGGCATGAACTTCCTTGTTTAAGTGAACCAAATCGAATTTGTTTTGTCTTTTATTCTAGGGTCAATACCGGTCGATATTGGTGTGCCACATTTGCAAGAAGGTCTCTGTGACATTTGATCCATTTATGTACCTAACACTACCATTACCTTCAACAACTATGCGGACAATGACTGTGACGGTTTTCAGCAGTGACGGGATAGTGTTGCCAACTCCATTTACTGTTACTGTTCCTAAGTGCGGGAGGCTCAAGGATCTCGTTGACACATTAAGTGTTGCATGTTCTTTAAGAAATGATGAAACCCTTCTTGTGGCTGAGGTATGCTGCTAGACTTTTTTATATGAAAAAAATATTATTTTGGTTGCATGTCATGACTAGTGACTTCAAGATCACAGATGTGTCATTTTCTCTCAAGCATCTTGATGGTCTTGAGGCACTTTTGCATGTGCTAACGTCGTATCTTTGGAGCTTTAGAACTGCAATTTAAGGATGTTATTCAATTACGTTTACAATCAAGAAATAAATGTTTTGCATGGATTAGTTAGATAAGTCTTCTAAGTAGTATAATGATTAAGGAAGGTTTCTCCAGGATTGTCCAATGGACCTTGCATATCGGTCCTCCCATCTGTCTTTTGGAGAGTTTAGACTTAGATTAGACCATTTACTTTTCATGACTAACACTATCGAAAAATCATGTGTTTTATTTTACATGGATTGGACTCCCATCTTAGGGGGTTTTACTTTTACCTTTTTTTGCTTTTTATTAGAGAAAAATTTTGAGCATAGGGATTGCATCTGTAGTTATGCACTTGCGTTTCATTATGAACGCTAGCCTTTGAACTTATATGCAGATATTCAAGAATCAAATTTTTCGTTTACTGGATGAGCCATCAGATTCATTAGCCTTGATTAGAGATGCTGACAAACTTGTTGCCTATCGGTTACCAAAAGTTAATGAGACATACCCCTTAGTTGTGTTCTCACATCAGCAGCTGAAAAGGTAAGTTTGTGTATCTATTGTTATGATTCTTGTGGCATAGACCCCATTAGTTGGTCAATTTGGGCAAATAACCTGCTCTTGGCCATTCCCATTTTATTTTAGAGAGCTTATCGTGCAGATCATGGCCATTTATGAAAAAGATTACTTTTTGTTGCACCACTTTCTTTTTCAAATTGGCAATTTTGGATCATTGTTTTTCTACTTATTTAGTTTAATTATATTATCAGGCCTTATAGTTTTGGTGTAATGGCATCAAATTGGAAGCCATTTGGTGTTCCTGTTGTAGCAAGGATACAGGATTTTTCAAGTGGATCTGAGATCCGTAACCAGTTTCTAAAGTTACTTAGTCCATTTCTAATGCCAGTCGAAGATGTGGTAAATGATTATGATGGTGATGAGACAGGGAATACCATTAATGAGAATTCTAAGATGGAGGATATTGTTAGCTCCTCAGTTCCAGATAGTGATGCAGGTTCAGACAGTGGAGCAGAGAATGATTTTCATCTAAATGCTGGCTTCAAATTCTACTTGGTCAATAAAATGGAACCAGTGGAGATAAAGATGAATGAACCTGTACCAATCTCAAGGTTTACTAAGAAGTTGGATATAAGCATTCACTGGTCAGATAAGATGATTGAAAAGTATGACACATGCCTTCTCAGCTCGTTGCCCGAGGTTTTCAAGCCCCAGTTGTTTACAGGAAGGCCTCAAGAATCTATTTCCTTGTATAAATGTCTGCAAGGTTTCTTGCAAGAGGAACCTTTAGGACCAGATGACATGTGGTTAGTGTCTTTCTTTTTTGTAATATATACTTTGTTCCTAATGTTGACATAGTTATAGGTTTGCTCTGATATCTATAATATACATTTATGTTATAGGCACAATCAATTTATTTTAAATTATGAAGTAATCAAACTCTTGTTGAACCTAATAGTGAGGTTTGTGATCATATCTAGGTACTGTCCCAGGTGCAAGAAGCCTCGGCAAGCCAACAAAAAGTTAGATCTTTGGAGATTGCCTGAGATTTTGGTTATTCATTTAAAGAGATTCTCATATAGCCGATTTTTTAAGAACAAGCTAGAAACATATGTGGACTTTCCAATTCATGATCTCAATCTCTCCAATTACATTTCCCATATTGATGGCCAAATATCCAATTGTTACCAATTGTATGCAATAAGTAATCACTATGGAGGTATGGGAGGCGGTCATTATACAGCTTTTGTTGATGTAAGTGTCACATCTTTTCTAACTTATGTTCTCTGATTACGTGTGTTAAAATTTACTGCCATTCGGTCGTGCTATTTTACTGAGATGGAATTGTCGAATTGCACCTAGCTACATGCTAATGATACTGCAGATAACAATTTGTTATTTGTTCTTTTTCTAGTGGGCTCCTAGGCGGGCTAATCGCTAGGGATAAAAATCGGCAGTGTATGTCACTAGGTATACATAAGTTTTGGTTTAATATGGGAATCCTAACTCTCATTCTGCATTGGCAGTATGGGCATGGTCGATGGTATGAGTTCGATGATGACAGAGTTTTCGCCGTCAACGAAGACAGAATTAAGACATCTGCTGCTTATGTCCTTTTCTATAGAAGAGTCCGGGAGGTGTAATTTACGTAGTGAAACATTTATCAGATGCATTGCCCTTTTTTAAGCCTGAACTGTGGGTTTTCATTTCTGGGCCGACCAACCCCAAGAAGCAAATACAGTCTCAAACACATGATCTAAAGTTGTACAGTTTTGGAATGCTACCATTGAAAGAGGTAAGTTGTTACAATGATCAAACTATGTCTTACATGCATATTAGCTTAATCCAAAGAAAAATTTGGAGCAATGCCAATTCTTTTTGCAAAAGGGGATGATGCTTCGCTTCGTCTGATGATTCCTCTTGGTTTCATCCAATGTGTGATTCTGATTTCTGATGATGAAGCTTTGTTAGTTGATAATGATGCAGCTGTTTTGCATAGTGTAATAATCCTTGTCCCCTAATTTGTGTGGGTGAAGCTGAAGTGTTTTCCTTTAGCAGCAAGGATTTGAAAGCAGAAATTGAAGGGTGATAGATTCGACAGAAAAAAAAATGGACATTCTAAATTCATGAATATGCTTATTCGGCAGATTATACGCTAATTGATTTTCCTGTTTTGAATTGAATGTTTTATTTAATTTCAGTGAACATTTTTTAAGCTATTTTCTTTAAATTATTAAAGTTAAAAAATGAAAGAGGTTTGCAAGCTACACCAATTTTGGTTTTTACTCAATCTGATCTGAAACAATATTTTTAAGATGTATTTGGTACACAAAAATTATGGTAAAATAGGATATAATAATGTTATGAATAAAATTAAATAAAATAATTTTATTTTATTTTATATTTGATGTATGTAAAAATTAAGATGAGATAATTTATTTATTGATTAATATTATTTTAAAAAGTTTATATAAATTAAATTATTAATATAATTTTTAAGAGTGTAATAAGATACGTAAATTTAATTTGATGAATTAAAAATAATCTTTTAAGATTGAATTATTTTATATCAAGATGATTAATTTTTTTTATAATATTATTTTTTAAAATAAAAATTAAATATAATATAAAATTATTATCATACTTTTTTATTCATTATTTTATGCATCAAATATAATACTAATTCTTATGTTTTCTTGATCTATTAATTTATTATTTCGAAATTTATACCAAAATATAAATATAAACTTTTTTATATATTTTTAAAAAGAAAAATGGGAAAATCATTGTCACGTTCAAAACAAATCAACATTATACAAAGCAAAAGATGTTGATTTAAGTGGTAAAGAGAGTCTCTTCTTTTGTCTGAGTTTGAACCTATTAAAAAGGTAAAATAATTTTCAGCTAAGTTTAATATAAATAAATATGCATAAACCGGTTTAGATTTTGAAACCCTTTACCATTGAAAAGAAAGTCAGAAAAGAAGAAAATTAGGAATGGGCTGTTGAGCCCAGTCTACAAAAGGCCACATTAACTTAATAATTGGGCTGCCAGACGGCTTAGACCCAATAGAAAATGGATGTATAAAGCTCAAAAAAAAAAAAAAATTATTCGATCACTGAGCTAATTTCTGTTGTGCGGTCATCACTTTTGTTCGGTGGGCTCAGCGATTCTCCTTCTCTTTTTTTAAGTTTCCCTCAATTAAAATTTCATTCTTCTTTCTGCTGAAAGGAATTTCACCTTCACACTGTAATGGCTGCACCCAGTTGTGGTTAGACTTTTTTTTACTGATTTGCTGTTGCTTTATTTGATGCAAATGATCCTTTTTCATGTTACATATCGGGTGTTTGCATGTAAATTAGTGTTGGGTGTTTAGAAATTTAGCTATAGTAAGCACTACTAAACAATTGGGTTTAGTGTTTTTACTCAGTTTCTATTTGGGTTTGAGGAAACTTTGCTGAATATTCCAAAGATTTGCGCTTTAATAGTTTACTTGAGGTACCTATTACACTCTTTTTTTCATTGTTTTTCATTTTTTTTGTTAGGGATGATTGAGGCATTAAAGATTCTTTATTTTTTGGGTAGAAGGGATTAAACGCTGGAAAGATAATTTTTGGACTCCTAAGGAGTGAGATAGTAAAATGCTAAATTCCTATTGATGAGCTATGCAATAGGTATAATCTTTCATGTTGGCTCAGGTTATGTTTAGCTAATCAGTCCGCGGAAAAATTCTCTTCCCTTGGAATATATCTATCAGGGGAAGGAAGGGATGACTATAGGTAGCTTGAATCAGTTTCTACTTTCTATTTGTGTAGCCTTGCTGGTGAGCTATATATAGAGTTCCCTGATAAAGATTCTGCTTTTGGGTGAGTTGGAATGAGCTTTGTCTTGTTGGTTGGTTTTTTGGAGATCCTGATGTTGGACTTGGAGTGCACTTATTATCGCTATTAGTTTGGAGTAAATCTTTTGAAAGAGGAATGCAAAATCATTCCCGTTGCTGGATTACAAGGAACTTTATAGGAGCACTGGCTGACATCAAGGTTGGAAGGCCTTTTCTAATATATGAGGAAGATTTGGTCGACTATTAGGACTTGTTGGAAGTTGGAGTCTTGGCTCCATTTTAATTGCTTACGAAGATGCATGATCAACTCCTTGGCGTAGGAGTATTTTGTACTTTATAAGGATGTAGTTCTTCTATTCCCTTGTGTGGCACATTGATTGTGAGATTTAGTGGTTTCTTGAAGCACATTTAGGACAAACAATGAAATTTGATGCCCAGTTTTGTGTAGGGCAGAAATACTGAAACTATTGCCTAATTTATGAGTTAATACGGTATTTTATTCAATGTTTTGGTTGTTTGTTGTCTTTCAGTCCCTGAAGCATTTAGCTAATATAAATGTTATGTAACAGGGGCAATGATGGAAGATGTTGGAATACCAACTGGAGACAAACTCATATTGAGGGGCTTGAAATTTCATGGTTTCCATGGGGTAAAGCCTGAAGAAAAAAAACTGGGTCAGAAGTTCTTGGTAGATGTAGATGCCTGGATGGATCTGAGGATGGCTGGTAAATCAGACCTCTTGTCAGATACTGTTAGTTACACTGATATTTACCGGTGAGTAACGGGTTAACATCTTCATCGAATATATTTTAAAACTTTGCATAAATCTTTTGGCTAGTTATAACTTGTTACAAAGTTCCATAGGATTGCATTTAGTTGACGCAAGCTACACTACATTCTATGGCTCCAAAAACAATCATTCCGGTTCCCCTAACTGTAATATTTTTCTGTTATAACCTGAATTTGACAATTGTAACTAGTCAACTTATATTCACCAAAACGTGAAAAATCAAAAGCCGAGTAAGATGAATTTGCATAAGGAATTATGTTGTGTAACCCTTAGCTGTTCCAATGAATGTTTATGCCTTTATTCTTTAGTAAATTGTCTTTTGATAATTTGAATTTACCAACATACAGCATAGTAAAGGAAGTTGTGGAAGGGCAATCTCAGAATCTTCTCGAGTCGGTGGCTCAAATAATTGCATCAACAATCTTGACAAAGCACGCTCAGATATCTGCTGTACGTGTGAAAGTTGGGAAGCCTCATGTTGCTGTTCATGGTCCTCTTGACTACCTTGGAGTTGAGATTATCAGATACAGAACTATTGATGCTCCTAACTGACCCTTACAACATACATATACAAGGCATCATGGATCTCAGTTGTGCCAGTTGCAGCTGCCACCTCCTTTAAATTCTTTCATTTTGCTTTTCAGGGAGGGGTAGAAAGTTAGAAGTGAACCAGGATGGTTAAATATTTCTCCTAGTTCTACTGCAATTGAGCTAATTGATGCACTGACGATTTTCAATTATTGAATTTCAGTAGAAAATTCCATGTGACTTCCTTTTCGAATTCATCGTAGTTATACAAAAGTGATGAGAGAAAGGTTAGCTAAAATACGAGTAACAAGGGCAAATTAGTTCAAAATTTTATTCTTCCAATATTCTCTTTTTTTTATTTTTTTTTATTTTTATGAAATGCAACATGCCTTTCAATAAAGGATTAAAAAAAAAAAACGAAAGAAATTCTACATTTTTAAAACCATACCCAGCCATTGAAAATTATATTGGAGCACCACCTGGTACTACTACAAGGCTTCTCATGTATCCAGAGCTTTACTTTTCAACAGTCTTAACTACAATCTTTTAAGCACTTAAAAGACTTTCTGTTCAAATGCAAACTCATGGGATAGAGAAATCTCATGCAGCCATGCCGTTTGGTTCCCGGCTGCTAGTTTTGCCTTTGCGGTTCCAAATAGGAGTGGTTTCAATAAGCTTATGGGGTACAAGTCGCCTTTCCCGCTTTGTAAGCTTGCGAAACTTGCTTACTCTCAGCCTGGCTATCTCAGCCTCCTCTTCAGCGGTCATCTCCCTCACTACAACAGTTAGTCGGCAACTTGGTCTCTCTCTAATTCCACTTCGCCCTTTCCCATGATAGGAAACTCTCTTCAAATATAATCCCTTCCCCACAAATGCCTCAGCTGTTTAAAATAATAAAAAGAAATGCAGAATAAGCACAACTACTCCGAGTGATATAAGCAAGTTCATTTCCACTGCTTACCTACTAGCAGACGGTCTGGATCCAATCCATGATTATGGGTAGCATTCGCTCGAGCTGAGTGGATAACCTGCATTGCAAGGTTTTAATTATAAAATGTTAAAACTTGATTGTTTGCTGGCAATGCAAAGGTATCTTCCTTCTGAACAACACCGAAGATCAAAACATAAGTAGAGAGGGCAAAAAAACACAGGCACATGCATATGCGATCTCTTCATTCTGTTTTCAGAAAATGCACATCAGATATTTTTAAAATACAGGTTACACATTGGAAAAAAAATGTATACTACAAGTGCCATTCATGACATTAAACCTTCTAAATAGTATAGAGGGTATGTTATGTTTCTTTCATTTTTTATTTTTATGGGTTTCCTCTTGTGGCACATAGATATAGCAGCTTAGAAAGATGAGTTTTAGCTAGTTTTAGACCAGCAATTTCAGCCAGAAACTACACAACTAATTTACAAAGAACTATAGTTAACTGAGAGGGCAGAACAGTTGAATCACCTGATAGACAGTTTTAGCAGCCCGCTTTACCGTCACTTGCAACTGCAATAATGCATCCTCAACTCGCATACCACGAACTAATGCAGCAACCAAGTTGACCTTCTTAGGACTCTAAAACAAGCAAGTAAGCCATAAGTCAATTATACTACATAAGCAACAGCAGAAACAATGGTAATGCAGCATCATAAACATAGTTTAAGGGCCCATATTAGAGATGCAATAATAGTTTTTTCTTTTTCCTTCTTGTCAATCCAGCTCTAATTCACACCATTATTGTTCTCCTTTGAGCAGTTGGAAGTAGGGTCAAAAGATCTAATAGTAAAATTTCACCAGCTTTATGATTGGTAACTAACTTGGATGCAGCAAAAACATGGCCAATTTACTCATGCAGAAATTGAGGCAAATAAAGATAATATTGGAACTTTATAAACCAGCCTCCATCAGTTTTAATAAAGAAATATTACCAATCAAGTAGTTGCATGGATGATCTATGGTAAGTTCTCAAGCACAACATCAACCATAGAATTTAAGAAACAAGTTTGTTTCAGCTGAATTTCACTCTAAATCTCCAAAAGCATATAGGCAAGTCCTCTCTGTTTCATGTTTTGCATTAGCAAAATTCATCTACTTCACATATTGCTTTGGATCCCACAAAAGATCCCCTCTGCTTAACTTTGTCCTTCTATTGAGAGTTATGTAAGGTTCTATCAACTCAAGCTATCAGAATATCTTTTATTTCAACTAATAAGGAAAGAGATTTCTGTGAAGAAGTGAAAACCCAACACAATGTGCTCCATCAATTAAGCTAAAGCAAACTCATGTAAAGATGGAGACATTCCTCTTTTTAGCATGTTTGTATAATTTAAAAAAGTGGTTTCCAAAATGCAGAAGTCTGAATGTGAAAGGGTATGGCATGAAAAGTATGCTCCATTTATTAATGGTCCAAAGCCATGAAAATTTTCATGTGGTTATTGAACATTGCCAACTATTACAGGTAGAGGATCACTGGTCATGGAAATTGCAAAATTTCATTATTTCCTTGTATTTTCATTACAAGAATAGACATAATGCAAAACCAATTTAAATTATCTGCCTCTTTTCTTACCTTCAAGCGAGACTACCTTCATAATACTGAAATAAGCAAACAATTTATAACTAGAATTTTCTGGTAATTGTTCAGGAGGTAACCTGTTTTATGTTCTTTAACACTGCTTGAACTTTTGAGCGATTAGGCGCAACTTTCTTCTCTTCAGTCTTTCCACTATTTATTGCCAAAACAGGAGTTAATGGTGATGGAATGGGTGTCTCTTCAGATGAACCTGCTAGCAACTTCCTTGAAGTGGAAATTCCCTATGCATGTAAAACATAAGACAACTTATGCAAGTAAAAACAAAAAACATAAAATAAAAATAATAAGGAAAAAAATTGAAAAAGTTGGCAATGAAAATCCAAATAGTTAAGAATAGAAAGAAGCCATTGCATGGACAATCTCCTTTGGCTCAGATCTACACTGAAAAGTATCACCCCAATAACTTTAATATGAAGCTACCAGTGGGAATAAATATTATAACAGCACACGACAAACACACCCATGTGGTACAATCATTATATAGATAATTCATTTATGGACCTCATCCCATTGTTGAAAAAAAATTTTCATCAGTTAGAAGCATTCTACTGATCTTCAGTGTCTTGACACCACTTCAAACCTTCAAACCATGAGCATTTTCCAATGAAGAACATTTTACAACAATGAACATTGAACAGATAAGAAACTCTAAATAGGTGCTATTGGCAATCAAAATCATGCTGAACAGGAATGACATCAGGATGAGTGCAACAGAATATCTTTAATACAAGAACACAAGCATTGACAAATCAATAACTAGCAACATCATCAAAAAGCGGGAAAGCAAATGAACTTGTTGCTTTCCAAGATACTTGACAATATCCTTCTTCTCCTAACTCTCCATTTTTTTTCATCATTAAACAAAACAAGGCATCCCAAATATCTGCATCAACATTCATGAAATGTCACAAATTCTACTTCAGATTTCACAACAACAGATACATTAGAATACATGTCTAGTTTTCTTATGACTTGCACATCATAAAATTCACAGCTTCTATTTGACATTGCAAGAATGATTTTACTAAGATAAACCAGAAACCGCCTAAAACATCAAATTCACCAATATGTATCAAAGTGCAAAGAACAAGTTGGCATTACCAACTTTTGGAAATACTGATATAAAGGCGCTGAGATGCTAGCAGAAGGTGATATCAACAACCTCTGACTACTAGGCAGTTCACCTGCAAAATATTTCAAAAACTTTTTATACGCAAATTCAATTCCCTACTAACAAAAAGAAGCAAAAAAAAAAAAAGCATAAATTTAGGAAGTATTACCAATGTTTCTTTCTCAATCATAACTTTTCAACTTTAAATTCGCATAAAAAAATTGAACCAAGTAGAAGAGAGAGAGAGGACCCTTGAGCATGAAACAGATGAAGTATGAAGTATTAACAGTCAATCATTTAAAATTCAGTCTTTTTACATAAAACAAAAAGTACCCATGTTTTCTTTCTCAGTATTTATTCCAAATTTAACTTTAACTTCACCCATAAAAAAAAGAAGAAAGAAAGAAATTAACCAGGTAAAAGACAAGAGCTTAAGCGAGAAGAAGAAGAATAGTCGGCAGACAGAGTATAATTATTTTCCAATCTTCTCCCAACTTGACGAAGTACACATTGCAAATGTCTCTGCCACCACACCATGTTTTGAAAAAGATCTTCTCTTTCAGGACTTTTCTCAAACAGCTAAGAGGAGAAAGAAACAACCAAAGTTACAATGTGTCAAAAGTCCAAAAGCCAAAAAGAAAACCATAAAACAAAAGACATTCAAAGAATAATAATAATGATAATCCAAGTTATAAACAATTAAAAACTATGAAGATCAAATTAAAAAAAAAAAAAAAAAACTAGAAAATCCCAGAAAGAAAAAAAAAAAAGGAAACTTAAAAGAGATGAGATTCGTAGATTTTGCTAACTTACTGGTTGGTTATTGTATAAAGATGAGAAAGGGAGATTGTGAGTACCTAGTAATGAGGATGAGGAGTCGGCTATGAAAGCAAAAGGGCCAGGACTCGACGGGAAATGAGACCCTAAAAAAATGTTTTGGAGGAGAGAAAAGCCAGTTGAACTTGAAGCGGTTTCTCGGGTTTAGATAGTAAATAAAGAAAAAAGAAAATTGGAAAGGTTTTTTATTTTATTTTAGTTTTTGCCAACGTTTTAATTGTTATTCAATATTGTCCTTAAAATCATGTGTAAAATAAAATGGTGAGAGTATAATATTAAGAAAAAATATTTTATGGTACTTTGTGGAGAAATAGTTGAATTATCAGTAGAAAATATTTTTTATTTTGGCTAGTTCTGATTGGTTTAAGAAATATATCCATTTTTTGTTTTCATTTTTATGATAAATAAAATATAAAAAAAAAAAGGTGTTTGATGAATGTTTAAAGAAACTATTTTTTAGAGAATGAATATCAAAACTTAGCCAATTTAGAGAATAAAAATAATCTGTTTTCTTTATTTTCTAACAAAATAAGAGAAACAAAAGAAAATGATCAAAACACAAGTTGCTCTCCCGTCTGTCTCCTCCAAAGTTCGAATCCTCTTAGAAGCAATTGCATAAAGATATGCACCGCAAACTTATAAGTTCATGTTGTTTTATCTTGAACGTGTTTTTTTATTATTGATTTGCTATTTAATTATCATAATTATCGGATCATATGTATTACTGTCAGAAATAAAAATTTCAATAAACCTGTCACATTTTCATTATTTTTATTTTTAAAAAATAAATTTTCATATTCACTGACCAAATGCATTTTCAATTAATTTGAAAATAAAAAATGAAAACTATTTTAAAAAATAAAAATAAAAAAAATTTAAAAACCAAATGCTACTTTAAATTCTAAATAGGAAATAAAATAAAATTTTAGCATATCGAGGTGAAATCAATTAGAGTTTTTTTTTAACAAATATATTATGAAAATAAAAAAAAATTACATATGCTACAAAATTTTTATAATTATTTTTTATTGTCAAAACTAAATTATGGAATATAAGTTTAGTAATTAAAAGAAAGTGAGGGATAGTGTGATTAAGTTGGATAACGATATAACACAAAAGAATAATTATTTTTTATATTTGGCATTAATTATTCACAACGATACTTAAATAAAAATGAATGTAAATTATATGATTCAAACAAAATGACAAAGGTAATGCAATATGTTACCATGTTACGTGATTGTAACATATTTTTAAAGTTAAATGTAAAATTATATAAAATAATTATAAGACATGCATTGTTGTATGAAATTAAGTATTATATCACTAATAAATAATATGAGAAGAAAATGAATATAACTAAGATTATAATGCTTAGATGATATATGATAATGCTAGATGAAATAAATTTAGAAATGAATAAATTTGAAAAAAAAAGTTCAAATTGAGAAAAATATAAGAGAATACCATTTGAGTTAGTTTAAAAGTGTAAAACATAAGTCTATTTATGCAATAATTAAAAGAAATAAATTTTTAGATTTAGCAGAGATCAAAATTTTATATATAAATCACAAAAAACATAGAAATATGTAATAAGAAATTATATAAAAGTTAAGGAAGTAGATGAAAAAATTATTTTTTTAATAGAAATAAGTAATGCAAAAAAATTCAAAATTACGATGATTATTTTTTGTTCTTTCACACTATTACACTCATAATTATGATATATAAAACTTAATTTGGTGTTGTTATATTATTTTTTATGGGTGGAGCATTACTTTTATTTACATTTTTCTTATTGAATTTTTTTTTTTCTTTCAAGATGAGTAGTGTAATTTTACAATGATATATGTTAATTTTTTTAATATTAAAAGGTTTAAAATAGCTTTTTAATAAAGAAAAAGATATATTCAAATAAACTTACCAAAATTTTAATAATAAGTACATGTATTCTAATTATGCTAAAAAATGAGTTCAAATCCTTTTTTTTTTCTTTATAAATTAAAAAATAAAACAAAAAATTTTGATAAATAAATGCTTATAGTAGCACTATTGATTTGAAGATGTTCAAAAGAATATTATATATAATAAGATGAAGATAATTTTTTTTTTTTAATTCAGTTATGAAGTAGTTTTATTAGCCATTTCGGATGGTAAGGTTTATTCAACTATTAGTATAACAAAATTAAAAAAAAAAAAAAGATATTTTCTCAGCACCAAATGGAGGATAATACAAATGACTAACAATATAGTTCAAATGTTCAATGTTAGCTTGTATTTAAGGGATAAAAAACCTAGTTCTTGTTTGATTGACGAGAAAATGTGGGAGAATCAAAGAAATTGTTTTTAACTAATCTTTATTTTTCTTTCCAAGATCTTTTATGAACCGAAGGGACTACACGAAGAAAGAAAGAATAGGCAAATCAATAATCAAATACATACAAATAATATACAATTAAAATGCATCCATACCAAAAAAAGACAACCAAACAGCTTTAAAGGATAGTAGGAATACCTCTTTGGCTGGTGAATGGCTCTCCGAGCCTCTCTATGACAAGTTCGGGAATAGAGTTATCCAGGATAAGAGAGGAAAAACTTTGTTTGTTTTTCTTTTCAATTAGTTGTACTTAAAATTATTGAATTAACCTATAAAAATAATTAACAAATTTAATTAAATTTACACTTTACAAATCAATAATTCCATTTATAATTTTTTATATTTTTATAATTAAAAATAATGATTAATATTAATAATTAATTTGAAGGGGAAGGACATAAAATTTAAACTGATATAAGAAATACATCAATAATTTTAAGTTGAATAACAAATTACAATGAAAGTATCAATTAAAAAAAAATCATAATAATTTAATTTACTTTAAGGATATGTATTAATCTCTTAATATCATTTATAAAATTAAAGAATTATAGCGACAAATATATGAAATATTAACTTTTAATATTTAAGTATTTGATTAATCAAAATGAATATAAAATCAAAATGAATATAAAATTATAAGGTTTTATAAACTTATTTATTGTGAAGGAGAGATATTTGTTTTTTTTTTTTATCGTACGATTTCTTTTCATTAATTTTTAATTATTGTTCAAGTATATGATTATTGCAATTTATGAACGAGTCTTAAAAAATTTGAGGGAAGCCCAATCTTATAAATTTTTTATATTTATTTGCAAGTAAAATAAAAAAAATTATATTTTTTCCAAAAAAATTGAAATCATCTAATTTGAATAGTGACATTGAATTTTCAAGTTTTCAACTATAATTTTTTTTTTGTTTGACACCACCCAATAGTTTGAAAAACTGATGGCTTGAAACTGGAAACGTAAAGGTGAAATGGTTGAAACTTGAAAGTTTCATATTCAAAAATTACCTTTATCTTTTTGTCTTCTACTTCTGTTTTGGATGGAATTTTCTTGTTTGCTTTTAAGTTCTCAACAATAATACAAGAAGGAGGATGTAAATTTTTCTGATCCTTTGAAACTAAAGCTTTGTTTCCAAACTTTATTGTTAAAAACAAAATACAAAAGCGGCCAACTAACCTAACGTACCATCTATCATTTTCCAACTTTATTATTCACCTAAATCGCTATGACAGATGGGACCAAATTTTAATAGCCTAGACAATGGTTCCACGTCTCTTTATTTATTTATTTATTTATTTGTTTATTTGTGTTTCACAGTATTAGTAATATATTTTTTTTAATTTTAGAATATCGTTAAGGGGTGTTTATAAGCATTGATTAAAATTAATTAAAATATCATTTTAAAAATATGTTTATATTTAATATATTGTTTTCATAAAATTTAATAAAAATAATGTATTAATTATAATTTTTAATTAAATATCATGTTATTAATAGGGTCGATAATCCAACTCATTTTCGACGGGTTTCGACCCGACTCTACCTTATAGAATCAAATTTTTTTTTTTGAAAATTAAGTTTCGGGTCAGATAAAATTAAAAAAAAATCAGTATCGGGTTCAAATTTTAAATAAACTTGACTTGACCCGACTCAATATTATATAAAAATTTTATTTTTTAAATTTTTATTTATATATATTTATATAATTATATATTTAAATATTTGTATTTTAAAAATAATATTTTATATTTTAAAAAATAATATTTTATTAATTTCAGATTAAGTTGAGTGCGAGTACAATTTATATAATATTAGATCAGGTTAAATTTGGGTGTGAAAAAATTTTTAAAAAAAATTCAGCTCGAATCAAATTCAAATTTGATAAATATAAAATCAGATCAAATTCAAAACAAATAAAAACTTATTCAGACCAAATTTATTATCAATTTTAATTATTAAACATTTATTAATATTTTTTTACTTAAAATATGAACTTTTGAAAGTTGCGCGTTTTGATCCACTCTCTTCTAACCATAAAAAAATATAACTTTTAAGAAAAAAAACTATAATCTAAGTATTAAAAAATAATAAATTTTTAGGGAAAAATTTTGGACCTAAATGTTCGAGCATGAGTTACGTGCTCATGGTTTGATGTAAAAAAATTTATATGTTACGAGTCAAATGTTTGATGTAAAAAATATTACATTAATATATTTAAATTTATGCTAAATCGTTTGAAATTAAAAGATTATATAAATAATATAAAATTTAAGACAAAGTTTTATATAAATATTAATTAAAGCTAGTCAAAGTATTATATTTTATTTTTTGTAATATTTTCCTATCATTTACTACATTCAATTCATTTAATTGGCATTGATTTTATTACGAAATGACTAATCCCTACAGTGTACGGATAAGATAACGTTATTTGCCGACCTATTTATTTGGATAAAGAGAAAAAAATGATTTTAATTATTAAAAATTAAATTTTAATCACAAAAATTAAAATTAATACTTTATAATAAATCACACTCAATCCCACCCATCAATTTCATCGCATCCCTTATCTAATGAATAAACGATACACAACAAATTTTTTTAAAAGTTAAAGCTAATTTAATTTCAGCTAACACAAGTTAATATCTACACTAATAATCAAGTAACTTTATCAAAAGGAATATTGAAAATTTCATACATAATTGAAGATTAATATTTTGAATTGTTCATAAATTTTAATAAAATATTTAAAATTTTTTAGTGTTATATTTGAATTATAAATTTTTAAATTAATATGATATTTAAAAAATTATTTATTTGTTATATATGATCATTTAAAATTAATTATGTTAAAATTTAATATTATTTTAATTAAAAAAATTTTAGTTTAAATAATATATTAAAATTTTTAAATTCAAATTTCATATTAAATATTTTATTTTAATTAAAAAATTATTAATAACATTAATTCATAATTTTATTATTAAATATTCTTACAGTTTTTGATTAAAAAATAAAAATTAAAAAAATTAAAAAGAAAGAAATTAACAGGTGTCAGTCTCGAGATGTCCTTATCCTGTGGAAGCTAGCAACTTTTGAGCTTAAGAACAACGCAGATGCCACATTTACAGCGGTAAAAAACAGTCTGCTGCCTTTTTTCACCGTCAGCCAAATTTGGTGCTACAATTCTACTCTACTAGTCTACTATACCTTTTTTTTAGCAAAAATTAAGGATTTGTGTACTATTTAATTATTTATTTATCTCTTAAATATTAATAATAAATAAATAAATTGATAAGAATAACAATATTGATTTAAAAAATTAAAATAACAATAAAATTAAACAAAATTTGAAAATCCTAACAAAGCTAAGCAATAAGGTTGGTGGAGGGTTTAACTGCTTCCATACTGGTGGGACCGACATTAACAAATGTCCTAAACCCCACTTCCCAACTTTAATAAAATAATAATATTGTTTATTTTTCTTATTATTTTTAGCAGAAAAAAAAAGCTGTAATTTCGATTGTATTGGTGATTCTGCTGAGCGTCGTGTATCCGTTATACCCAAGAAGAAAAGCCCATGTTTATTTAGCGTGTTGGCGGTCTCAAACGGAGTGGTTTTTGTCTCTTCCATCTTTTTAACGTGATCAAGATCTAGAGATTTCTTGGAGCTTTAAAGGAATTGAGTTTTTTCATTGAGATCTGCAGCATCTTTTCGGGGTTGGTGCGTTTTCACTTTTCTGATTCTGGGTTCTTCTTAGAATTTTCCTTGGAGAACAAATTTTTTGGTTTGATTTTCATTGAGCTTCTTGTAAGTCTAACTTCTTTAATTACTTGCTTTTATTTCAATGTCTGTTTGTTTTTTTGCTTGACTAAGAATATTGGTGAAAAGTTGATTTTCTCATGTATCTAACAACTTGTGTTATTTGGTTTTTGGTTTCTTTTTTTGTTGCTTTTTTTTTCCCTTCTCGCTGTTGGCCTTAAGTTATGAAGTTAGAGACATGAATGTTTTGGATATGGAGGTAGCTTAACTGTTTAATTCGTTGTATTATCATGGGGGAGTTTTTAATGGTTTTCCGTTCTTTTTGTTTTTTATTGTTTTTAATAGTTTTTTTTTTTTTTGCCGTTTTTCTATGTCAATTGATGGTTTCCTTTAATTTAGTTTGTCTTTGGTCTTATTTGCATAGAGATGGTAATGTTTTGTAAATCAGGCTTTCTGATTGTATAATCATATGGGATCTTAATATATGAACTTAATGAACATTGTCTTTTTTGCATACTCTACCGGATACTTAAATAGAAACTAATTTTGTTCATATTTTTGTGTTTGAGCTATCATTAACTGTTTTGACTGATAATTGACTATTAAATGCATATGTGTTTAAAATTGTAAAAACCGGGAAGTTCTTAATAAAATTGGTTTGTAGTTGCAAGGTTAGTTGCTCCTTGGAGTGCTTGAGAGGGAGCTGGATGCGATTTGCTTGCATATGTAAATATGGAAAAGAAAAGGGTAATCTCTCAATACAGAGAGAGGCTGGACAAGACGCTGTCGTCTGCTGAACTGACTGATTCAGATATGCTTAAAACCCTTGTCAAGAATCAGATTTTACGAAATGCGCAAGATGAGAAAGAAGGTTAGCGTATTTCTTGCACTTTTTCTGTTTATCCATTTAAGTGGCCATGATATGTGCACTTCAAATCCCTCTATGCCCATTACTTACTAAAAATAGATTTTTTTTTGGAGTATATATTGTCAAATATTTTCTTCTAATTTTTTTTTTTGGTCAACAGAATTTAGTGAAGATTTACTGGACAAAAGGACTCAGGAAGTATCAAATTTTCTTGACATGTTAAGAAGTACTTCTATTGATGATCATCAGGTGTCAAAGTCCAGTGAAGCATCACATGGTGAATGGAAAGTATGCTCTATTAGCTAGATTCCTCATAGTTCTCCTTTATAAATGGCTTTATTAAGCAAATGCTAGTGGAATAAACATTTTATGTTCTAAATCGTGATTATTGTTCACCAAAAATGTGTAACCAACTTCTTTTGACAGTTGAAGCATGATAATGAAGAGTTCCGTGTTATGTACCATGAAGGACCTCATGGCACTCCGTTTCATACATTACTTGTTGAAGGCTATGTAGATGGGCCTGTAGATGTTTGTAAGTTCAGCTCATACTTTGATTACTTTTAGAACTTCATCCTAAATGATGAGAAAAAGATTTTGCAAATAATTTAAGACTTTTAAATACCAGTCATGATTGTATAAGAAACTTTTAAATGAGCTGTACACTTCATTGCAGGTTTATGTATCTCTTGGGAGTCAGCCCTCTACAAGAAATGGTGAGAATTCTTTCCACTGTTGCATTTGGTTCCGACTCTAAATTAACAAGCTATATATTGACTGGTAAAACAATGTAAGCTGCATACTTTAATTTTTCTTTATATCCTCTGTTGAAGTAATATGTTCTGTGAATGACTTCATAGTTGTGTGTGTTCTTGTTGCAGAAAATCCCTGCACACTTCTATAGTTTGTTTATTTTTGGATCTGATCCCAAACCATGGTGCACTAGCAATATCATTTCACTTGAAATTTTTCTTTTTGTTTTTAACTCTTATAATGGCATCATCTAGAGTGTCAAAAGTTGATGCTATTGTTTTAAGGTTGCCACCATGTTTTTATTGCTTTTCTTCAACTTAGAATGGCTGAATTATTGTAAATCAGAATGTTTTGTTGACATCTATTTCTAGTCTGTTCTTGCCTGACTAATAGAACAAGTATGCCTATGTAAATACACCTGTATAATTATAAATGAATAATAGGTGAGAATTTGCCTTATAAGGATGATGGACTGGGGAGGGGATACCTGATGCATAACAATAACATGCAGTTCTTTTAAGATTTCATCCAACTTAAGTGAAAATGCGTACGTTTTCAACAATAATTTACTTTTCCCAGGTGGCCTCAGTCTAGCTTTCCATCTTTTAAAGTAACTAGTTCCACATGTTTGCAAAAGGTCCGAATTGGCGAACAGATATCTCTTGTGAGGTTTGTCAAACCTAGAACTGCAACATTTTATTTAAATTTGTTTCCTTTTTCTAATAATATGTTGAAGTCTGAAAGTGTAAAATGCTTACTTGTTTTTGCATTTTTGGAAGAAAGGGTGAAGGTTGCATGGCCACTGTCAGCTAGGGAGGCTGTAGTACACTATTTTTTCTTTGAGTACTTTCAAGATGATCTGATTGTCATTCTTGTGAACACGGTAGTCACTTCAAATACTTGAATATGGTTTCATCTCCTTTGCAATATGTCTGGAAATTCATCTAAATATTTCTGTACTTTTGCTTTTAGATCCCAGATGTGAGCAGCATCGATAAAGCAACTCATGGATTTACTAATGATGGGATTCCTGAAGCAAAGGATGTTGTAAGGATTGATTTAGTCGGAGGCTTTGCTTTGCAGAAGGTGAACAATGAAAGAAGCTACTTTAGGTGAGTTGTTATACTTTAAGTTTTCATATGAAGATAGGGAAATAGATGTTGCCGTAGCATTTGAAGGAGGGAAAGGGTCAAAGGATTAGGTCCCTTGTGTCACGTGGCCATTACACTCTCCCCTCAAAACTGGCTTATCAGGGTGTGCAGTGCCAATGTTTTTATACCCCAGTGATCTCCCCTTTCATGTCCGATATGGGATTGGAGTACCCTGCCTACTCCACCTTGGAGCGCTTGGTGTGACACAGTCCCCCACACAACCTCGTGACGCCCTCATCATGGAGGCTGGCACCTATCTCCCTTCAAGGTGCTTGGCGTGGGTCGAACAGTCTAGGGTTTGCTCTGATACCAACATGTCATGTGGCCATTACCCTCTCCCTTCAAAACCGGCTTATCAGGGTATGCAGCGCCAACATCTTTATACCCCAGTGACCCATCATTTCATGTCCGATGTGGGATTGGAGTACCTTGCCTACTCTCCCTTGAAGCGCTTGGCATGACACTTGCTCCTTGGTACAAGTATCAAAGGAGTTTTACCTGCAAAGATAGCAGACACCTTCAATAATTATAACTCTGCCACTTACTGTTACTTGAAATTTGAACAGGTCATGTGCTTGAGGAACTTATTTTTCAAATATCCCAAAATATGACTAGCAAACATTAAGCGGAGATCTTCATATATTTGGAGTTAGCATTGGCTAAATACTGGTCTTCTGATGATTCCATTTTATTGGAGATGTGATTAGGAGAGAGCCTGAATTAGGGATGATTGTATCTGCCAAGGCAATTGGTCTAACTGTATTACATAACCAGTTTTGTCCTGTTTGGTGATTATATGGTTCCAATCACAAGGATTTGGGGATTTATTTCAAATAGCTGTGCAATTTTTCCTTGTCTTATGTGGCATTAAGTGTCAAATAGGCATTACAAAGTATTTTCCAACACGTGAAGTCAGTTGGGCATTTAGAAGGAAGAAATAGAGAAAGAAACACTGTAAATGCCACAAGGACAATAGCAATTATGGCTATAGAAAGTAGAAACTGTGTCCATAGAACTTTTTGAAAGTTTATATTCCTCTCATGTTCTTCTTTTTCTCCCCTAAATGTTAAAATGTTGCTAATTTTGTAGGACAATAGCAAATATGGATATGAAGCTGGATTTTGTCCCTCCATCCCTTATAAACTTTATCTCAAGGCAGCTTATTGGAAATGGTTTCAGACTCTATCAAAAGGTCACACATTCTTCTGACATGACATCTTAATTTGCCACAAGTATCCAGATTAAGATTTTTCTTTATTTTTATAATCTACAATAAGTGTAACTCATTTTGCTTGTCAAGTAAGCAATGAAATGATGGGAATAGATGGATCCAACTGATTATTCATCTTACAAGGTTCCATTGCTGAGGGCTTCTGGATTAGGAACTTCATTTTTCATGATGCAGATCATTACTAGTAACCAATTATTCTCTCACTTTTTCCTATTTACAATGCTTACAGACTGTGGCATCTGTGTCTAACTGTGATGAAGATTACAGCAAGGCCTTGGGGGACCCTTTGTTTGCTCTAATACGTGAAGTTCTTTACTCCAGTAACAAATCAGATGAAGTTCTTAAAGTACAAGAGCTCCAAAGTGAAGCCCACCTATTGCCTAATGAGAATTTCATTGAAGGCGCACAAGATAACATGCATGATGCAGAACAGAAGGTTCATGCTAATGACCATGCTGGTGAATCTCCACTGAAGAAAGCGCAAGACACAAAGAGAAAAACTTTTGGTGAAATTGAGGAAGAAGAGAGTGAAGAGATTACATGCCAGGAGGAAGGCACCAAGACTGCAAATCAACTTTCAACCAATAAATTTGCTGATACAAATTGCGTAAATGCTAAAAAGTGGATTTCTATTCGTCCGGAGGTGGATGAAGCTTTAGGAATGCTGGAGAAAGCCATTTCCATAGTACGGCAATATGGATTTAATGCCCAAAGCAGATCTTCTAGTTTCTCTGATGAAGAAACTGCAAATTTGGAAGAGGGTGCTGTGAAAGACTTAGCTTATGCTGCATATGACAATGTTTGTTTAAAAGATGAGGTTGCTGTTGAAGCCGCTTCCAGAAAGCTTGTGGAGAATCTGGAGATGACTTCGGACGACTCCAGGAATAACAGTGACATTAACGTCACAAGGTAACTATGTTAAGATATTTTCACATATTTTTATAATACATTCAAGTGCCCTGAAGTTTAAATCTTAATTCATATCCTTATTAAATCAAGTTGAGGGAGCTGAAGAGAGTGGAAATGTTGTTTTCTCTTCATTTAACCTTTCCCATCGTTCCCCCCTTTTCTTGTCAACCAATTTGCAGCTGCAAATGATTGGGATCCTTAGAGTCTAATGGTTTATGGGTTGATATGTGGATGTGCTGCAGGTCTGCAGGATCAAATTCATTTGCGAGGGAAGTTAACCATAATAAAGTAGTTCCGGCGTCACCTCAGCAAAATGTATCAATACCAGTGGAGACTAACCAGGTTGCTTTGAATTCCTATGGAAATGGAACCATCGAGGCAAATGGGTTCCATGAAAATGGTCCAAATGAAGTTAAACAGTCGAGTAACTGGAGAAAGCATAGATTCTGTTGCTTTGGCTTCTATTCAGGCCAGCCAATGCCTCAACTCCGGAAGAATGACTAGATATGACTGATGGAAGTCAAGTCCTTAACTTCTATCAGCAAAATAGACTTGAGCCCTCTTTTTCTGTAACTTTAATTCATTATGTACACCATAATTTTTATTTTCTCTTAACAACAATTTACCCATAACTTCTTTCTTTTTCTTTGGCAGAGATGTATAACAAGTCCATAATGCATTGCCTGTTATTTAGAGAAAAATAAATATAATTTTGATTCAAGGTTTAATTTGATTATTACTTTTATGCTTTACAATTTTTCCTATTCCTACTTTGCACTTCTTCAAAGTAATTTTTTTAAAAAATAAAGAGTGGTTAGAAAGTTAATTAAAAATAAACTCTAATTTTTATCATAATTATTTTATATGTAAGTAAAATAATGCATTTTGATTTTTTCCCAAATTTAAAATTTTTCTCCAAAAGTTGCCATAAAAGTCCATACTACAATAAAAAGGTGCTGGAACTGCGATGCCCTCGGGGCTGGAACGACGTCGTTCTTGTATTGTGATTCGTGCCGCAGCATTCAGCCTGTTGATTTATCAATCGATTACTATCAAATTTTTGGACTGTAAATTTTTTCCCCCAATTTCATTTTTTTAAAAATTTTTATTTCCTGTTTTGATTCCGTACCTTTTTTATTTTAATTTTTAACAGGAGAAAAGGTATGATATTGAGGTTTGTTGATGGTTTGCAAAGGAAGTCAAAGGATTGGCAGAAAAAATTGCATTCGTAATCCTGTTGTTTTCATTTACTCGAAGTGATTCTTGTGTAGATGATATAATCAAGATGTTTTAGAGTGAGTGGTATCAGTGTGATTGAGAAAAGCTGTAGGATGCGACCTTACGTTGAACAACTTGTTGAATCTATGTTTTTTAACTTCAATCGACTGGTTGATACACGTGCATTTGGTTCATTGGCCAATTGATTTGAATAATGCTAAAGAAAGTAGATTTTCTTGATCATGCTTTCCTTCGAAATATTCTCCTTTATGTCGTCTTGATATTGATTTTCCTGTGTTTGAATTATTTGTGAACTTGAGATTTTGCCATTTCCATTAACAGTCGAGGGTTGAAGGAGTAGGATGCTGATGAAGAACAGACAGTTTCGGATCCAGAGTTGTTTCTATTTTATACAGATTATGGAAGTCAGGGAAGCTGTAGGAGAGGCTCCGGATTCACAAGCTCTAAATTAGATTCAACCTCAGGTATGACAAGAGTTCTAAATCTTCATGCTGTCTTGTTACAATAGAGTAGTTACACCAGCATGGGAGAAACTACTCTAGCATGGGAGAATCATGATGTTTCTCTCCAGCTATCACTTGCATTTTTCATTTTTAGGCAAGGCTGACAGCAGTTACCTAAATGGCAATTATTTATAGACTGCATGTTTGAAACTGTACTATTTTTCAGACTGCTAGAGGAAGAGTGGGAGAAAAATCTAAAAGCTAAATGAGGCACTTTCTCAACAATCTCCGGTTCAAATGAAAACTCTGATTTTTTCTAATTGCTCCTCCATGGAAACCAAGGCATTTACATCTCTAACCATCTTAGTTATCTCATGTACCCCTGACTAACACCAAATTCAACAGAATTTCCCACCTGGGTATCATCCAAAAACGTTACATTCTCCTCCTTTTCCATCAATTTAGTCTTCTCCTGCGTGTTTTGACAATCATCCGGCCTTCTAGACAATGATTCTTCTATAAACTCAAGCTTCCTGGCATTGGTTTGTGGCGATGAAAAGCCCATGAAAACCCAGAAAGGGTTTCATCTGAGGTTATGTTAGCTCTCCAAAAATGTCAATTATTTCGTGTAAGAGAGAGGGAATGCTACATGTTTCAGCTCGGTTCTTCAAGTTGGTTTGTGGAGTTTTCGTCGTTTGTGGAGTTTTGGATGATTTTGAACAGGGAGAGGCTTAAGGTTCCGATTTGCAAAAAATAATTTTAGTATTTTTAAGTATTTGTTTAATAAAAATTTGATTGATCAATAAAAAATAATTTATTGATTAATAAAAAATAAAAATTATTTTTTAAAAAATTATCTTATAAATTAAAAAAAAAAAAGATATTTTGCGAAAAAAAAAAGTTTACGAGTAAAATTATTTTTCAATATTTTTTAACATAATTTTACTTATAAATAATATTATATTAATAATAATATTTAAAAATAATATTAAAATATATTAATAAATAATAATATATTAATAAATAATACAATAACAAATATTATTAATTTAATTAGTAAATATTATAATAATATAGTAATAAAGAATATTATAATATATTAAAAATAATATAAAGAATAATAAATAATTTTATTTTAAGCATTTTTATGTTAATATAATATTTTAATATTAAATATAATTATTAAAATATAATTATTTTTAAATAATAATAATTTTAATATATTTTAATAATTATATTAATATTATTTGAAAAAAATAAAAATTTTAAAAACAATTAATCAATAAAAAAATATTTTTTATTAATTCATTGAAATGATAAAAAAATTTTAATTAAAAAATATAAAAAATTTGTAAAAAATTTTTCGAAAATCATTTTGTGCAAAAGAAACTAAACTTAATTGTCGAGAAGTGGAGGCAAAAAGGATTGGTCCTTGATTGTGAATGAAAGGGCTGGAATCTGATTAAGCACCTGATTTTCAAGCTATTCTCCTCTACATTTGATGTATTTGTAACAGTGGAGCTCCCAAATTGATGCTTTCCTTTGACCGACTAAAGGTCGAAAACGAAACAAAACGCCTGATTAAGTTCTAAAGCACCCACTCTTACTCCAGATCTTTGGTTGATATCATGTGGGGCCAACAATATGCTGTGATAAGCACTGAAACCACACTGGTCGTGAGCTACACCTTATAAGAACCCATTTGAATGCGTAAAAATTTGAGGCAATTTTAACGGAAAAACCTGCCTTGTTTTTTCTTTTTTTTTTCTCTTTCCTTTCATTTCCTTTCCCTCCTGAATGGGGAAGAAAAAGAACACAAAATGCAGAAATCAACACTCTTTTTCTTTGATTATACTAATTGATCAAAACCCTAATAAATGCATTTTTCTCATATATAAACCTACTAATACCAAAAACCTCAAATCCTACCTCACGAAGAAATATCCTTTGTTTTCTTCATCTTCATTTCTCTTGCCTATTTTTCATTTGGTTTAATCATTTTACTATTTATATTTTTCCAATTTTTATGATTTCAAATAATTGTTTTGACATAGAATTTGTCAATTGTGATTGTTTATTTATATTGGGTTATTGGAAGTTTCTTCTCTTTCTTCCTTTTTCTTCTCCTTTTTAATGATCATTGATCATTGTATTTATGTAGGAAATTTTTAAGTATATCAGAACGTCTTTAAAAGATTCAAATTTTTTGCTTTTGATGAAATTGTTTTAGAGGGGTAATTCTTCTCTTTGATGCATTACATTGATCATTGAATCATTGGTGTTGGTTGCATTGTGTTTTCTTTTTGGTGAAGGTATATGGGTGGTTTAGATTGGCTAAAGCTCCATTTAAAAAAAAAATTGACCCGCTAGGGAGAGAAGAAATGGGGTTATACCATATGGGTGATTTCAGTTTTCTTGGATATTTATAGAAGAAAAAGTGTGAGAATTAAGAGTAGTTTGAGATGGGAAATTGCATCTGGGGGTCTCAATCGGCTGAAGTTGGAAATGAGGATAAAAAGGAAATTGACAATGAAGCTGATCAGTCTGAAAGTAAAGAGGCAGAAGCTGCTTCTGTGCAAAACCAGCCCCCGGAAGAAATGAAGATTGTTAGGGAAGAGACAGGAAGCGAACAACAAGGGAAATCTAAAGAAGCGACCCAAAGACAACAATCAAAGTCTCACCCTCAAAGACTTAATTCCAAACCATCACAGCTTGCAGCATATAACAAGGAAGAGAGTAAGATTGAGCCTGGAAAACCCCGGAAGGCCCATAATGTTAAGAGGCAGTCATGTGCAGGGCTGCAGGTAGAGTCAGTTTTACAAACCAAAACAGGCCATTTGAAGGAATACTATAACTTGGGGAAGAAGCTAGGGCAGGGCCAGTTTGGGACAACTTTTCTTTGTGTGGAGAAAGGTACCGGGAAGGAGTTTGCTTGTAAATCTATCGCTAAAAGGAAGCTGACAACTCATGATGATGTGGATGATGTGAGGAGAGAAATTCAGATAATGCATCACTTGGCAGGACACCCTAATGTTATCTCCATTAAAGGGGCTTATGAGGATTCCGTGGCAGTTCATGTTGTCATGGAGTTGTGTGCAGGGGGAGAACTCTTCGATAGGATTGTAAAGAGAGGGCATTACACTGAAAGAAAGGCAGCAGAACTAGCAAGGACTGTAGTTGGTGTTATAGAAGCCTGCCATTCCATGGGAGTAATGCATAGGGATCTTAAGCCTGAAAATTTTCTTTTTGTGAATGAGGAGGAGGATTCGCCACTTAAAGCCATTGATTTTGGATTATCGATATTCTTCAAGCCTGGTATGTCCAAAATACTTTTCTCTTTTGAGACTTTTTTTTTTTTTTCTGCATTTCTTTTAAGTCCAATCTCAATTGCTGTTCTGCCTTGAATCTCCAATTTATCCTTTTCAATTTTAGTAACATGAACTTTTAGCCCACTGTCCTAAAAGCTCTGAAAGATTAATTCAGCCTTACCTCATCCTGGGAGCTTTGTGGTAAACATTTCTAGGTGCAAAATTCATGTTGAGTTTAAAGCTCAAGAATGATTCTCAATATTCCCATTTTTTTGGTTATAATTAAAATTGACTTAAAAGTAAAGGAATTTCAAGTACTATAAATTGGCATGAATCCACAGTTACTATTGAACTCCTTGACTTCAAGGGACAGAATGTGCTAAAACCACTGTGGTAAGTGAGTGTTTTATACATTTTAGTAATTCTTGTCATATCATTTTCTCCAGTCAATTTCAGATGGAATGCCTTTGATTCTAAGCATTTCAGTTTTCTACCATGTTTGCTTTCATTAAAGACAAATAGTTCAAGTTGGAGAAGATGGAACATTGATGAAAAGTAATTGGTTGGATTATGACGGTTTAAATACGGAAAAGATCAATTTGGCTCAATTTAGTGGGGTTGTTAGACTTAGATTGAGGTTTGTTTTCCATTTTAAGTTATAATTCCATGTTTTCAAAAGTTGACTGGCAGTAGCAAAAGAAAAGGGCATTCATCAGTTAGAAACTATAACAAGTAAATGAATCCTATTCCTATCAAAAAGAAAAAGAACGAAAGTAAACAACTCCCTTTCATAGATGGATTGCAGTCTTTTAAACTTAATTTCCTCTGACTTTCCATGAACAAGCTATTTTTACAAGCTCTAATTAGAGAGGAAGATGCACCTTTTTTCATGATAAATCTATACCAAAAGCTGGATGTCAAACCTTGTGATTTTTCTTGTTATTGCTTAACTGCTTTAAGAGATGTACTCATTTTCAATTAGATATATAAATACACATAATAGGAATCAAAACAAATATTTAGTAAAGTATCAAAAATAAAAACCAAATGAAAATTTAAAATTCTTGTAGGTAAAATTTGAATAGATGCTCAGGATTGGATATCTGCAGAGGACTTTGATGTTCGCAGGATGTTAGTTCACTCGGTGTAAATCAGTTTCATTTATAGGAAAAAACAGTTTAAAGACTTCTCCACAGTGTCGTGAAGCTGTCTGTGCAATCAGCAATGTGTTGTTTTCTTAATGAAGGTCTTAAAATTTCAGGGGATATCTTCTCTGATGTCGTTGGAAGCCCATACTATGTTGCACCTGAGGTTTTGCTTAAGCATTATGGTCCAGAAGCAGATGTGTGGAGTGCTGGCGTGATCATTTACATTCTCTTAAGTGGGGTGCCTCCTTTTTGGGGTGGTAAGAGCTCATCAGATGTCACTTCTGTTGTTGAAAATTTTAATATAGTATTTTAATTTTCTCGTTGAACTCTGCACTTTGAGTAATCTTCCCTTAACCTTTGATCTATTTGTGCTTTTTCGACATAGAAACTGAACAAGAAATATTTAATGAGGTTCTGCATGGTGATCTTGACTTCACATCTGATCCCTGGCCTAGTATCTCTGAAAGTGCAAAAGATCTAGTGACAAAAATGCTAGACCGAGATGCCAAAAAGCGGATAACTGCTTACGAAGTACTACGTAAGTCTCTTTTACAGCAGGATGATTATTAGAGAACTTAGATATTGATAACATGATTGAGGCTATTTGAACTTTGAATTCTTAGTTGAGTTCTTTTCCGATCTTTTTCATGTGTTTAGTTCGTTATTAATAGCTTTAGATTCATCTGGCCGACCATAATTTCATTTGTTACGAATCCAAATTATCATCTTTGTTCTCCATTGCTATGGAAGAGTTGTGTTCAAGGATGTCAGAGCATACAGTTGGGTTGCTATAGGGACAAAATGTGAAAGAATATTACTTATCAGAATTCTCAAGACTATTGGATAATCTGGACAACTTTTTGCTATTTCGCTATGGAATTTAAGGAATTAGCTAATTTGATTTTGGTTTCTTGCAGGCCACCCTTGGGTTCAGGTTGATGGGGTGGCTCCAGACAAGCCACTTGACTCTGTAGTCTTAAGCCGCTTGAAGAAATTTTCTTCAATGAACAAACTCAAGAAAATGGCTTTTAGAGTAAGTTTCTGCCAGTGAAACATAGGTCTATCTCTTGCAAACAATGGTCTCTAAAACTTCTGAAAAGATGCTCATTTAAGTGGAACTCTTTCAATGCACAAATCCCACTTTTAGGTCATACTCATTTTGTTCCTAGCCCCTTTTTTATTTATTTTGTTTCATTTTTTTAGGTCATTGCCCAGAGACTTTCTGAAGAAGAAATAGCCGGGTTGAAGGAAATGTTCAAGATGATAGACACAGATAATAGTGGTCAAATCACCTACGAAGAACTCAAAGATGGATTGAAAAGATTTGGTGCTAATCTTGATGAGTCAGAATTTCATGCTCTAATGCAGGCTGTAAGTTTCATTTCAGAATCCCCTGGCTTAAAAGACCTAAACGAACAACTCAAAATAAATCCATAGCATTGTCATACTAATTTGAAATGATTAATGCTTCATCCCTCCTAATATAATTAACTTCTTTTGGTTCTTTTTTTTTTTTTTTTTGTTTGGAAATCGCAGGCAGACGTTAATAATAGTGGTACAATTGATTATGAAGAGTTCGTAGCTGCAACATTGCATCTAAACAAGGTTGAGACGGAAGATAATCTCTTGGCAGCCTTCTCATATTTCGACAGAGATGGCAGCGGCTACATCACTCGAGATGAGCTTCAAAAAGCTTGTCAAGAGTTTGGTATTGAGGATATCCGCCTGGATGAAATGATGCGAGAAGTCGATCAGGACAATGTAAGTCAATCAGAACCTGTGTGTTTTCAATCAACTTAGACAGGAAAATAGTCACATTCCTCCTGAATGAATTTTCATGTTTTGACTCATTTTGGGTCATTTTATTTTCTCAGGATGGCCGGATAGATTACAATGAATTTGTGGCCATGATGCAGAAAGACAATCTTGAATTTGGTAAGAAAGGTCAAGGTTTTACCATTGGATTTAGGGAGGCTTTGCCAGTTTGTTGACAAGATATAGTCCCCTAGGGCCTTTTCTTCAGGTGTTTTTTTTTACCAACTTTTTAGAGGTTAGCTTTAGTTTGTCTCTTCAAAGTTTAAAGATCATCATCATTCATCGGGCATTCCTTACAAATGTGAAAACTACTCGAATGTAATTTTTCAAGAAAAGAAACAATTTTTTTTTATTTATAAAATATTAAGAGTAAAGAAAGTTATTCGATCTTTAAGATTATGATAAATTATCAATTCATAAAAAAATTTATGAATCTTTTGAAATTTTTTAAACTTACAAATATTAATAATTGTGATAATTCGAACATGAATATTTTATATTTTTAAATCTTAATTACTTGCACCAACTCTTATTGGCAAAAGACACAAATTGTAATTATCAAAAAAATACAAAAAAAAAATCCTTCAAATTAATAACTTTTGCATGCTTTTCACCTATGATGTGAAAAATGCTACAAATACTTACAATTTCAAATTAAATATAGATATGTTATAAGGACGAATTGCCATGGAGGGAAATTAGAGAGAATTAAAGGAAATGAAGCCTAAAGCCCTAAGCAAGAAAAAAAATTATATTATTCTCCTAGTTATTTGATATATGGGAGTAAAAAAAAAAAACAAAATGAAATAAAATAAAATAAAATAATTAAGACTACAAATTATAAATAAAAGACCCACTTTTGATTGAAGTCTTTTTCTTCCATCCCTCATTTTCCTTTACACAAAATTTTATTTCCTTTCCTTTGTCTCCACTGTCGTTTGCCCAAATTAACCTAGTTTTTTTTATGCAAGGTTAGTGCAAAGTCAGTTCCCATTTATTAAACATAATTAAATAAGCAGCCCATTCATAAGCATGCCATGATTAGTATTAATCATTAGGAAAAATATTTGTAAGTTAATTAAGGACATGTTACAAGTTAGGTTGACTGATTCGAAGTTTTTTTTTGCCACATATAATTTAGTGGATTATCTTGATTCCTTCTTAAAATGAATCTCTGCTATTAATGAACTATAACCCCCACATTATAAGGGATTATAAATGATTAGGTTAATTATAATGAATGAGCCCATCACCATCCATTAATTCTGGATCATTAGTTAGCTATAAATAAGAAAAATAGATAAGTAGATTTTTCTAGTCAGAAATAAATATTATGATTAAAGCCTCATTTTTGTCAAATAAAACATTGAAAATTTTTAAAAAATTACGATCACGATAATAAATTTTTAAATTGCTTACCTTTTAAATATAATTATAATTTAAAAGATTCATACGTTTATTTTGTATAAAAATAATTAACGTTAAAATAATAATTAAACTCTAAATAACTTAACATTAAATGAAGGAAAGAATGTAATAAATTTGTGTATGGAAAATAAAAGATATAGTATTAGAAAAATTAATGAAAAATATCATTTTCGAATTTCAAATTATTCAACTACTTACGAATGCTATAAATAATATAAATAAAAACTATAATAATTTATTTTAAATGACTAATTGGGCAACCAAATATTAATATTTCTATTTTTTTTTGTTTTTTTTTCTTACTGCAAAATTGCTTCTCAACCAATGATTCCAACAAATTCGAACTAATTTTCCAATTCACTAATTGAGACGAAGACAAAAACATCACATGCAAAGTGCCAAAAATGAAGGGCGTGGGTACACGCGTTGAAACAATAAGGCAAACAACCAAAAAAGGAAAATGAGAAACTTCAATCTTTGAAGATGACGTTTCAAGGCCAGCCTACTAGCCGCGAATGCAACGCACCACCCGCAAAATCCTGGACTTTTAAAACTAAAATAAAAAATCAAACATGGGCCATGATTGGGACCCACCATCTTTCATCAAACGGCTGAGATTGTCCTTTACCTTAATGAAAACAAAAGAAGCGGGACCCAGCCGCAGGATGTTCGGTCTCTCCGAACAGACAAATCCTCTACTACGCACGTTGCGTGACAGCTGTAACGATGGCACCAACGTGAGACCAATCATGTTGCTCGGTCTTGCCACGTCATCATTAAGGATGGTGTGGGCCATACCCGGCTGTGACCTAGGTGTCCGTGACCCACCAGTTACAGTTGGAATTACAAGGTTTTTTTTTTTTTTTTTTTTTGAGTGTTTGGGAACTTCCACGTTCTCCAACAGTGCACTTGGTTTTACTTTTCTGTTCAATCATTGGGTTGGTTGTGAAATGACGTTTTGACCCTTAATCCATTTTAAGCGAAGAATTTTGTTTGGACTGATTAAAATGCCCTTGCTTGACCCCCTAATTAAGGACAAATTTAGGTGTTAAAAAGGCTATCAAGAGCCACTTAATTAATTAAAATGGGATTGTCCAAATTCTAGGTCTAGTTGGTGAGTTAGGTGAGCAGGATCAAATCTTGTTTAACTCGCTACCATAATTTTCCAAATTGATTTGAGTTTCATTACTTATTTTGCACTTTCTATTTGAAGATTTTCTACATTTCAATGTTTGGCCATGGAGAAAAAAAAAAAACAAATAAACATTATTAAGTTTATACTCATTTTGTGAAGTGAAAATAAAATGTTAAATTCAATACCTTACCTTTGAAGACTGAAATTATTCCCATTTTATTTTTTCACATTTAATGAATAACGACTTAATATATTAAATAAAAAATTAATAAATATTTTATTAATGTATTTAATAAATTTTCTTAAATAAATTTAAGATTAAATTATAAATTCATTTTTTTTTACATGATGGATGGGATTTTTATTTTTTATTTTTTCCAAAATTGGGGATTGACCATTTTATTGATTGTACCATCCCACATGCCATTAGACATGTTACTTGAACTCCCCAGAACCCCACAACCAATCTCTCCCAATAAAACTTGACATGTCCTTTTCTAATTGAATGCAGCCAATTCTGATTTGAAACCCTGAAACCAGAAATTTCAATTCTCATTCATGAATCTCTTCTTTGAAAACTTACTAGTGGAAAAAACAAACAAAAAAGTTTAAATTAATTTGTGGAAAGTGGATACCCCAATTGTGTTTCATAATTCTAATGCAACAACAAATTGTAATAATCTCTTAAAAAATAAGAAGAAATGGAATAATGAATGAATTATAATTCAAAATGATCTAATTAAAGAAAAGAATGTTTTAATAATTTATTCAATAGTTATTTATTTATCGGTGCACTATAATTGTAGATATAATTGATTTTTGTTTTAATTATTTAAGGACAAGCTTTTAATGTTTGTTAGTGCTGCCTATATTTGCTTATATTTATTTTTTACATAATTTTTTTTTAATTTGTGATTTTTAAATACCAACTTGAATGGTATACTAATTGATTTAAGGCACGTATATTCATTAATAACACTGTAAAATTTTTTATTAATAAAAAAATTTATATGAAAGGAGGGTTGTTCTAATAAATGCTCGGAGCATGCTGCAAGTCTCAAAACTTACATTGAACTTCCTGCAAATGGTCTTTGATTTCATTCCATTCCCTCCATTTATGATTCATAGTTGGAAAAAGGGAGTTAAAAGCTTGAACTTGGAACAAAAAACTACCCGTTGGATTAGTGGCAATGCAGTCATTTGGCTTTACAATTCATCAATCTTTCCCTTCTATCCACTTCATTGAAAAGCTCGTCCTACTTTAAACACACACTCTCTCTCTCCAAAAACACTCCAAAAGCCACCTCCTTTGCAGGAAGCAGACTGTCACTGAGCCTCTCAATCGAAAGCCCAGTTTGGATCTTTACATCTTTAGTTTCGGATTTTGTCACTTCTTTGTTAGACTTTCAAGTTTTTTATTTTTTTTATCAAATTCAGTGCTTTCTCATTTGCTTTTCAAGCTTTGCATTTTTAGTTCTCTCGAGTCCAAACTGTTGTGAGCAAGGTAATTGCTTTACAAAATTTGTAAGCTTTGCTTTCACTTTTTTTGAGCTTATGGGATTTCTTTCTGGTTATGTTCATAAAGCTTTGATTTCTGTGTTTTCCTTTTCTTGGCCAAATGGGTTTTTTTTTTTTTTTAAGTTGAATCCTTGTTGTTCAATTGCTTTTTCTCTCTGGAGCGATTCTCATTTCATGTTTTGATTAAAGGTTAACCAGATTTTGCAGTTTTGAGGAGGAGATGTGAGAAGGGATAATATATGCCATTTAGATTCATTACAATGATCACTCATTGTAATGAATCCTTTAGTCTTATAATCTAATTTAGCAATGTCATTGATTTTGGCTAAAGCCCTTTAATTTTTTTTCCATTTTAAGTTGATGCTAATGGTTTTCACCGGTAATTTTGCAGGAAATTTGAGTCATTTGCTGTAGAATGGAGTCTGAGAACGGGGTAACAGTGGAAGACGAGAGAATTGTCGGTGAAAGGACAGACGTGGAAGAATCTGCAACAGAAGCAAAGAAAGAGGAACAGAATGTTGGTATTGATGGTGAAGGGGCTTCAAATTTGAAGGAAGCCTCCAAGCAGGGAACAAAATCTGAAGGCATGGCAAATAAAGCTGCTGCAACTGTCTCCAAAAGTAAAATCTCAAAACCCGTAAAGGTACCATGTACCATGCATTCAAGCTGTTCTATTGCCATTGAATTTTTTTACTTACATAATTTCTTGCAGCTCAAATATTCCATTTTTTAATGTGTATTTGTCTATTTCTATGTGTAGGAACCTGGTAACTTGACTGGTGGTAATTCAAAGAACAGTAAGGTGACAAAGGATAAATCTAATCTGAGAAGTGCAGTTCCAGTTTCTCGTAATCAAAGGCCTGTGCTGTCCCCGAGCCTTTCATTTCCAGCAAGAAGAGTCCATGGAGATGGTCTCATGAAGAGCATTGATGGATATCCGGAGAAACCTGATGTCAAACATGCCAAAGAAAAAAGCACAAAAGTTCAGGTTCCTTCTTCCAATGCATCAGTTCCTTCATTGTCCCGCTTGAATTATCCCAACAGGCGTGGATCGATCAATCTGGACTCAAAGCCGGCAAATACAAATGGTGGTGGGGTTACTGCCAGGCGGACTACTTTAGCATCTTTGCCTAGCGATAGGCAAGCTGTGGTAAGGTTTTGTTATATCATATTTTTCCTTTCTTTCTTCTTTGTGTACCTATCTTTCTTTTATCGTTGTCTTTGCTTATCAGACTGCAAAATCTGGTCCTGGGAATGTGGCTGCCAAGTCCCCTTCATCCTCGGAGTAAGTCTTAGTCACCATTATCATCAGGCATACGCGCACGGTTTAACCTCTTCTTCTTTGGTTGTGTGATGACTGTAATGCATTTATATTTATCTTAAATTCGCTCTTAAATTCGCTCAAAACTTGTATGCAGAATAGATCTCTTTACTCCTTCATCCAACATCCCAACTCCATTGCGAAGCAAGAAAGAAAGAGGGTGGGGTGGGGGTAATACCAGAGGGGAAACAATTGAAAAGATACAACTTATTAGTTTAATTCTGCTGGTTTAATTATTCTGTGAACATTCCTTGTGTGATTGCAGATCAACTGATTCAAAGCCAATAACGGCTGCACTGCTGAAAGAGGATGATGATGCCCATTCCACTACTTCGTATCTTCATTACTTTTAACTTCATTTGCTATTTAATTCCATTTGTTAATTACTCTCTTTTAACTGACATGTCTAATGATTTTTGGTCTTAATTATTAGCAGTGCCACATCTCGTAGCACTAGAAGAGGTAGTGGGTCGGCATTCACCTTCAGGTTGGAGGAGCGCGCTGAAAAGAGAAAGGAGGTTGGAAATGAACATCAATCCATTATTCTGTTGGCAGCCTTAATTACATTTAGGTATATAAGTAATTGTTTCATGAACTTTTTCACCAGTTTTTTTCGAAGCTAGAAGAGAAGATCCATGCTAAGGAATTTGAAAGAAATAACTTGCAGGCAAAATCAAAGGTCTTCGCAATGACTTTTCTCTGTAACTATTACTTGAATGGACATCTTTTTTTTTTCTCTGTCAAGTAATTATGTTTTTCAACTTTTCTTCTTCAATTCATTCTATCTTGGCATTTCATTAATTTTATAGTTTGTTGTATCATGCAGGAGAACCAGGAGGCAGAAATCAAGCAATTAAGGAAGAGCTTGACTTTTAAAGCTACACCAATGCCAAGTTTCTATAAGGAACCTCCTCCAAAAGTTGAACTAAAGAAGGTAATTGATGGTTTTTTTTATTACTTTTTCGTGCTGGCATATTTTCTTTTGTCAGAAAATTTTAATTTCTGCATCATAGCCATATATCATAGATGCTCTTTGAAACAACATCATCCTTAGAATATTTTGGATGTGCCTATTATTGTATCATAGTGTTTAATCATTCTTATGTAGTGTGATGCTGGTAATCGTGATATTCTGTACCTTTTATTTTTGTACGGTTGATATTCCATAACTTGAACATTGAATTGTTTTACTATTACAGCATGAAAGATTGGGATCTACAACCTTCTCAATTATCATTCATTTATTTTCTATTGAAGATTGAGAAAAAAGCTGGTGTCAAGATAAATGTAGCTGCAGGTGAATATAATAATATGTCAAAACCTTGCAGGGTGTTTAGCGTGCACTTTTAAAGGCTTTATCTTCAATTAAAGTTAATGCTCTGCATTAGTAGGTAGCTATGCTAGATTAAGAAAACTTTAAATCAGATTAAAATTTTGTCCTTCTACTTTATCCTTGAAACATTGTAAATATGATGCATTTTCTCACTAAACTTGACGGCCTTATCTCTTGATGGAGCACTTTAACTCACACAATGTAGTCATGTAATTAGGAAAGTTATCATCTTTTTTTGCTGTAAAGAGGATTAGAAATGAATTTCCTCTGTAGTCCAGCTTATCGTTACTATTACATTTTTTAACTTTCTAATAGATGATCAGATACATTTGCATGAGGCGATGTTGACAAGGTTATCTGCCTAACTGAGCAGTCTTTCCGTTAATATGTGAAGTGTTACCTTCACATGCATATGGGCAAATGTACATATAGTTGAACTCTTAGAAATGGATCAAATTTATTGTTCTTGGAGCATTTTATGTTTCTCTCCTACTTTATCGGGCTATCTTCCATTCATCTATATTGCAATCATTTAATATAAATGCTTAAGTGTCATAGATACCAACTACGCGGGCTGTATCCCCAAAGCTCGGAAGGCACAAGAGCAGTGTTGCTGCAACAAACAACCCTTCAGAAGGTGATGGTTCCAGTTTTAGTCCATCTTTAAACCAAGAACGGAATGATTCAACCAAAAGAACTCAAACCGATAGTAATGAAGATAATGTTGCTTCCAAGAAGGCTGTAAAGAAATCCCAACCTAAGCTTCAATCTAAGGAGATCACCAAAGCTGAAGAAAAGCCCGGAAAGTCAAAACCAAAAACAAGGAAGGTGGAGAACCCTGTGGAGGATGCTTGTGTTGGGAAACCTGGAGAAAACCAGAACCATCCTGCCAACCTTCCCCAATGTGCGGATGCTGTAACTGTAGCAGACGAAGCAAATCCTAGTCAAAATGGTGGACCAGTTCCAAGTTTGGCCAATCCCGAGATTATGCCCTGTCAAGTCACAGTTGGAGGTTGAAGATCGTGATTCACAGGCCTTATGTTAATAGGTTCATTTTTTTTTTTTTTAATTCAAGTTTCATGCTGTTGTGAATAGTATTTGTAAGTTGATCTTGACATTCTTTTTGGAGGGTTCCTATACACATTATAAGTTACATATGCATCAACAGGTTATTGCAATCATGTTTCCTTTATTAAACTCTATTGAAAGTGTTTGGTAGGATTCTCTTTCTTTCGAACAATTAGGCAAAATATGTTTGTCCGCGACATAAACATTGCTCTATCTTTGCTGGTAAGCGCTGTATGACAGATGACATGACATACAAATATATAATATCCTTCAATTATTATTTTCATTTAGCCATTGGTGCTTGATCACATAGCTTAGGACTTAGGAGGACTTATTTCCAGTTTTAATATTAGCATTAGAAGGCTTATGATATTCAGGCTAATTCAGGATCTTCCATATTTTTCCCTTCCAGGACTACTCGTGCACAAATAGTAGACTGAGATAAAGATAAATTTTGCAGCTTTCATGGAAATTCCGGCTCTTCTAAAAAATTACCAGGCCAATAAATGGTGAAACTTTTTTTTTTTCACTTGTAAAGCAAGCAAAAGTTGGCTTTCATTGGAACCTTTAGCTAAATAAGATAGTAGTAGCAATTGTCTAAGAAAATGTGCAAATCAAAGAGACTGCTTTCTGGGGAATCAATTACTCAAAGTAGTTTATTTTTAGGTGCCTTCCAACTACAACTTTGATGTCAATCTATCCCTTGCTGCTATCTTTATCCTACTATAAACCATTATAAAATAATGTATAAAAGCTCCTGCAATTCCTTAAGAAGCTCAAGTAGGGGGAAGGTGGACTCTCAATAATCATATTTTTTTTCAACCTTTTGACTGTAATAAACTCTAAATCTATTTTCCAGCTGTCATTAAAGGTAGCAACCCAAATTATTATCCTTTGATTAGTTGCAATCTGAATTATTAGCTTTCCTTTTTTTACTTCTCCTTTCTTTTGCTTCCAATGGGTTTCTTGTCCTCTAGGTATTCGCTGACATAGCAGCTCCTTTTGCCGCAAACTCAAGCTTTTGTGTGTTGGAAAGCAAAAGGAAGGAGACGTCAAGATTCATCATGGACATTAGTTTCATACCATGTTTAAGTAACATTAACTTTGGGATAAACAGTTTCCCTATAGACCTTACTTGTAACCAATTATGACATTTTTTTGTACATACGATTTTATTTAAATATAAGCTTAATTTCATTGATTTATACAGTTGTAATTTCTTTTTTATTTTAAATTGTAATTTACTTTATACCAAAATAAAAAATAAAAATATTAAATGTTAACCATTGGAACGCTCCTAAGGTAACTAATTAATAATACATGCTAGCTTTAGTTATTTTGTAAAAGGAAGAATATAATAGTGGACTTGAATAGTAAGTAATTTTTCTTTTTTAAGGCAACATTGTAAAGCAATGAATTTTTAATTTTTCATCGTAGAATTCAATTCTAATAATTTCAAGTGTAAATTTTTTTTTTTAAAGCATAGTGAATGTTTTTAAACAATCCCTATCCCTACCGATCTATACGTGACAACAATTCTTTCAATTTATAAAAATGTTGACTTGAAAATTCGATCTCAACGAACTTGAGATATAACCATTGTGTCAATTACCTTCATAATAACTTAGTTTTAATTAAGAATAATTCAAAATAGAAACGACATTACTAATTTGCAGTATTTGTTAACTTTATCTACTATTATATGTAATGTAGCCCTTATTGTTATGAAGTTAGAATATAATTATTATGTTCTCAAAGAAACAGTTCAACAGTTTAAAGAGCTTAAGATTTTATTAATCTTAAAATAGACAGGTTTATGTTATGAAAAAATTATTTCGTGCTATGTCACTCAATATCACATGTATAAAAAAATATATAATATTGTTCATATGAGATTGATTATTCTACCATTTGCGCCACTTGAAAAAAAATATTTTTTTATGTTGGAACCAACAGTGCAGTTAGCCTTGAATAACATTGAACAATTGTCTCAGCAAACTCCCAATCAGTCTAGCCAGGTAACAGTGTGAGCTGGGGCCACCAACCCAAAGTCTACAGGCAGTATCCAGCAGAAATATTTCTGCAGCAGACTACACCCCATGTTTCATTGCTTTTGGACTTTTCCTTAGTTGTAACAGTAAAAAACCCACCTACCACTAGTATTGTCAAAGACAATGACTAAAGCCTAATTCATAGCCAACCAAAAATTTCACATTAAAATTTCCCTACCCTGAATGCGAAAAAGAGCTTGCCTAATGAGCTAGAAATCTTATCTCAAAGATCACTTGAAAATTGCCAAATGTGCATAGGATTCCCTTGAAGAAACATTAATCAAAGTTTTGATTATTATGTACCATTTCATTGATGACGACGACGGGAACACCAACCAATGATAAAGACCAGCGACCTGCTGTTGGTATTATTATTGTTGTTATTGTTAACCATACAACCACCACCAGGCATAGCAGAGTAATTAATAAGAACGGGAGAAAATTGCACAAGCAATTAATGCACAAACAATCCAAAAAATAATAATAATAACAAATGAATACTTGATACGATGAAAAGATAGGTTTTTCCAAGGTTGTTCATGCATTATGCATATATAAGAGGCAGTGATTCATACACAAAAATAAAATAATAAAAAAATGGTATGTAACTACAGTATTCATGACAAAATAACACCATACTTTCTATTCTGTTGGGATTTTTTTGAAGATATCAAGCATCATCATCAGGCCTCCCTTCCAGTGTATTATGACACAAAATTTAACCCTACAAATGCAAACGACAAGCATCTTTACCCAGCGAAAGTATTGTTCACCTTTGTTTCGGTTGTTTCATGTGGTTTCCTTCCTTTTTTTTTTCCTTTCTTGACACTAAAATTTTTTATAGATTCATTGACATAATCGAAATCGTGAATCCTGTCCAAGAGTGCCAAGCATCCAACATCCTACTTCCAACAACTTTCCTGCATAATCAAATATGAAATACAAAATTTAAGTCAACTCATGATTAATCGTCTATATCACATGCATAATTCACATTCATTAAAACGAACGATCTTGACAACACCCAGAAGTGGCTTAAATTGAATAATTCAACAGTAAACTTTGTACCAACCACAAAAACCCTATACAAAATTAAATAATAAGTAGAGTACAATTACACAACAAACCTTGCTAGCTGATTGCAAAAGCTTTCCAAACGATAAGAGAAATATTTAATAACAAAGGCATGGGAATTAATTATATGTAAGCTATTGTTGGCAATAAAGTTGTGGTGGGGTTAGACAAATGTGGCAAACAGCTGGGCAGGCCTGGATTATTTAATACTTATGTTTAGGCCTTTTTGGTCACATGGACTTGTCGGTGGCAAGGGCAATGAACTTGAGAAATAATTCATCTAACCACATTTTTACTTGTACCAAATGACTATTATATTGTAGCTTCAAGTAAGTACTACAAAACTTAAGATTATCCGGACTTTTTAGTTTGTCACCAAGAATTCCACACCATTTATAAGTTCCCACTTGCCAAGTTGCCAACCAAAATTCCGTGTCCTGGCAATCCCTTACTCAAAAGTAAAATCCAAGTATTTATGGTTAAAACTTTCTGCATTTTACTACATACAACCCATTTACTCCTCTCTCTATGAAGAATTGAGTGGCATTTCCAGACAAAGAACAATGCCAATTCCCCCATATCGACCTATACATCAGTTATCACTCGCCACCAATTTAGTTTATAATCACATCACCTAATCATTCCTTAATACGGCACAATGTTATTGGCTCATTACTGTAATGCTAAGCAAAGGTAGCTCCCAGCTTTCCTTTCCATACGCTACATAGACATAAACAGATATTCGTATTCCATGATTCCCATCTGTCCCACCACCAAACCCATCAGGCATCAATCATCAAAAGAACGACATCCAAGTTCCAACTTAATACTCACTCCCTGAACCTGAAGCAATTCCACACCACTAATCCAATCCCCACTTTCAAGTTCCCTAACTTCCCATTCTTTTCATTCTCTTCTAAACCTAATTAATTTGTAATCTAAATTCCAATATCTAAAAATAAAGCAACCACAAGCTCAAAGTTGCACAATCGATGAATTTTCCTAACAATATTAATTAACTGGTTAACCTCATCAATTAACCGGAAAAGCAGCTAAAGAGTTATGGACAAAACTCAAAGAAAATGAACATACCTCTCCTGGGCTTGGAGGCGACCTTAACAGTAGCCGGTTTCTTAACAGTCTCAGTCTCTTCTTCCGGGAACAAAACCCCATCAATTCCCTGAACCGAAATCCTCCCATCCGTATAAATATCCGGATCAAACAAATAAGCTGAACCCTCACCATGTCCAAATTTCACTGAACCATCAGCCTCCTGAGCCACTACCTTATGCGGCAAACGAAGCGTATCATATCTCACTTTCCCGAACCTCCTAACCGCGTTGTACATACTCTCCTCGGTCTGATACTCAGGGATAATATGGTAATAAATAATCTGTTCAGGCGCCCCCGGCTCGCTTAACTGATCTGTAGTAAGCTTCGCCATGGCTTCATCATTCGGAGCCAAGACTGTTATAACATATCCTTCGGAAACTAGTCTCCCCATTTCCGTTGCTAAAGAAGTCAAGTTTACTAGAATATCAGCCATTTCGTTATACCCGCCGTAATGTAATAAAGTTTGGATAAAATCCTTGACCTGGCTTTCACCATCAAAATGATGATGAGGTCCGCCAGGTCCCGGAGCCGGTGCCGGTGCCAGAGAAGGACCTGGAGCCATTGCGTCGTAGATTGGGAGTATCGGTGGTGCTCCAACTGGGACTGGCGCTGGCTTCTTCAACCTGTGGGTGCGAGGATCCACTTCCGGCGCACCCTCAGGTAATACGGCGGAGATTGATCGTAGATTACGTCTCTTGTTGAAGTCTTCTATGACGGAACGGGGAATGAGGAGCTGCTGGATCCCATGAATCACTCCATCGGGTCGGATCACGTCGTCGGGTCGAATCAACTCGGCTGAGTCCACAGTTTTCTTGCCCGTGGATTGGGAAGTCAAGTGTAGATGGTCGTTCCACAGGGTGTTGTGTTTGACAGGTCCGGTTTTGGGATCCGGCCATTGGTGGAATCCGACCCGTTTGGGGATAATGTGGAACATTATAAGGGTTTGGAGGGACTTAAGGTTTCCAGGCTCAAGCAAGAACCGTTTGAATTCCGGGTCGAGTTGATGCTCCAAGGCTTCATTACGAGGGGCAAAAATGGTAATATTGTGTTTGCCAACCGCTTCTTCAAGAGTTTGGAGGAGTAAAGCCTTCTCAACGAGTTCAGCTAACTCAGTGTAATGCGAGTCAAGGAGAGCAACAAGGACAGAGTTTGAGTTAATCTGACCGGAAGTTGATGAAGCAAAGGATTTCCCATATGGGTTTTGAGGCAATGCAGCAATGGCAAACGAAACAAAGGAGAACAAGAAGAAAAGGAAGGTCTTGGAGGAAGAGACACCGTATATAGAAGAATCCATCGTGCTCAAAAATGACTGAAAAAGAAACAGTCTTGACAAAAACCCAATATGAGATTTTTGAAGATGGGGGGAATTTGGGTTTGTAGTTTTGAGGGAGAGGAAGTGAAGCGAAGGAGAAGACGAGTTTGATGATTAATGCTTGGGGAAGAGTCGGAAAAGTGGGTCAGGCCGAATGGCCAAGCCTCGTAAAATAATGCGGAAGGGCATGGGGTAGAAATACGTAGTGTTATTACTAATGCAACAATAAAGAAGAAGAAAAAAGAAAGGTTTGGGTTTCGGCTTTGGCTTTGGCTTGGGGGGATTTGTTTGTTTGTGATTGAGAGGCGGTGAGAGAGAAATTTGGGGCTGGACTTAAAAGAGTTGAGACAGCCTGGATGAGGGGGCACAACGAGGGGCGAAAGGCTCGGCTTCTAAGTTGAGACTTGAGACTTGAGCCAAGCCTTGCTAGGTGTTTATTAGTTCAATTTTTTTTTTCATTTGTGTTTTTATATATTATAGATATTAAAGTTTAATATTAATAATTCATGAAATTAAATTGCGATCTTTTTTAATAATAATAAAATATTTAGTAATTAATAAGCTAACGCCAAGCGGTGGGCAAAACAAGGGGCATGTGAGGGGGTGCGAATGAGGCAGAACGCTCCGGACAGAAGCCGAGGCTAATAAAGCAATACACAACTTTTCACATGTTGGCTTCTTCAAGCTAAGGCAAAGGCAATGCTGTCGGTGCACCAAAAATGAAGAACAACAAAAAAAACCTTAAAACTTGTGCGTGAAACTCGCTATTCGGGCAGGCAATCAAAGTCTTCCCGCTGCCATCAGCGGGCAACCGCTTTCCCACCGTTAGATTTTTTGTCACTTTCACTTCCCCCTCCAAACACACTCCCTTGTTTCATTTCCTTTTTAATGCTCCCCCAACAAGCGGTTTATATTTTTTCCCTTTTTTTTTTCTTTTTCACATGGATAAATTTGAATAAAATGTTCTGATTTCTTTATGATAATAAATTAATTTAAAATAAACATTTTGTTTAGGTAGTATTCAATATTTAATTTTAATATAATCTCAAAAATTATGTTATTTTTGCTTTATTAACAAGATTCATACTTGTACTTGAGTTTAAAATCTAAATCACTCATTTTAAATCTAATTTCTAAATGCAATTTAAGAATGTCATGGATATGAATCCTTTTAAATAATCCCTAAATTATATTAGATAATTTATTTGGACCATTTTAATTCAAAAAAAAAAGAGATAAAATTTTGGCTTCTTTTTTTTTTTTTTTAATTTTTATCCCTTCAAGTTGATAGAATAATTTTATAGTGGATTTTTCATTTCAAGTCAAGATTCATCAGCGTAGGTTTGAGTTGGGATGTTGCTTTCACTTTATTAAAAAAAAATATATTATTATTGAATTAAAAGATGCTCAAATTAGGAAATTTTTATGCATTTAAAGCAATTAAAACAAAGACAACTTAACGAAGCTTCAAAAATGAGAAACCTGAATTCAATAAAAGTTGTAGCAGATCTTTAATTATTAAATAAAGCCAAGCCAATTATTTTAAAAAATAATAAAAAATTGATTGAAGATATTAATATATATATATATATATAAAGTTCATATAAGAAAAAAGCTCTCATAAATATTTTAGAGAGTTTCTTTTTCCTTTTTTTAATTATTAATATTAGCAATATGAACCCTTTGACCAAAACTAAAAAAAAAAAAAAATTGTAACCCAAATTTCACATACTTTTCAACATTTTAACCAAAGCAGTCATATGAGCAAATTGTTGAATAGTTTTTAGAAGGAATAAAAGTGAAAAAAGAAACAATAATTGGAGACTTGGAATGTTGTTTGATAATCTTGGATATAAGCATTTGGCATTATTAGAAAGGTTAGTGACAATCATATAAAGATTTAAAGGGCCCATATTCTTTGGATTCCACAATTGAAGATGCCCACAGCCATATGATTTCCTTCTTCTAATCAATATGCTGGAACTTTCTGTCTCTCTTTTATTGAACTTCCAGCACAAACCAAAAGCAAAAAAAAAAAAGAAAAAAAAGACGGTCAAGCTTTTCCTGGCAAAATTCTGGCGCTTAGTACAAATGGGTTTTTCTTGTTGGGAATTTAATAAAATTGTGAAACTTGAAAGCTTCCCTCCTCCAACCCAACCTACCAGAAGGGAGAGCTGACTAAATGGGGAAACAAAGGTGTCCAACTGCCCTTACTTGGAGACTATGACCCGACGAATTACAAGACAAAGGGCCATATAGTCAGTATTTTTGTCAATTTTTAGACTTTGGGCTTCGGCCTTCTTTTCTGACTTGGCTTGTTTCAATGCATGGTTGAGTTGTATCAGTACTGCTCTCCACCAAGTGGTTGTGCAAGACAAAGGGCCTTTTGAACAAACTCTTTTTTTGGTTCTTGTTATCCTGTTTCTTCCGTGGGTTGATTCTCAGATAATGTCTACCAAAGCTGTCATATTCAAACAAATTCTAGCCAATATGAAAAATCAGTTATATGGGTTTCGGGGCTACAAATCCTGGAATTCAAAACATGACAAGGTTCAAATTTGTCTATCAGACAGAGAACCTTGGAGAAGCAATATCTACATCCCTGACTTAACCAAAATGAGTTTCCACACAAGTTTGTAGAAAACTAGTAAACTACAGTGAAACATTGCTCTGTTGTCCCTGAGGATATTCACAGGGAAAATGATGCTGAAGGAAATTGCAATATGTATTAAGGCTGTTTCAAAATCCATCTATTATCACCTGTTTCTCCACAAGAGTAATTAAAATTAACTGTGTCAAATCAGCCATCCAGACATTGTTATATATAAACAAATTTACACATATATATACCCATATAAAAGTCTCTGTCCAGATGGAAGCTCTTTCTCAGACTTCCTCTCAATTTAATTCAGATTCAAGACTACAATCACCATGACAATGTCCATTTACAAACCTATCAACCTGAAATGCAAAAGCACCTTTCCACAACACGTCATTTCTGGAGAAACAAGATCGGCAACCTGAAAAACCAAACTAAAATGTTGAATGTTCTATAATGATTAAGCTAAAATACAACATAGCTAAAATTTGCTGAAAGACCGGAGATCTACAACAAACCAGATTTTTCTCCCCCTAAAATTTCAGCCAACAAACAAACATGGGAAGGTGCAATTGTTACAGCTATGATCACTAGTAAGATTGCTGTGCACCAGAAAATCATGCCAGGAGATATGTCAATGCAGAAATTTTTCAAGAGTGTCACCTATGGCTCTGTACTCACATACACAGGTGGAAGAGTCATTACAGGATTAATACGAACAGCCACTGGATAGTTGGAGGGATGGTCGAAGCAAATTCAATATTTTTTTATTGGTGGGTTTCAATGACTGAATAATAATATAGAAGAGCAAAAGATACTTGCAAAGCAACACGGTAACTCACCCACAAAGATGAAATGCTGAGGATGATGCAATTTGCAGAAATAAATTTTCATAACTTAATTAGAAAGAGAGCTTGCAGCATGCGAAGGTGGTGAAGGGCTAATGCTTAAAGGATTATCTCCACGCATCCCTGTATTATGCTGGTTGTCTTGCTCTGTAACAGAAGATTCAGCCAAATGATGTGACACAGAAGCTTGGTTTCCTCTACTATTTTCACTGGTTTCAAGATGCTCCATCATACGAGATACAGTAGCAATTCCTGTGCTCACTTCTCTACGAACTTCATTCCCAAAATCAGACATAGAAGAATTACGTGAGAACCACCTCTCCTTCCAGCCTCTGGTACTCTTAGAAATTGACTCCTTATATCTTTATTTCCAGATGATTTAACAATAAATCAGCAACATATGAGGAAAAATATGCGTCATCTAGTTTCAAACCTCTAAAGAGTTGCTATGAGAGGGATTTCAGACATACCTCAAGGACACTGCATTAAATCTGGATTTCAGAGATTCTGAAAATGACTGAAACTCTGATGGTCCTGCTCTTTCTTGATTTGGCAATGAGGAAGAAGTACCAGAAGTGCTTCTATAGACAAGGACAAATAATCAACTATATGATAAATGCACTATTATAAAATGACAAGATATGCTTCTGCAAACAATAGATAAATACTTGATATATAATACATGTACCATTCAAATGCATGAAAAACAAGAAAAAAGTAGCCATAAATACCGATTATTAAAGGAAAATCCTCTTCTATTCACTGGACTGACAGTAGATCCAGAGGCAGATATATTTTGACTAGAAGCAGATGGTGACGTCTGTTGAGATAACTCATCTCCTCTAGATGATAGTGGAGTAGATGGACTAGCTATGGTGATTGCAGCTGCTTCAGTTTCCCCTGCTATCTGAGTCAGACGTGTCGATACAGGACCAGAATGCTGTGCACCAGGATGAGCAGAAAACACCAAGAAGTGTGGACGACTATGAGCAGATGATCTTCTCTGCTCCTCCCTCCTACCAGCATGGTGGGCCCTTCCCATTGCAGCAGCAGCAGCCAAGTGCTGAATTATACGCTCTTCAAGTTCATGGTCATTCACACCAACTGGCAACTGCATTAGAATGCAAAATTTGTATAAGTTCTATTTAATGGATGAATGCCGTAACAAGTATATTGCCTAACAATAGTAAACCAAAGATTCTAAGAAGCGCTTTTAGACAGCATACATGTTGCAATTCAAAATCACCAAGGGTGGGATGGTGAAATATGGTGGTATTTCTTGATGGAGTAACCCTAAAGCTCCTTTCCCTTTCTACTGCTTGAAGCAATTCTTGACTGTCACATTTGCACATTATTAGCTAACTCCATAGATGTTATGATGAGAATTTTTCAAAGTAGAAACACGCGCGTGTGTGTGTAAATGAAAAACCTTGCAGGGTCCTTCAAGCCAATGGCTTGCCAGCACATGGGACAATGCGAACTTCTCTGGCACCTACAAATAAAAAATTTGTGCTAAATTTAAGCTTTATTTGGAGATCTCTTCCTTTTCATGAGTGTATACTTCCAAGTTCCAAAAAAAAAAAAAACTTAAATATCAAGAAATTATCACTAATCCAAATTAAATCAGGAAATTGCTCATGCAACTTGATAAATGATAATAAACAAGATGGAAAATTAACTGGAAAATATAAATCCCAAAAATAAAATTTTTTATTTGTTAGAAAATATAAATCCCAACTTTTTTTCCCAGAAAAATGGTATCAATTACTTTCTATTGGTGCTTGATTTGTTAGAAACATAGGTATTAATTTGGCATTCCATTGGTGGTTATACAAGAGAAATCCCAAACTCTTAAATGCTCTCTAATTACATCCAAGAAGCAAAGCAACATCTAATATTAATTGCTAGAAGTTAAACAAAACCCCCAATAGATCAAACAAGAATCTAAGGCATCTTCATCAATCAAAATTCCGGTTACAGTTGTTGCAAAGAAAAACTAAGGAAAGGGGAGCAAAAGATAGTGCATAAATAAAATAGGTAGATGAGAATAGCAAATTAGCAACTATCCGCACATAACCAGATAAAATTTAACCACCATTATTCTTATCAAAGGATAAGAAATCAAACATAAAATAGTATCTAAAAGGCAGAACAAGGAATGAAATATAACATAGTAATGTCAAAATCAGATTCATCAAATCATCATGTCAGAATCAAATGCATCAAGCAATCATGTAGTTATACATTATGTCAAATATGTATGTATCTTTCCAAGTATTTTGTGACTTGTGACATAAAAGTTGGATGAATATAAAGCAATAATTTGTCCATGTTTAGCGATTCGAGAGGTCACTCATTTCCTTCTTTCCCCAGTCACATGATGACTCCTTACCCTTGTATTCTTCATCTCATCTTTCCCATCCATATTGTTCCCACCCATGGAACCATGGTCAATGTCTTGGCCAATTCACTGACAGTCAATATTGGGGGAAGAACAAAATTTTGATATATAAAATGCATAATGAATCAAACAGAGGGACAACAACATAGGTGACAATTAGGAGTTGTGAGAAAATAAATGCAGTAAACATGAACAATGAATTATAATAGAGTGGAAAAGATAATAATTTGTGATTTACATGAAACCTACCACTCAAGAATGCATTGGAGGTGAAACTCATGCTTGCAATTAGTCACCTGCAAGCAAAGGTAGAAAAGATTCAAATTGAGGAACTTCCACACAATAGAAATGACGAGAAATAGTGCATAAAATCCGCATCACCAAGAAAGGGTAGTAAAAAATGAATCTGTGGTTTTAGGTATTACTGTTGAAGGATCCCTTTCAGAAAACTCCTCGAGGCATATACTACAAGCATCATCACAGGCATCCTGGATTCCCCCTTCCACAAAAGCTGCAGCTGATGTGGTATGATTGTCAGGCTTCTGTATCTCCTCCATCCTCAGAACCTTCCAGAATAAAAAACCCCAGAAATTTCAATATAGACACGGGGTACTAAAACTCATTTTTGTCCCTGATAAAACATAAACCTTATTTATTTGTTTAGTTTCATGGAGGGCAACAAAACAAGGCAAAAACCCAACCACTTCTCGCTTCCAAAAATTCATAAGTAAACTGCAACACTGATATTATTAAAATTGGCTAAAGATCAATATATATAAGAGAAGTTCTTATACCTCATAAATTTTCTTCCGATCAGAGGAGAAAAAAGTTGTTCTACCTCCTCATTCAATCACAATTCTCAACTCAACTAAACCATAACACCAGCAATTTCAACTATGTAAACACTTTTTTCCCAAAAATTATTGAACAACAATGATTCTTTTCCTAGCCGACAAAAACCACCTTCTTTGCCCCTTACCAAACGAGATCAAGGAATAACGGAAACGCTATCCAGTTGTACAAAAACTAGCCAAAACATTGTTTTTGTCTTTTTAAGACAACTTTAATCAGAATTTTACAAAGAAAAAATTCCCATGTTTCAAATAACTTCAACTAGAGGACAATCTTACATAGTTATTTCCAGCTGATTTTTTTTCTCATTCTCCATATATATCAAACAAAAACCACAAAAGCATAAGCATTTTTCTGACTCCAACTATTCAAAAGCAGGCCCTCAAGCTTGTCTTGAACACTTTTGTTGAATTGAATATTAAAAAAATTCATATTTACATGGTAAATATATGCAAATTCCAACAAAAAATAAATAAATAATCGCACAAACAGGTAAAACAGTTAAACAATATATTAATCCATTGAATTAAGCAAAGATAAAACCTTTTTAAAGATAAACCAATAAAACCCAGATGAGAAATGGATCTTAAAATTAAAGAAAAGATATAAATCCATGAACCCATATTGAAATTATGTCACAAACATAAAATTAAACTAAAAAAATGGGTTTACCTCCAAAAAAGGATTTTGTAAACTCTTCAGAAATCAGTCAAGGAATCAAGGATATGCCCATGAAAGACAAATTAAAATTTGAACTTTCTTAATTCCCTTCCTCTTCCTATTTATCTACTCCCAAGGGAATGCCAGAGATTCATTAAAGAACAGCCAACAAACCCTCTAGAATTCAGAGAAAAAAAATGATTACATAATGATAAAAGAGGAAGAAAGAGAGAAAAGGACAAGAAAAGATATGGCCACCATTACCAATTATTTTTAGGCTTGTTTTGTATTATAGCATGGCTTTTTATTTGTTGTTTTGGAGGACAGACTTCCCCAACAATTTGCCCACCACCTAATCCAAAAATGAAGTCTTCCTTTCACACCCTTTCATATGATTGGATCTTATCTTAGAACATCAAATTATATTCTGCTCGTAATCATACCCACAACTTTATGTTCTATTTGGGTTTTTTTCGTTTTTTTTTTCTCAATTTAATTATGGAATAATTTAAGTTTTTCTTTCATGATTAAAAATGGACATTATTACGATAATCATTATGTCCTTTCCCTCTTGCTGATCAAATTATATCCTTCTCATTTCATAATCATTATATCCCAAACTACTTTACTAAATCAAATTATATGAAAGGTTACATTAGGAGCTGTAATGTGTAATCAGAATTGGATTATTCCTGTCTTAGTTGAATTGTGGAGTTTTTCCGGAATTATATTATGGTAAGCCTGTTCAACAACAAATCCACCACTCCAAAAAAAAAAAAAAAATGAGTGACTTCCAAAATTCAATACTTTGTTTCTAATCCAAACAAAAAAAAAAACAAAAAGATGGGGTTGAAAATCTTTGTTTTATTTAAATACTTTGGATTGTTCTTTTTTTTGGCCGGTTACATCTCTCATTTAATAAATTGAAATTAGAATGCCAAGAAAGAAGAAAAAAAAAGGAACAATAAGAAAATATTTCTTCTCTTAAATTATACTTGGTCCAATTTTTTCAACTAGGCTGGCCCAAGACCCAATTGGTAAGGTTAGAGATAGAGGCCTGATTTCCATTATGAGTGGGCCGAATCCATGACTCCATTGTTTTCCCACCATTAAGGATGTTTTGTGGGCCAATTTGTCTTTTCTTTTTTTTTTTGGTTTTTTATTAAAATAAGCATCAAAATATCACATTCAATTATTACACTATAATTAATCTCTTATAATTTAAAATTATGTGAAATTTATTTAAATTTTATATGAAATTCATACTAATAAGTGATAAATTTTTATATATATTTTTTATCTTGAATGGATAATTATAAAATTATAATAAAATTATTGCACAACCTAATATTACTTGTAATACTTGGATTTTGAAACTCAATCTGACTTCAGTTATTTTCTTTTATATTGGCAGTTGGCACCCACCCTTGTTTGAGGGTACGCGGCATCAATAGACTCTAGAATTGACTTGGCTCACCAGTCCTTTCATATTCTTTTTCCAGCACCAACACCAGGATCCCTACAAAGCCCTGGTGAGCAGCCATTGTTTAGGACAAAAATATTGGAAGGGGGGGTCCCCTATCCCAATCCCCAGGGGGCAACAAAAAGGACAGTTTACACGTAGCCAATCCGCTGAACCACCTGGACCAAACAACTCCTCAGTTCAGTTCTCGATACTCGACAATCACGTGCTAATAAAAAGGCCCACAGCTGCAGTACGTAACTTCTTTCCATTTTACAAGTGTTAACTAGGATTTAAACTCCGTTCTGGTCGGATATCAGACATAATAATAGATATGATGAGCGTAATATATTTGGGATGCAGCTGCTTTTTTTTGAAGGCTGGAGCAAAACCAATTTCATTTCAATTGGATAAGAATGCAAAAATAAAAGCATAAAAAAAAGGAGAGAATTGATGGCTGGAAGCCCCGGAGAGTCGCAATTCTACAATCGTTTTTCTTGTTCAATTCTAAAGCTGGTTTAAAAGAGTAGACAGATTTCCCAGCCAAGGAGCCCCATTGTCTTGGTAACGTTGGATGTAAGAACTTTCGAATTTTTTATACAGAAAAAAAATGTAGTAATCATCACACTAATTTGTTCCATGTAAATTTTTTTTATCTTGATCAAGATAATCATGGCACGAAGATATAAGCAAATCAAGTACAAAATCATTTGCAAAATCACGGAAAAAAATTTAAAAACAGTACCGACAGCGACAAATCCCGGCTGCAGACATGAAAGTATTGGAGCAGATGTTCTGCAACAGGGGTTTGAGTTGAACCACAGATAAAAGATTGAAGGTCAGGTAGAAAATTCCAGCATAAAATTTAATTATAAAATAGCAGAATGGATGATTTCTAGTAAGATATAGCAAGTTTCAAAACCCGCATTCATCCATCTTTTTAATTTTCCTCAAAATTTCTGCTTATTCCCTAATCTTTTAGACTACGACGTTGAAAATATCATGCAAGAATCAGAAGCCATTCCACTTCCCTAAAAATGGTATCATCAATCAAACATAACCCACAAAACAAACAGTTTAGTACTAACTAGCATGAACACAATCTTGATATTTAAAAACAATATCAAGAGAACACCTTGAATCAATTTTGATTAATATTTGTTAATATTATCCAAAATTCCCATAAAAAGTGTTTATCTGTTCATGAATCCAAAAGCAACCAACATGAAGATTTGAAGGCAACAATCTCAAACTCGTTCACATAAATTTCATTCATTCTACATAAATAAAAGCACCAACTGAAGAAAGATTTCCATGTTCATGACATCAAAATGTAGCCATTTTCAATTTCTTCATTGATGACCAGAAATCAGAAAACCCCATCACCACAATATTCCCCATTTAGAACAAGAAATGAGAGAACAACATTTGGTTATAAATTATGTATACACCCAGATTAAAAGAAACGAGCAGCAAAGATGGGATTTTTTTTTTTTTTTACAGTTGTTTAATGCTGTGTGACTCGACTTCTCTCTGAGAAGGACTTCTCCAAAATCCAGTACCATAAAACCTGTCCCACATCTCTTTTTCCAGTTCGTCCACAGCTTTCTCAGCTTCTTCAGAAGCCTCCACACCTAGGAAAAAATCCTCCAGAGAAACCACAGGGTGAATCTGCAATTCGCTATCATCACATCCATAAAGACCCCGGTGGTTCCTCGGCTGAAGCAACCCTTTTTTTTGCAATTTACGCAGCCGTTTCTGGCGGAGAGCACGGCGACATAGCCCTGCGGGAACCTTGTAAATTGCTAAAACTAGAAGGTTCGCTATCCCACAAGGGCAACAGCAACAAAGAGCTGCACACCCAGCTGTCGCACCCCCACAAAACTCCCCGAATTTGGCACTGTTCCTGGATGTACTCCTTGTGCGGCTGCCGCTGTCGTAGATGCTGGAAGAACATGAGGAAGAGGAGGAACGGCTTTGCAGCAGTGATTGCCGCCGGGAGACGGAGGTTGGGTTCCTAAAGATTATCTGATGAGACATTATTTAATTAATAATAAAAAAGGGAATTTTTTTATGTTTGTTTTCCTTTTGGCAACAATGGAACTGTTATTCTAAAATAACAAAACGAAACGGTTGGGATTTTAAAAGGGACGGATAAAATATTGATAAACAATGACGAAGCAACTTTTTGCGTTTCACCCTTATGATTCTTGAATCTCAACAAACTGGATGGAAAAGGATTAACTAAACTGCTCTATTTCCTGTTTGAAGAAACAGAGCAATCTGAACCTTGGAAAATGGGAAATGAACCACTTTCTTTTTTCTTAAGATTTTACCCTTTTTACTGATGATCAGGGCGTGCTTCTTTACGATCCTGAACAGGGAAAAATAAACTGATATGGAAATGATAGCTTGTTTAGTTTCCAATTCCTTGCTCAAGGATCTTGTTTACAAGAACCCCAACAGTAAGACAGGAGAAGGAGAGAGGTGGACGCTCGTGAACCAGTGACTTGATTTTTGTTTTTCTTTTATGAGATGGCTTGGAAGGGCCGTGCCCTGGTAAAACACGGCAAACAGATTAAGAAGACTAATCGAAAGATATACTATCGAGCAAGAAGGAACTGGAACTGGTATTTCCAAGCGAGCTTAATTATCGGGTATTGATTGGAGTTTCTGATCTTCTGGGCTCTCTAATTCTCTCTCTCTCTCTCTTTTATGGTTTCTTTGACGGTTTCTTCCTATACTTGGGGCACCATAAAAGGAAGAGAAGGAGAAAATGAAAAAGAATAGCTGTCTCTGAATTTCAGTAGGATTTCACACGGGGAAGTTTCTTTAGTATCTATCTTGGATGTATGGTTTGTGTATATAATTAAGCTTTGTTTTTCTTTTCGGCCTATGAAAGGGCTCGGTGAGTCAGATCGCAATCAAACAGGAAATATTGAGATATTTATCAAGCAAATTGTTCCCCGAGGCCGCCTCTTGGAAACGGAAACGTTTTGGCTGCTTGAGAGTTTGTTTATGGTTTTTTTTTATAGAACTATTATACTCGATAATAATTGATTGAGTCGATAAATTTTAAATATTTTTAATTATGAAATTTAGGTTTAAATTTCATTGTAATTTTTTTTATGAACGATTTATAAATAAAAAAAAAATTTTGGATAGAGGCTAAGGAAAGAGCTGTCTCATGACTCGACTTCCACGGCACCTTTTTTTTTTTTAATGACGTGACTTTACAGCTGCCCCATTTTCATATTCTCTAGCCGGCCTTCCTTAATCTATAATTAATAACTATTTGAATTTAACTCTTACAGTATTAAAAAATAACATTAAAGTATTAAATCAATGTCCACGTATTTGTTCCGTCAATATTAACGTCTTTCGCATTCTATTTTAACACTTCGACATCCAACACAACCAAATCTTTTTAAGTGACAAAAAAAGAAAAGAGCTCGTGTTTTTTAATCTCACTTTTTTTTAATTTAAAAATTCGTAAATAAAATACTCTTTTAAAATTTTTACGAAAGGAAAATGAGTAAAAGAATAAAATAAAAGGAAAGAAAAACATATGTTTTTTTAAATTTTAGTTTAACATTATATTTAAAAAATAAAATTAAAGTGAAATTACTTTAATAAAAAAATTAATAAAAATAAAAATTTTTGCGAGATCCGTAATAAACTAATGGCCGCATTCGTTGTGTAACTATTACTGTAATTAGTGTCGATGAATTTACCACGCGCCTTAGGTGAACTAGATGATGAGACGAGACATCCATATTATTCTAGAGTCTAGAGTCTAGACTTCTCCAAAGTGGGCCCTATTACCCTATCCGACATGTCGTTTACGTATCTGGTCATATTGTCTATCACGCACGCTTTCCGCGTTTGTAAAAGCACACCTTCCCCCAGCGGTGTACGAATCTGATGTGACGCACACAGGAGCTCAAGATGCCATTAGATTTCACTCCTACGCATGTAAATAAATATAACAAAAAATATATATATCAACGAATTATTGATTCAGTCAATTAAAATTATTTTTTTTATGAAAAAATTTTTAATTTAAATTTTATTAATGATTATTATTATGATCATATTAAATATATTATTTGTAATTATTTATTTTAAATTATTTTATTAAAAAATTAGATTTAAATTATATATAATTATAATTATTCCATTATGTAATATTTTAAATTAAATTATTATTTAATAATTTTATTAATATAATACATATAAATATAAAATTAAATAAATAATAAAATATATATCAAATTATATCGATATGAAATTACTTAAAATTTATTCTCGATTTTATTTTAAAAAAAACCTTTACCTAACTCAATTCAAAACTTGAATTAAAAAAAAAAAATCAACCATACAAAATCAGGTTGAGTTAAAATATGAGGGATTCGAATATTATTACCAACCCTACTTATTATATGTAACAAAATGAATCAGTTCTAGAATTGTCTGCCCCCTTCAAATGTTACGTCAATTTCAAGAGAACAAAGAAAATGACCCAAGTACTACTACTAAATGTGTAATATTGATAAGATCCTATTTCCACGCATGTGTAGCATTTTTTTCGAATTTTTCAAAAATTTACTTTTCTCAATCCGACATTTCAAAGTAAAAACAAAACCCCTTGATGGGGAATTTATTGGAATATAGTAATTACAAAACTTTAATCTTCGACAACACTAGTTTAACTCAGTTTAACTTTGACATTATGTTTGTGAAATTGACGAGCATATGATGATCAACGGTCCATTTCTAATTCACATCTCTCGAAAATATTCTAATTGACAACCAATTTTGCCTTCAAAAATGTGCGGAATGGACGATCTACATATCTACAATTGCGTCACGCTAATCGTCTATATCTGGCTGCTCTTTTATTTAATTTGACAGCGGTTGCGTTCTTTGTGTGAAAGCGAAGTGCAATTTGAAGCTAATTCACTAATATATCAAACATTGTTGATAGTTTTTAAATTATTCGATTTAATGTGTTGATACGAGATTGATTTGATTTAATTAAAATTTAATTTATTTTAAAGATAAAATGGCAAATAATTTTTAATTTAAAATTTTCATCGAATCAACTTTTTGTTAATATTCATCAAAAAATATATAATGAATATACAATAAAAAAAATCTTGTCATATCTTAATAAATTAAATACAAATTTCATATAAAAAAAATTTAGGAATAAGAAAAAAAAGTATAGATACTAGAAATTGAATATTAAATTTATTAGATATATTTTTTATAATTAATTGCATAAATTTATGTAAAAAAATTATATTTTATGTGATACACGTGTGTGCGTATAAATCAAACTTTGTATGCTAAAATCATGATTATAAAATAAGAAATAGAAGGGACAGCTATGATAATAAAAGAAAAAAATATATATATATATATATATTAAGTTCGATGATTCATTTTCATATTAACAATGGAAGTATGGTCGTAGTGGCCACGTAGGCTCTTTCATTTAGCGGACTCAACTTTAATGGAGATAGTGACCCATTTGATAATTGTTGCAATAATCAACCAAAAATTAAATGATGGACCCATTTGGGAATTATTATATGGTTTTAATCAAACACGTATTTAAATTAATTTTGACTTTCAAAAACCAGAACTTGACAATCAATATTTTCGCATTAATTTCTACGGACTTCAAATTTTTAAAAATATTTGCTATATCTTTTAATTATAATTTTTATTTTTTATTTAAAGTTATCAAAAATTAAACAAAACACATTAAAATTAAAAGTCGAGGATTATACTAATAATGCAAATGACAGCTGGTTATATTTTAATTGTTATCAATGGATTGGTGGCAAATTTTTGTCAATTAATCTTCTACACAGGATAAAATTATGTAAGTACAGGTGGCTGTTAATACTTGTAAGCTGAAGATTAATATTAGTGCTTTAGAATAAGATTTAGGATCCGGATGGTAAGAATAAAAAATAAAAAAATATTATAATCATGATTAAAAAAATTATATTGAATGAATCTCATTAAATATTTTGATTCAACTAATAAACTCAAATCTAATTTGTACGTAGAAATTAAGAGTAATTGTGTAATGATGCATGCAGGTGAAGAAAGCATTTGTAATTATATATGGCAATGGGTCAAATTGGGATAAGCTTTTGTTCGTCTTAAATTTAATTTAATTATATATATATAATATTTAAATTTGATTTAATTTAATTTTTTTTAAAAAAATTTATATTCGAATATGATATAATATTATATAAAATTACATTAGATTTGATTCAAAATTAATACATATTATCTAAATATAAAATATTATTTTTTAATATAGATATAAAATTAAATATAAAAAATATAATATTAATTAATTAATTAAAAATAATTTTTTATATATATCAAATCAGATAAAATTATGTTGCTTAAAATCTGATCTTAATTTAATCTCGATTTTTTTTATCATCTAATTCAATCTAATATGATATCTAATAAAAAAATCAATTTTAAAAATCGAATCGAATTAAAATTTATTAAATGCAAGTCAGACTATCTTTCCTGCTTGTAATATTTGTTTGAACAAATAGTATACGCATGACTGAACCAGCGGACAGAGAGTCAAAGGTTGTGGCGCAGACTGCAAAGAGTGCTTCATAAATCTCAAAGTGGAAGCCATCCAATTTGTTGATGTTAATGGGGCTTTCTTCAATGTAAGAAATGACCAAATACACAGATCAAGTACACAATGCATTTAAGTGGTAGACAAGACAGTTTACTTGGAAGAATTGAACAAAGTAATTGGGAAACGTGTGAAGAGTTTGAAAATGATGTGAGGCAGGTAATGCCTAAATGGATTGAAATCTAAAACTTGTAAGGAAGGAAGGAAGCATTTGAAGAAAAGGCCCAGTTTAATACACTTTATTTATTTATTTATTTGTTTTCTGTGGAATGTTGTAAACATGCTTTCAAGTTTCAACCTCATCAGCAGGTTTGCTTTAAAGCCCTTGCCAAGGCCCATCATTTTTCACAAATTCACCCCAACATTGCTTTAATTTACCAAGGATTGATACTGTCTGGTAAAGGACCTGTCGTGACTTACGGAACAAAACTCTGGGTCAGAGAATATAACTTTTATAATTTTAAATATGATATGATCATATAATACAAAAATAATATAATTTAAATTTTGTTAAAAATTATAAATAAAAATATTTTATATTATTTTTATTAATAAAAATTATAATATATAATTTTTATATGAAATTTGATATAAATATATAATATTTTAATATTTTATATTACATAAATACATATATTATCGCATCTTGATAGCCATTTTCACGAGGAAAAGAGCACATGGGATGGTCGATTGGCTATGATCCAGGAACACGGGTCTTAGTTTTCGTTTGAATTTTACAGCACTTTTAGTGTGGTATAATTAAATTATATTTAATTTAAATATCAATTTTAATAAAATTAAGTTAGTCTAAATTTTTTATTAAAATTTTTTTAATGGTAATTAAAATAATTTTTTATAATAATTATAATAAATATTATTATTATTTTTAATTTCATTACTATTAATTTTACCGCGCCTTAATTAGGTTTTTATTTCAGATTTTCTATACCAAAATTACGTACCGTGGTGGGAATGGGCTTAAACTCGTTTGTCTTGTTGCACCAGTTTAAGCTGCTTAGCCCATATTTAATTTTTCTTTCTATTTGGTCTAAAGCGTGGTAAAGAACCCACAATCAAGGATATAAAACTTAGACAACTTCTATTGCATTCCATAGATTTTCAATGAAAACAATTATGTAGGGATATAAAAATTCTTGCATAATATATATTTTCTTCTTCGTATTCATGGATGGGTTTTCAAACTAGCACTTGTCAATTCCCCATACACATACTTGGGTTTCATTCGACAAACCCACGAACAAGGATAAAAGCGAGAGGGCAACACAGATCAATTCCTCAATTAATTCGACCGGCCTGTGTTTTTCAACACTGATGTTGTTGATCAATTTTGCTTTAGGCAAGTGGCTTGTGAAGGCAGCTAGCCTTTTTCATTTGAAAAGATACGGCCTTTTTTCAATCAACATATACAGATAGACATATAATTACTAAGTAAATTTGTTAAAATGAAAATGCAATACGCATGTCAATTTCATCACTTGAAATTAAATTTTGAAATCCTAATTCATCATTGTCAAGATAAAGTTGCAGAATCCATCCCGGCCAGGATAGAGACCAGTAAACCATGACAATTAAGTTAGATATTTTTTCAAGAAAATTAAAAATAATAATAACTTTTTACATACGTCAAGAAGACTTAAGGCAGAAATGCTTACTTATGGATATAAAAACTTTAATTAAATGGAAAATTCGTGGGCAACTCTTTTAGAGTCAATATTATTCATTGTACCATTGTAATAATATCTCACAAGATTCAACCCACAATCATTTTTAATTCCTCTTCCTGTATTCTTTGCTATTTGATTATGGTTCCATCACATCATCAGCAAAACGAACCCTTTTCTTCACTCGACATTTTCCACTTCCTTCAAACACCCAAACGTACCCAGAATTTAATACTAAAGAAAAGCATTAAGACTAATAATAATTTGATAAATATTAATGATAATATTACCACCCAATTCAAATTGAATCCTCTTCATGAAACCTGAGAGGAGACGTTTATGAACTTCACGAGCAATGAAGACTACACTTCCTGAAACTGCAAACACTGCCATGAACCCTACTCCTACAGACCCTTCCATTTTTCTCTCTCTTTTCCTTTATATTTCTTTTATGATATACAATCTATAACGTTTTTGGTTTATTTATAGAATGAAAAAAATTGGATGAGCCAAGAAATGAGAGGGAAAGAGAAGGGACGTTGGCACGAGAGAGAAAATAAGTTGTAGACAGGATTGGTTTTTATATGTGAAATGAAAGGGGATGAGATTTGTTATTTTTAGTTTTGGGTATGCCTAAACAAAAAAATTACGGCTGAAAATTTTAGGTAAATAACTTCCCCGTTAATTCATTTTTAATTTGGTGTGCCTAAAAATAAGTCTAATGGCATTTATATATCTTCACAAACTTGAAGAGGTTTTGACAAAAAAAAAAAAAGGTTTGATTCTAAGAGTATTCATCGGTTGATTCGGTTAATTTTGAATTGAATTATTTAAAATTAATTTAATTGAATTATATTATATTATTTTTATTAATTTAATTAAATTTTTAATTTTGACAATTAATCAATCAAAATTAATTCAATTGGTTTGATTAATTTTTTTGATTAATTGAATACTAACATATATTAAATTAAATTATATTTAAAATTTGTATTTTTTATATGTAAAATAAATTAAATAAAATCATTCAATAAATATATTTAAATATTTAACTATTAAATTAAAAATTTTAATAACTTAAAATGAAATGGACAATTTCATATAAAATTATTTTTTATAACTAATTAAAATTAATTTAATAATCAATTAATTAACTAAATTAAATCAATTTAAATAATTAATTCAATTAAAATCAACTTATAAACTTCCCTATCTAACTCTTTAGGTTGAGCGATTTATTTTTTCTCAAGTAAAAATGGATACCAACCTTTTGAATTTGATGTTTTATTCATGCCGCCTCATAATAGAACCATCACTCATTATAATTTTAAAATAGTTAAATTAAGTCCAAAGGCAAATATATATCAAGCAATATATATATATATATATATATGTGTGTAAAAGTTATAAAGTATTTATTTGAATAAATTAAAATTTAAAAATTTATTTAAATATAATAAAAATATAAAAATTTATTTAAATAAAGTGAGAAAGTAAAAAAGAATTATTATTTTAGACAAATAGAGATTTAGTAGCTGTAGAAAAATAAAGCTTTTTTTTTTTTCTAAATTATAGATGCCCAATATCTGTTACTGTTATTTTTTTGGTCGTTTGGCTTCTAGAAGCTGCTGCAGCAACCTGTGAATTATGACGTGGCATTTCACAGTTTCAGATGCTGACACGTTTATTATTATTATTTTTTTACGATGTAATTTATGGGTGGGCCTGCTAGGCCCGAAGGCCACCATTATCTTTTAAGCCTAACCCAGCTCTGCCCAGCCCGATATGCAGATTGATTTTTTTATTTTTATTAATAAAATAATGTGTAAAATTATTAATTTTTATTTTATTGTAATTAAAGATTGAATCATGTTAATTTTTTTTATTGGGTAATAGAATTTGCAACAAATTGCTTACTTTCATCAATGGGCTAGATGATAAATATTTATAAAAGTTATTTTAATAATTTGTCTTTTATTTATTTATTTTTAAATTTTATATAATTACAATAAAAATAAATTTTTATAATATTAATCCGCCCAGTGCGAAATTTGAATTTGAGTTCATGAAAAAAGATCGAAGACTTATCTTTTTTTTTTTTTAATAAAATTTGAAAGCTTATGGACGAATTTTATTCCAAAAAATTGTGAATACTAATTAAAAAAAAAAAAAAAAGAAACAAGCAATAAAGGATATCATAAAGATAACGTCATAGATTAATAGCTAGCAAATTGCAAATTACAATTTACATATTCTTCAACACCAACTTAGCAAATCAAAGTTGATCCAAGAAAATAAATTCAAAACAAATTCAAATATTAGATAAATAAAAAACGCAATAAAATCCCAAATTTAATTTCCAACAAATTAAATCAGGAGATAAACCAAGAAGAATCTTTTTGTTTTTTTTTTTCTCTTTATGAGGAACCAACCCTTTCTAGCTGGCAAGCTGAAAAAGGGAAAGGCCAAAGAATCAGGAAGTGAAGTAGAAGATAGGGTGAAGAAATAGGTGAAGAAGCTTGAAGCAAGCGCAGGAGAAGGAGACGAACACCAACCCGTACACGATCCTCAACCCCATTTTTCTTTCTTTCTCTGGATCTTAGATCTGCTTCCAATCTTCTATTCTATTTACGAATTAGATTTGTGAGAAAGAGAGATAGAGAACACAAGAGTGAAGGATTGAAATTTTGAAATATAAAGGAAAGCAAGTGGATAAGAAACTGCATTTTTTTCAGAAATATTTCCGCATTTGGAATAGGAGTTTATTTAATTTAAAAGCGACTGATAGCCAGGTGGATAATTGTATCGTGGGCCCTTGCCTCACTGCACCTGGATTGGTTAATAGTACTCAATTAATACACACTCCGAAATAAAAGTATTCAAATATATATTTTAATAATATTAAGGATTTTATTTTAATTTTTTATATCTAAATTTAGAGTTGAACTCAATCAAATTTTATAAAAAAAAAAAACTTTTTAAATTTTTTTTTTCATTCACATTACTCAAAATTAAAATTTTACTTTAAAAAAATTAATCGCTTTATTATTTGAATCATCAAACGTTGATAATATTTGGACATTTTAATACTTAGTAATAAATTTCTGGCCAAGAATGAGTTAGAGATAAGTTGACCATATTGATGAGATTATATTTGTTTTGACATAGTGTTTCTAGATTTAAATCGAGTTTGAACAATTTAAATGCATGTTTTAAAATTTTTTTGACAAAAAAAGATTGAAGTTGAGATATAAATGCTCCAATTTAAGAATGAGGATTTATCCTAAAAGAGAAAGGTTAGAATTGATTTCTTAAATTCTCCCAATTATTTAAAGGTCAAATTATAAAACCAGTCCCTATACTTTGACGAAAATAACAATTTAATCCTGTAAAATAATTTAAAGAAATTTAATTTTTGTACTTGTCGAACTGTAAACAGAAATACAAATTTCTGATTCATGGGTACAGTAAACTGTAAGAACATGGATATCCAAGAAGAGATAAGCCATGGTATGTCAGTATACCTCATCATAACGCCATCTCCTAAGTTGCATTTGCATATGTATTATGTTAATATATGCAAAAAAGAACTACATATTAAATTTTGGATGCATTTATTTCAATAGAACTTTATACCAAGTCCAGAGAAAGAATGTTGCAGCGTATATGCCTTAGAAAAGTACGGTTGAATCATCCTTCTTTTCAAATCCTTCTAACCACTTCTGCTGCACATTCACCCATACGTAACCATCTGAACCACTGGACCCCTGCAACTCAAAAGGTCATCAATCATCTTAGAACATAATTATGTTAAGCAATCTTTAGGGATAAATTAACGTATTGAAGTTCCATTTGATTGATGCTTTTACCTTCTTTTTTTTCAAAAATAAATGAATAGAACACAAAAGGCCAATAGCAAAAACATAAATCAAACACAGCCTAAGATTTAATAATTCTTACCTTTGCCTTTATTTTAACAGTGGTCACACAACAATACCGCTCGTCACCTACAAGAATTAGCAAGTTAATACAAAAGTGGGAAATCATAGACAGTCACAAAAACATGAGATAGAATTCAGTTGTTCCCAGGAGCTTGCTAATTATATAAGGTAGAGGCAAAAGCAAATGCTCCAAAACAATGCATGCTTATAAATGTTCATTCATAATACTGGTTTTTAAATTCGACATATAATGTGAGCATGCTTGCAAGAAAAGGTGTCTACAAAAGCAAACACAATGACGCACCAATTTACCAAAAAAGAACCAATTTCTATAAAGAGCAAACTCTCACCAGATAACTCCCACTTATCAAACTTCACTAGCCATGTGTTTGAGCCAATTGGTGTGGATAATACGCGATCCACCCAGATCCGGAACTGTTTACCCTTTTGGTCTCCATGGCACCCTTTCATGCTGTGTATGCATTCATGAAGGGTTTTCTCAACACCAGATGGAAAGACAAAAATAGCAGATGGATCCTGAAGAAAAATGATGAAATTTAAAGCATTGTATCAATTAGTACACTTCAAAGACTAAAAATTAGATTTTATTCATATGAACCAAAAGGAAAAAAAGAAACCAGTGTTTTCTTAGCAGAAATGTTTGGTCAAGAAAACAATAAAATCATGTTTTAGATACATAATATTTCTGAAGAACAAATCCTTACACTTTCATCTATATGTTTTCCTAATTACCTAGAATGCATACCCAACAGTTCCACAGCAGTGCCCTGGCTTTGTGAGTAATAGGATGGTGTAGGTGGGTTACATTTTACATATAATAATGATGGAAAAGACAATGAAAATAAAGAATTCATGTCTAAAATCATATGGCAAAATGCAATGACAATATGTATTAAAATATCTGATTCACTTGGACGCCTATCTGCCATAAATCTGATTCAGAGATGGATTTTAAATCATGGCAGGTCTTATTAATCAAATTTCCAGTGTGTAAACAATTAAGGTTAGAACAAGAGATAGAAGCCAATGATGTACCAAAGTAGAATAAACAAATCGAGGACAACTAGAGCAATAACACATTGTTAATTCGTTGATTAGAAGATGCTGAGAGTGTGAAATAGTTATTGCCTTTTTTTTTTTCTTTTTACTAATAGTAAGAGATATGCAAGAAGTTACTCAGATTCTGATGAACTCGTGTGACAAAAACATAACATTAAAAGAAAAGAAAGGGCAGTAAACATACACAAGAAGCTTTCAGACTTGCTATATATGTCTCACAGTTGTCAATCTCCCCTCGCCTCCATCGCTCATAGAACACGTAAAATTTCACTACTTCATGACCAGGATTGGCATTTTCCAGCTTACATTCCATAAAATCTGCAACATCTCTTGGAGAAGTGTTTGGCCCAAGGTTAAAATGTCCAATGGCTTCTATGATTCCAGCTGCACACCTTTCTTTAGCATGGATTATATTAGGGTTACCTCTTGCATTTTCAGCATGCCATTGCAACAATTCTTCTTGGGCATTGCTGACCTGCAGATAGGGAAAAAAATTAATGGAACAGAAATAGCAGCAAAGACTACTGCAATTTCTAGAGGGCCAATGACTCTGAATCATTTAAAGAAGTAGAAGACTACCAACCATGACTCCATACACTTCCGGAATGCTGAAGAGGTCAGCATCATTTCCAGAATCACCACAGACAAGAGTATTAGTAGGTGGGTTTCCCTCAGTCTTAAACTTCTTAAGTAAATATGCAAGAGCCTGTCCTTTGCCCGCACCTTGTGGTAATATGTCCAAATCCATTCCTCCACTATAAATTATTTTAACATCCAGCTGGCACAGAATAAGACACAAGTTCATGATACTTACATAACTTTCAATGAATATGAAACAATTAAGCAAGCAAGATGAAGAAGATATGAATGCCAAAGTGATGTATCTGATGTATATCTTTCAAAGTATATTTACTAGGGAAAATTGCACGATTGGATGCAAGATATTCTTAGTAGTAAGTTGAATCTTACCCCACGCTTTTCCAAACAGTATGATAGTTCCTTCATCACTGTCTGGGCCTTAGTTTTATCAACATAAAAGCTAACCTTGTGTGGTCGCTGCTCTGTTTCTGCCTGCATGATCCAACATGCTTGAATTCATCAAAGATGTCAAAACCAGGATCTATACATCCAGTTACATTGAAAACACTCTCAATAGAATAATGTCAAGGTTTAGATATAACATCGTAGTTACAGACATATATTAACTATACCTGAAGCGTGAGCTCAGAAAACTTGCTTGTTTCTTCAGTGACTATGTTTCTATCCCATTTCTGATTCAGAACTTCAACCCAGCCATTATCTGGCAGCATTAAGTTGCCATATGTTATCTCGGTTCCCACTGACATAATAGTTATATCAGGAGTCAACATGGGTTTCTCTTTCCTCAACTGTTTGTAGAGCGTAGGTGACCTCCCAGTGGAGAAAACCAGCAGAGAGTCATGACGATGATTCGACTCCCACAGTGCATTAAACCTAAGCAAAGACATGTTCTCAGGATCATGATGATCAACCTGCAAAAGCAAAGATCATCATAACCAATTAAGTAACCGCAGCACAAGCATTTCTGAGAATGAAAGCAAACATTCAAGATAAAAGCATACCATTGTATGATCAAGATCAGATATTATCATAAGACGTGCCGCCATAGTAATCCGATCCATGACTTTTTTACCAATGAAAATCCTGTAACGTGATAAGCAATTATTCTCTACAAAATTTTAGGATTGTACGGAAGAAACTACTTTTTAAGATTATTGACAAAATGCCACAAAAATGAAAGACAATTTAAAAGCTCCATAATTTAGTAACAATATTGTTAAGACTTAGTAAAGCTAAATCAATCAAATTTATCAACATATGCCATAGAAATATGAAAATTTTCCATTTGCAGAAAGAAACTGGTGATAGTTGTTGTAATTAAATTGAAAGGAAACAATCTAAATTCTCTTCTTTTAAAAAATTTACATGCGAAAGCTTCAATTAAGATCGAAAATCAGTTCACACAACTTAAAAGCACACAGAAAATGCAAAATAAAAAAATAAAAAAAGAATCAAAAGTTTGAGATTAAATTTAAAAAAATGTAAAAATTTATGAACTACCTGAATCGATCAAGTCGAAGCGTCTGAAAAGATCAGCAGCGATGACATGAAGAATTAGGATTCGATTAAAATATAAAAAATGAAATAAAAAATAAGATTATTTTATTAAAAAAACCGTTTTTGAAGAAACGGAATAAAATGAAGCGAAAAAAACAAGAAAAAAGAGTAGCCTAACCGATAAAAAAGGAAAGAAAAATTGAAAGGAAGGAGAGAAGAGCAGAAGAGTACGTGGCCCTTCAATTTGGGCGCAGTTTGGGATATGTGATAAGAGATGAAGATGGGACAGGAACACAAGGAATTGGATCCAAATCCGTTGGCGCGTTTTTTTGTGAAGAGAAATAAAAAAAAACAAAAATAAAAAATATAACGAATAAATAAAAAACTTTTTTTTGCCAAAAAAACACTGGTTTTTGGACACTTGTTGAGTGGTCCACTTTCGGGAGGTGTGGGCTGTGCGGCCCTTTTTACTGGACCATAGCGCTCACTATCATGGGATGGGGGTGATGCGATTCTCCAGTTATGAAATGTTTCCAATCACTCTAGCCACGAACCCCAAGGACACAGACAGCTCTTGGCTCGTGGCACCAATATCTGCTTGACAAGCATAACTGGACTGCTGATTGCAGGTTCACACAACATTATAGTTGGTTTTTTCTTCTGGGACGTTGGAGTGCCACTGAAGCTTAGCAATGTATTTCTCAGAGATTTTTGGCCGTTAAATTATTATTTGTATTTATCCCAAGGTATATATTATCTGTATATATATTTGTATAAAACTAGAGTAACCTTGACGATATCTGATGTATACAACAACTTGCATTGGTAGTTAATCACTGTTCGTTCTTTTGCCACCTGGCAGTGACAAAATTTCCACTCATTGGCATAATTTCTAACTATAGCACATTGTTATGTACTTGATAATCTTTATGTTTTATCACTCTTTCAGTTGATAACCAGGCTCTGATAAATTGATTACCGAATTCCAAAGACAATTGATAAATTATGGTTAGTTAGAATCAAAAGGTTGCCTTTTAATAAGACTAACCCATGAAGTTGAGTGTTTTTTTTTTTTTTTTTTATCATTGACTCAAAAAGATATTCAAATATGCAATGATTCTCCAGATACTAAAATCCACATATATGCTTATGATTTGATGTGAAATTCTCGTTAAAGCTATTGCCTGTTATATGAGAGCACTGACAAATTCCCAAGGTACAAACCCAGAAAAGCTGGACGAACTGTGCTGGTTCATGATCCTTGTTAATGACTCTTTTGTAACTCTGAAGCCCAGGCTTTTCAGGATTACCCTTGAAATAGTGGCAAACAGAAGCCTTTTAATCGGATACTCTACAAAATCGTATTGTCTTTAAGCTCCAGAATGGAGTTTCATCCTCCGCAAAGACAGGTATGCCAAGAAACGGTAGCCAAAAATCATTGCTACCAGGGCACCGACTTCCCACAAGCCACTGTCTGTTTTTATCCCGTTTACCGGAGGCATGATGTCTTGGTATTGCACCTTGAGAAGAAGCTTATAAGTATGATAGTTGAAAGACATATACCGGATCCAGGATATGAACACTGGAACTTTCTGCAAAATTGAAGATGATGAGTTAATATTTCACTTCTTAAGCTGTATCAGGCAGCTATTGAAAGAAATTCATGCCCCAGTAATGGACTAGTAGTAAGGCAGAGAAACTTGATGATCGTCTTTCTTCCTAAAGAACACCTTGACTCTGGATTATATATATATAATTTCTCGCTAGGAAACTATTCATTGTTCTTCAAATGAAGTTTGCAGTTTTATGCAGTTTTGAACTTCTGAACAAGATTTGCTTGCCTACCTTCACAAAATAGCCACCAGCTAACATGAAGGTCATCACAGTTACTGAAGCCAATGTAGTAGCTCTCTTTAAGTCCAATAGTGTGGCCCCAATAGCTAGTCCAAGACCCTGCAAAAGCAGCCATGCCATAGTTGATTTTTCTCTAGGTCTTGATGTTTTTGGTTTCTTTTTAACTATTAGTTGCAAATGGACGTACCTGGGCAGCAACGATGCAGAGAAAAACAATAAGCATACTGAAGAAAAAGGGAGCGGCACTCAGTCTCAGGCCAGCCATGAAGTATACTACCAGAAGGAAAAGTACTGGTAATATCAGATCAAGTGGAAGGTCGCTTGTAGTCCTAGCTAAAAAATACGCACTCAATCTGTACATGTCAGCTGCTCTTTCTTTAATAAGCATGGCTCTTTCTTGAGGAAATGTGAAGATTGCAGTGAAGACAGGAAAGAACCCCCAGAAGACAGCAATGAAAAACAGCAGCCCCGCCTGCAAGGTTCCATGATTTGAGTACCAAATTAAGTTGCTTTACAAGAGAATGATTCCAATTTACCTGATCTTGACGGCCTCTGGTGCTTTTACTATCTGACTGCCACCAGAGTAATCCCAAGATGATTGCTGTAGAAAGAACTTGGGTGATTCTCAACCAGCTAAAATAATCGTGCCTTCGTTCTTTGATCCCTCTGCAGAATAATATGCAATATTGTTGCCACCAGCTTGCCCCCCATTGCCGCTTTGAAGAAGACATATTCAACTTCAGCTCTTCATCTAGGGGAAGAGGAGTCATAAGTTTCTTCTTCTCATTATCTGCAACTCTCGACTCGTAGGCCTCCAGAAGATACTGTTTTCAAATCAAAACATTATTAGGCATATTACAGTTTTAGATAAAGATTTATATTCGAATCATAGTGCTCAAAAAAAAAAAAAAAAAGGAAAATGAGGTTCTGTCTAGTCAAGTTTAGAGTCAATTGAACTTTACCTCATGTACAACTTCTGGTGGTGGTTTCCCATTTCCTGTTTCGGTTTCTGAATTCCCCACTTGTACTTTGTCCTGTAGTTCTGATGGCACAGAAATATCATTTATGTTCCCGTTTGCAAGGTCAAGTAGAAACTCTGCTGGGTTCATGGCAATTAGAGGGGAACATCCTATAGATGAGAAATAAACCATTACTTCTGAAGCTTTCCCGAAATAGAGTAAACTGCCTTTCCCTAGAAGAATTAACTTGTCAAATTTATGGAAGAGTCTACTTGATGGCTGGTGGATTGTTGTTACCACAGTCTTCCCAGCCTGCCATGAAAGCAGAAGAAATTATAAACACAAAAGGCACTTTTTACAATCTTGTAAATGCTTTTCTGCTTTAACATGTTTGGTTTTTGAATCGCTGCATTGGCTTGAGATATTGCATGAGACTATAAGAAATCCTTCAACAAAGCTAAAGAATGAAAATACTTATAAAGTTTCAACTGATGATGTCAAACCTCAGCTATGTCCTGTAACGTTTGAATGGTCCTTAAAGCGGTTGTAGAATCTAAGCCAGAGGTTGGTTCATCAAGAAACAGAAGGGAAGGGTTGATTATGATCTCGTTGCCAATACAAACTCTCTTCCTCTCCCCACCTGACACACCACGGACGAATGAGCCACCTATCATGGTGTCTTGACATCTGCGTACATCATTGCAACAGCAAGCTAGTTATTTAAATACGTAGAAAAGCTTTGAAGTAGTCTGAGATTCGAAAGCAGTAAACTACCTCTCCAAGCCTAGCTCATAAATGAGATCTATGGCTCGCTTTTCCTTCTGCTGTTTTGTTAATGCCTTTGGCAGTCGCAGGCGAGCTGCATATGTCAATGTTTCTTTCACTGTAAGGTGAGGAAACAGGACATCATCTTGAGTCACGAAACCTATCCTGCCATACATACCACTAATGTTATTCCATTGTTCATCACTTAGACTACACTTCTTGGTGCAGTTTTTTGTTAATCCCTTTGCAAAACAATTCTTTGAATTTTTCTCTTCGATTATTCACTATGTTGTTCCTTCTTTTGTATGTTTTATAGCATGTTAGTGATTTCAGTTCAAATTTTAACTAGAATATGCAGTCTGCAATCTGTGGAAGCCCAAAATCTAAATATTTTCAACCATGATTGATTAATTAGCTGAAAAATGAAGCAGTTTCATTTGGGAATTAAATCACCTTGATCTTCATTTTGGTGAATAAGCAAGTCCAAAGTAAGAATGTTTTGAACTTATTACCTTAGACAAAACCAACACAAGCAGCACTAGATGAATTAAGCAAAAAGTTTCAGATTCTTACCTGCTTTTCAGGAACTTGGAGTAGGGCTGATCATTGTACGTAATTGAACCACCGACATTAGACTGAATTAACCTGCCACCAAGCAGATTAAGAAGCGTGGTCTTCCCACTTCCTGAAGGTCCCATAAGTGCCAGAACTTCCCCGGGATTTACAGCACCTGAGATCCCATTCAAGATATCCCTCTCTTCAGAAGTTGTAATTCCTTTGATAATCACCTTGTAAGTGACATCTGTGAACTGCAGATTTCAGGATTGAAATAAACCTTCATTGAGTATATTATATTCATCCCAAGTTCCTTGGAACTTGGGAATAGTTCAAAGAATATGATTCTCAGTATGACAACTATTTTTCCCTCACAAGAAGAAAGCTAAAAGGTTGAAAGGCAGTATACATCAGATTGCCCATACCCTTCTTTCATCGATGAAATTGTACTTCAGGTGGTTCTTTAATGTAACTTTCATGCCCTCATTTGGCCAATGACAAAGTCTAGACACACACAGTAAATAAAGATGACTTTTCTAGCCTAAATCCATGTTTTAATATTTGTCAGATAAGAAAATCAACACCTGTATTTTGGTTTAACATTTTCAATACCAGTTAAACCAGATTCTGCAAATTTTTTTTTTTTTCATTTGTTGGAAAGAAGGGAGAGTCTTGTACATAAATGTCATGTAAGACGAGACTCTACAAGACTGAACATGACCATGCTAGCCATGTCCAAATCAATCCACGTCCCATTAACAAACACAGATTTCAAGACTTGAAGATGCCGTTACAGACTAAAGGAGGGATACAGGAAAACCTGCATGTTCAAAAACTGTTACCTTCAGATAAATTCGCAAAGTAGGCTCTGTCTGAAATTTCGGCCTACAGGTGCCAGCTTCAATATCTTCAGCTGAAATGAAGATCACTAGTTGCTTAAGAAATCTTTAAGACAACATGATTTGCTTGATGATTTATTGATTAATATCTAACATTAGCTGCCACTGAAGATTTCTGGTATTGCAGTTATGTTTATCACAGAGTAGATTACCACTTGAACACAGTTTCAAAAAGATTATCCTAATATTCTTATCACAATTTTCTTATCATATACTATATTGTTCATGAGAAGTTCAAGCAACCTACGTATTTGAGGCCATAATTCAACAATGCTAAGTTCAAAGTTTATACCATCACACAGTCAACAAAGTAAGACTCGATTACGACAGACACCATTTATGTACCAAGGTGGTAGCATTCTTATGGCACCAAAAGTTACATTTTATGATTAAACCATTCAAACGCAAAGAAAAATGCATATATATATATATATATATATTCTCACCATTCTCATGGGTAATTGTGCTCATGGTAGATGAAGATTTTTGCTATAAGGATTGAGTAGAGAAAGGGGATATAAAAATGAAATCTGGGTCTGGAATAAAAAGAGAAATCAAGTTTTGATAATCTTATGGAACCTCAATTAACTACTCAAAAAGCCATAAAAAATTTACTTTTTTCTAGTCAAACTTAATAAGTCAAGACACGCGCTCTTCTTTTATACTTGATTCATTTTCGATGATCAGTACATTCATTATCATATAATAATTCCACATATAATAACTCGGATACTATAAACATATCATAATATTTTTTTTTTAAGAAAAATCTGATATGGATAGGTTATTTAGTCTGTTTAAGTCAAAATAAAATATATTATATTTAATAATTAAAAATTATGTATTTAAAATAATGTTAATAAATAATTATGAATTACACTTGAACTCAAAATTTTTACATTAAAAAAGATAATCCTCGGCAATTGAACCAATCTTTATCATAATAAATTAGTGTATACTTTTCGTCCTTTAAATGTTTGGGAATTTCAATCAATTAGCCACAATCTTACCTCCAAACAGACCAGGCTTCTAATATCTATTATTTGGACGTGCCATTTAGGTGAGTGAGTGGGGGCAGAGATCGAGGAAATAAAAAAGCAAAGATCCCAATCGAAGACGAACCAATTTCTACGAGCTGGGGTCCAATGGTATCATCATATTGTTAATGTTTGTTATCCACTGTAATTCTTTCTCCATTTTTAGGACCCACAATTGACTTCAAATTATTTTAGTCTTTCATTTGTCAAACCACATGTGATGTCTCCATTGCCAAGGAGTTTGATGTGAAGCTTAATAATGTTAAGATCGACTGAAAATATTAGTGATAATTGATTTTTTTTCGAAAATAAATCGGAGACAAAAGGGCGTAAAATTTTGCCCCCAACTATACATTGAAAATAAAATTTTTAAAATTAAGAATAACAATGAGATATGAAAGTAGAAAATGCCCTAAATCATAAATTTTAAAAGATTTATATGTGATATATTATTAGCATAAAAATTTTACATATTATCTTATTAATAAAATAAATTAAATGATTTAATTTTATTAATGAATATATTTTTAAAAATATTAATTTATATATATTTATTCATTAACGAAGTGACATTTAAATCTTAAAATGTTCATAATAATTTAAGATCGAATTTGATAGAATGTTAAAAAAGGACCATGTATTTACAAGCTTACATTAATTACTTCCATATAAAAGCAATGTTCAATTTTGCACTTTAATTCAAGGTCTGAGGCTGCCTTTTTTTTTTTTTTTTTTTCTATTTTCAAATTTCAAATGGATGATAAAAAAAGTTGGTAACCTTCCTTTGGCCGAACTTTTTCATATAATGAAAAACCAATCAGCTTCTTAGACCCCGGCAGTCATCACTCTATGTCTGTCTCACTTTTGCGGCCAAAAAAAAAAATTCCCATTTTTTATATTTTTAGTCTTTTAAAATGGTCTATAGTAATTTTTGGTTATATATTTCTAATAATGCAAAAAAAAAATTATTTCAAGTTTATTATATAGAAAGATGACAATATATTTAAATATAAATACATGCATAAAAAAATTAATATTTTTAAAAAATAAATTTAGATCGTAATACATTTTAAATAAAGTAACAAAAACTTCTAATTTAGAAGAAAAAAAATTGTATGAGAAATGAAATTAAAGCATTATTGCATGTGTATAATTTAATAAAAAATAATAAATTTTAGTGAAAATTTTAATGATCGACAGTCTCAAATAAAAATATATATATATATTAAAGCGGTATAATTAGCATGATCTTTTACTTGTTTTCATTTGTTAATTAACTTTATATTATGAAATTATTTCCAATTTAATAACTGATTCAAAGGCCACTAATTAAATTTCAAAGCATTAGTTTTTGCATTAAAGGCGGAGATATAAACTTACGTATATCGTCGTCGCTGAAGGGTTTGGAATCAGCGATCTCATCAGGGGGAACAGTGAAGCCAGTGAAGGAAAAAGATAAGCCCAAGCTAGCGCTAGAGGCACGGCTGAGAGCCGCCCCGCTGCTCAATTCTTCCAAGTCCAGCTTCATCTGAGCACTCCTTGACTTCCTAATGTGGGTGCGCCCCGGTGATGCGCCCATCACCGACCTTCTGCTCGACTTCCTAGACAAAGTTCCCCCGCTGTCGGATGTTCCCGGTGTCTGATCACTTTGCGTCGGTGACCTGAAGGCTGCCGCCACCGTCTCCAGTAGTTGATCGGATTTTGTTCGAGCCAAAGTTGTTGAATTAATCGGTTTCTCCATATAGGAAACAACTACATGGACACAACCCAAAGTTTACTTAATTTCATGGTGGTTAAAACATTCAAAAGAAAAACGTTAAAATCCAATGATCAAGCAATAATTCTATAAATAAATATTTATTTATATTACCGAAAGAAAGAAAATTCTGGATATAAAAATGAAATGTTTATGATAAAAGGAGGAATGTATGGCAAAGAATGGTTGCCACGTGAACTGGTAACTTACTAAATATGACCTGTTGCAAAGAATCAAGTAAAAGATAATTAATATTTTTAAAAGTTGTTGATTCTCTTGATCATCATGACAAGGCAAGAAAACCCAAGTCTTCGTTTGTTCATGAGAAAAATGCAAAAGAGAAAAAGACTTTCATTGGAACAGGATTGCGTTGAGAGAGAGTGGAAGAAAATTAAACCCAAGCTTTTTCAAATGAAAATATAGTTAGGGGAAAAGAGTTTGAATCAAAAGCAATGCAATGAAATCAATGTTAATATTATATGAATATCCCTACCTTTTTTTGTGAACCAAAGAGGGAAGAGCCAAAAGCTGAAGAAAAAAATACTTAATAGAAAAAGGGAAGATCAGTGTTTTGCCTTTTGCTTGGAGATGTAATGTGCTTCAATTATAAAGTGCAATTAAAGAAGGGAAAGACTTGAATTACTTTAACACCCTTCAAATTCTTTCAAATTTACAAATACATCCATGAAATCCCATAATAATTGTGATAGTAACGAGACTTTGATTAATGAACGATAGGAGATAAGATGGATCTAGCTACCACCCATCACACTCAATGAGTACTACCATCGTTGTTGTACACGTGTTCCAACAATTTCACAGTTGTTTTTTTTTTTCCTGTAATTTTTTTTTAATTATAAACTTTTTCGATATATATATGTATACATATATATCGAAAAATTTGTATTCCTAAACAAAATTCGAAATATTGAAATTTGAGATTTTTTTTCTAAAGTTATGAATTTAAAAATGGAAAGAAAGATGAATTAATTTTGTGAGATGAAAAAAGAAAACAATTGAAATTAACTTTTGAAAATTAATGTTGTTTAACCTTATTTGGGTAGTGGATGTGCTGCCTAATCAAGTAGTTCTAATGCAGACAGAAACGATAATGTCATTGTTTGCATGATCATCACAGGGACTGCATGTCTGCAACATGAGGCCATGGTTTAATTCTAGATTACCTATTCATCAGGGAAAGCAAGAATTTTGGAGCTTTGTACAGAAGCTTCCTTTCCTCGAATTTGGAATTTTGATTTCCTTTCTTTTCTTTTATGAATACTAATTAAAACTGGTTTTTCTAACATTTGATGGTGATAAAACCTTGAAACTTGAATTAATTTTTGCAATTAATTGTAAGCTTATCATCATCTCTGCTATCATCATTCACATCATCACTGATCATTCTTTTTTTTTTTTTTTTGTTTTTAATATCGGGGACGGATATTAGGATTACTTGAATCGAATCCAAGCTTCATAATATGATCATATATATTAAACTAATTTTATGAAAAATATTATTTTTCCAAGTGAATTATTATATAGACATAATTATCAATTATATATAAGTTTTATATATGAGAATAAAATAAAATAAAGAAAATTAAAGAGATCATCTTGGAGAATTTTTAAGAGTTATATATGATATGATATATTATTTTCTTGTTTTACTCTTATAAAACTATGAAAAGAACGAAACAAGATGAAAGTATGAAATTTTAATTAATCAGGATTGAAGCAATTGATAATTCCTATAGTATCTCCTTGTCTATGTTAATTTCATAAATTGCGACACGTTGGCCTAATCATATGAATTGAGCAACACAATTATTAAATTTGATTTTCTCTCATACCTGACAAATGTCAAAGATTTTATTACAAGTTTTGAAGTTTATGAGATATACGATAGGTTTGAAATTTAAATGTCAATATTTATAATATATTTTTTATTTGTTAAAAAAAATTCTTAGGACGGATAACCTAATTAATGATTCTCTATAATTTCTCCAAGAAAAATACTAAAAAAAACATGACATGAACTCTATATCTGCATATGGGGCCAGGGAAACGAATTAAAAAAAAGGGGGAAAATTGATGATCCAGAAGTTCCCGCATGCTGTCGGATCTACCATTAATTAGGTTTGAAGAATAAGACATTAAAGAAAACAACAACAAAAAAAAATCGATGAAACTCAAAATGATAGACCAAATTTTGTACCAAAAAGATACAAACTCATAGCATTATTATTATTATTATTTTACAAAGCCTTCGCAGTTATGATCCAAAGCTAGAAAAGATAAAACTATGTTTTGAAATCTTTCCATTTAAAATACCATATGAAAATAAAATTAAAAAATAAAAAGATAAATAAATTTAAAATTTTAATAAAAATAAAAATTTAAAATATATTTTTATTTTTTGTATCGATATTGTAAACACTTATTTTCATTCAGGTACAATTAATTTATCAATTCAAATTTTATTGAATCTTCAAATTTTAAAGGAGTTCGTATTTAGGTTTTTAGGTTTTGTATTATTTTGTTTGAGCTTTGAGCCCAATATTTGTTGATCAAAACAGGTTCTAATCCAACCCATATCATGTTTACAATTATTATTATTATTATTATTATTATTAATCATCATCATCATCTTGATTTTTTTTTTACTTTTAATTTCATTTTTCCTTTTCTACTTTTTTGTTATTTACGTTTTAATAAGGAATCTGAATGAATTAAACAGGAAGGAAAATCAGGATCTACTTGTGTAAAATTAGGAACCTAAATTTATTGGAATTAAAGTCTCAGATCAATCGCCCAAATTAAGCAGAACAAATCTCAAGATTCAAGCTTGGATTAAATCAATTTAAACCCTAAAATTTCTAATGAACAGGCTATAAATTGAATGTTAAAATCACACAAAAGGTAGAGAGAAAAAAATGGAGTAGAGTCTAGGTTCTGAATTGGTACTATTTGGTCGATTTTGTTTAGGATTATTTAACATTTGGGTTTTTGAGTTTGGTGAAAAACAAAATTATTTTGGTTCTTTGAAAAAATCTAAAAGAGGGGAGTTTTCTGAAAAAAAATTTGAGGATTTTCTGAAAAAATCTAAAAAATTCTAGAAAAATTTAGGTTTAGTTTGAAGGTTTGAATTTTTTGATGAGATTTGAAGTTTTCGATCGAATTTCGATCAATTTTCTAGAAACCGATGATCAAACCCAGTTTCTAGCGACTTATTCTTAGGTTTCTAGAGAGAAGGTTGAGTAAAAAAAATCCTAGAGAGAGAAGGTTAAAAGATTTTGAAGAAAAACTGAAAACTTTGATTTTTATACTAGCACCAAATGACACCGTTTCACTTAGAATAAGCTGCATCCCAACCCACGTGAATCTATAAGTGACCCGTTTTTTGACCTGACCCAATCACCTGTTTTTTTTTTTATTTTATTTTCTAATTACATTTTTATTTATTTTATTTTTATATTTTTCTATTTCATTTTACTTGTTTTATTATTATTATTATTATTATTATTATTATTATTAAATATTCTACTTGTTTTTAAATTAAATGATTTATTTTAGATACCTTCGTAAATTTTATTTTTTAAAATAAAAAATATATAATCAGAAAATATTTCTAAAAGTGAATTCATGAATCCTACCAAACTATTTGAATTTTTTTCATGAATTTAAATTTTTATAAATTCTACTAAACTATTAGAGAATTTCATAAATTAATTGTACAAAAAAATTATTATTAAAATACTTTGTACTTTATCCTACCAAACATTAGAGGATTTGCATATTAAATTTTAACAAATTATTGGAAGATTTAATATATTTTCCAGAAAAAATAATCTTGCAATAAAATCTCACTAAACTATTAGAATATCTATATCAAAATAAATATTACAAATAGTAAATCTTACCAAATTATTTGAAGATTTTATTGATTATTTATTTAACTAAAATTTAAATAAATCTAATGATAGAGCCTATTTAGTGTAGGATACTAGTCTCTATTAATACTTATGATATGGGAGAATTATCTTAAATTGCTACCAAACTATTTGAGTAATTTTAAGATTAATTTTTAATATTAAATATTTTGATAAATCATAAATATAATTAAGGCTTAGATAATTTAAAATCAAACTAGTAAAATCTTTTAGATAGGCACTGTGAATGTGTTATAACCTTCTTCACGCATAACTACACTCCTGAATTTGAAATATGATTTTATGGATTAAAATATACTATTTAAATATATCTAAGTCAATCTTAGAACTCTTTTTTAAATATGACAAATTCGATCAAGTGGTCAATAACACCTTACAAAAAAAGATTAGCGATGACTTCTTTAATCTATGTCTAGTAATAGGTCTAAAGATCTATACGTTATGACAGTTTGATGACTCAATTGAAAAAATTGAAAGTTAAGCCAGTAAATGATTTATTGTTATCCAAATTTAACTTAATAAATTTGAGACTTTTTTCCTTGTTTGTATTTATTTATTTATATATTCATTTATTCATTTTCATATATCTGTCATTTATTTGCAAATGTATAACATGAGATCTACACCCGAGTTTTGTCTCTTAGAAAATAGTAAAATACCTACACTTTCGTGAAATTTCATATATTCGCATGAGCTGGCAAAAAACTCCTACTCATATTTAATATTTTTTGCTTGTAGCCTAAAATGGATGAGGATTGTGATGCCTTACTAATTTATAATGGATAATGATATAAAAAATAATTTGAAAACCCTTAAACTATCAAACATTTGAACCTAGTATATAAGTAAACCCTAAGGGTCTAAACTTAGGTTATAGCCATGCCTTCCCTTATGTTAGAGAATTCTCAATAAGATACATAATGAGATATTTATTTTGCTTGTAAATTTATATATTTTCTTTGCATACTATCCCTTTACTTTATTTTTTGTATATATTATGTTTACTAAGCCTTTTTCTTTTATTGTATATGCATGCATTTACATCATTAAATCCTTGTTGTTTTATTCATGCATCTCAACATTCAATCTCATGCATAACCTGACGGTCATACAAACGTCACTCTAAATCTGTGTCCTAATTATGAAAAATTAATATTTAAGAATAGCTCAACTAACTCACCATAAGTTTTACTATAAATCTATATCATTTTACTTGTTTTATTCTTTTTGGATTTTATTATTATTATTATTAAGTATTCTACTTGTTTTTAAATTAAATGATGTATTTTAGATACTTTTGTAAATTTTATTTTTTAAAAAAGAAAATAAAATATATATAATAAAAAAATTTTCTAAAAATGAATTTATGAATCATACCAAACTATTAGAGGTTTATTCATGAATTTAAATTTTTATTAATTCTACCAAACTATTGGACAATTTCATAAATTAATTGTACAAAAAGATTATTATTAAAATACTTTGTGCTTTATGATATTAAATTATTAGAGAATTTTACATTTTAAACCTTATTAAATTATTAAAAGATTTAATATATTTTTTAAAAAAATCTTATAATAAAATATCATCAAATTATTGGGAGATCTACATAAAAGTAAATC